TGAAGCTAAATCCCATAAAAGAGAGGAAAAAATGTTGAATTTTAAGAAAATCGAATTTTTGAATTTTTTCGAATTTTTGATAATTTTAGATTTTTTCCCAAAGATTCGAAACTATTAAGTAAGTAAAGTATTTTCCAAAAGCACAAAAATAATGAAGCTAAATCCCATAAAAGAGAAGAAAAAATGTTAAATTTTAAGAAATTTGGATTTTTGAATTTTTTCGAATTTTTGATAATTTTAGATTCTTTACCAAAGAGTCGAGACAATTTAATGAGTAAAGTATTTTTTACATTAAAAAGTTTGACATTAAAAAATAAAAAATGCCAATACTTAACCCACAAAATTAAATTTTCAAAACAAACAAATGAATGCAGATAATTTGCTAACGGAAAGGAAACTTACGATTATTATAATGTATTAGCTATTATTAAATTATTATAAATAAATTATAAATTATTAATAAAAATAGATTATATTTTAATAACCAATAATTAATTTATTAATATGCAAATTAATCATTAACAAAAAATTTTCAACACTATTTTTAATTTTTTTGTATTGAGAATTTTTTTTTTTTTTTATTAACAATTCAATTCATCCATTTGCAGAAGTTGATGTTGAATGAAATAAAAAAATGTTTCTCATCAAATTGATGATGAGTTGTTATATTTATTTTTTTCTTCATCAAAGAGAGAAAATGAGGAGTGGGGAGGGAGACAAAAAAAACAGTTATATTGTTATTCCTTATTCAGAACAGTTTTGATTAATTGTTACTCTATTAAATTTGTCCCCTATTCAACGTCACGCTCGTGATGCGAATTTTTTGACTAATTATACTTTGTAAATTTTTCTTTTTCTTTTTTTGATCTTTTATTAAGAATAACGATATTCATTGATTTGTTGGCGTAAAAAGATAAACAAAACTACAATGAAAATTAAAAAAGAATTGTTATTTTCATAAAAATTATATATTCTTTAATATAAAATTATAAAGTTATCGAAGTACTTTAATAATTAAAAATTATTATTATTAAATTAATTAATTAGTTAATTAATTAATTAATTTGTCAATTAATTAGTTTATTAATAATTAATCAATCAGTTTAGTAATTTCTAATTCAGTTTTTTTTTGATATTTTACTTATTAAATTCATCAACAAATTAATTTTGATAATTTAATGTTAATTTCTTTGTCGTTTGACCTTTTCATTTTGACCTAAAATGTAAGATTACATTAGTCTGTTGACCTATTTTTATTCACTTTGTAAAGTGTATAATCATATTGGTTTCTAGTTTTGTGATTGAAGACCAAAATGTCAATTTTTGTCATTATTATTTTTGACCTGTTAATTTTGACCTAAATTTTTACTTTACTTCCTATTTTTTTTAATCAAAGCTTCTGAACAATTTTAATATTTTCAGTTTTTTTAATTTTGACCTAAGTTTTTTTATTATGGAAAATTGAGTTTTGTCTGTAAATTTTGCCTATAAATTTTTGCCTCTAGCTTTGGTGCTGTTTTGACCTGTGACTCAGTACTGTGATTTTGAAACCATATTTCTTTCTAAATATGGAATATTTTGACCTAAATTTTTAATAAGTTAGTGTTATCATTTTGACCTAAATCTTGACCTTTTTTCAATGAATATTGGAAACTTTGATTCTATATTTGAAGTAAATTGTTGTAAATTTGAACTTATAGTCGCCTCTTTAATTCTAGATTTTGACCTAAATTTCTAAAGAGTACTTGATTTTGACCTAAAATTTTAGTACATTAGTGTTATCTTTTTTATCTGAATTTTTTTTACTTGAAATCTACTTTCAATGTGTTTTTTAAAACCTAAGATTCTATATTTTGACCTTAATTTTTACTAAATATGTTTTAGCTTGACCTGAATTTTGACCTTCTTTGAATATATTTTGAAACCTGTGATTCTAAATTTGAAGGAAATTGTCTTAAGTTTGAAGTTATATTCGTCTCTTTAATTCTTGATTTTGGCCTAAATTTTAAATAAATTAGTGTAAACTTTTTGACCTGAATATTGACCTGTTTTCAATGTATTTTAAAAGTTGAGATTATATATTTAATATATATTTTGACTACTCTGTTTCTATATTTAAAGTAAATGGACCTAAATTTGAGCTTCAAGAAGTCTCTTAAGTTCTAGATTTTGACCTAAATATTTTATGTGTTAGTTTTATCTTCTTGACCTGGATCTTGACCTGTTTTTAATGTCATTAAAAACTTGTGACTCTATATTTGAAGTACATTGCATTAAGTTTGAAGTTATCTTGATCTCTTTAATTAGAGTTTTTGACCTAAATTTGTAATAAATAAGTGTTAACTTTTTGACCTAAAACCTATTTTCAACGTATTTTGAAACCTGCGATTCTAAGTTTAAAGCAAATTGTTCTAAATTTGGGCTTTAATAATCTCTTTAATTCTAAATTTTGACCTAAATTTTTAATAACTTAGCGTTCATTTTTTGACCTGAAAGTTGACCTTTTTCAATGCATTTTGAAACCTGAGATTCTAAGTTTAATGTAAATTGTCGTAACTTTGAGCTTATAGTCGTCTTTTTAATTCCAAATTTTGACCTAAATTTCTAATAAGTAACTTTGAGCTTCTTGACCTGAATATCGACCTTTTTTAATGTCATCCAAAACCTGTTACTCAATATTCGAAGCAAATTGTCTTAAATTTAAAGTTAGTTTTGACCTAAATTTTTAGTAAATTAGTGTTAATCTTTTGACCTGAAACTTGACCTTTTTTTCAATGTATTTTGACACCTTTTATTCTATATTTGAAGTATATTGTCTTTAGTTTCAATTTATAATGATCTCTATAGTTCGAATTTTTGACCTAAATTTTTAAGAAATAAGTGTTAACGTTTTGACCTAAAATCGATTATCCATGTATTTTTAAACCTGATATTCAGTATTTTTAGTAAATTGTCTTAATTTTAAGCTTTAATCATCGCATTATTTCTAAATTTTGGACCTAAATTTTTAATAATTTAGCGTTTTCATTTTGACCTGAAACATGACCAGTTTTTGTTTATTTTACTATTTTTGAATGTATTTTGAAAACTATGATACTTTATTTAAAATAAATTGTCGTAAATTTGAGCTTATAGTAGTTTCTTTAATTCTAGATTTTGACCTAAATTTTTACTGTGTTAGTTTTGTTTTCTTGATCTAAATATTGACCTTTTTTAATCTCATTAAAAACTTGTGCTTTTGTACTTGAAATTACTTGTCTTAAGTATGTAGTTAAATTTGTCTCTTTAATTCGACATTTTGACCTAAATATTTAAGAAATTAATTTCAACTTTTTGACCTTAATCTTGACCTCTTTTTAAAAAATATTTTGAAACCTAAGGTTCTAAATGTGAAGTATAATGTTATAGATTTGTCCTTACAATCTTTTCTTCAATTCTAAATTTTGACCTAAGTTTTTAATAAATTATTATTATTGTCTTTTTGACCTGATTTTCGACCTTTTTATCAATATATTTTGAAATCTGTGACTTTATTTTTAAATTAAAATTGACCTAAAATTGAGGTTATGTTTGTCTATTTATTTCTAGTTTTGTGACGTAAATTTTTCTTTAAATTTCTTTGTTCCCTTTTTGACCTAAAAATTTTTTTATTGCACCTTTTATTGACCTAACATTTTTTTGACCTAAAACTTATTTTGAAACTTGAGATTCTATATTTAAAGTAAATTTTTCTGGTCAATTCTGGTCAAAAATTTAGGTCAATTATTGCACCGCTTTGTTTAAAAAATTTTTGTGCAAACAAATATTTGGAATTTTTTTTTACCAGTGAATTTTGACCTTAAATTTTAAAAATAATTATTTTTATTTTTAAATAAATCGACTATTGACCTAAAATGATGAAGTCAATTATTATTATTGAAGTCGAACACGAAGATGTGGGCTAAAAATGAAAAGGAAGGGGCAAAAAGTTTCTCGTTTATAAAAGTTAAGAGAGAAGAGAGTACTTTTTCTTGTTAAAATCGACAAAATAAGAAAGTTGAAGAATACAGTCAGTGATGGAGAGAGAGATGAGTGAGTGAGGGATGAGGGAGAGGGGGGTGGATAGGGATGAAAAAGTAGCAAGTGCCAGTGGCATAAAAAAAGCCTAGCTTCACCTGACACCTACTTCATTAAGTAAATGAAAAACTCAACTTGAGTGAATTTAAAATTAAATAGAGAAAAACATTTTTTTATCTAATGTTTTACATTAAGAAATTGAAGATGAATTTTTTAACTTTACATTTTTAGAAAATTAAACATTTTTTTTTTTGAATTTTGACATTTGAAAATTAAACAAATTCTTCTACTGTTTATACATTTTTGGAAAATTAAATTTTTCTTTTGAATTTCGACAATTTTAAAAATTTTTTAAATTTTACTTTTTTAAGGGAATTTGACATTTTATTTAAATTATTAGAAAGTTAGCAATTGAATTTATTTTTAAAATTATTACTTTTAAAAATAATGATACTTAATTGTTACAGTTAAAAATAATTTTTCCTAATTATTGTAGTTAAAAATAATTTTTAATTGTTACATTATAAAAATTTTTATTTCTAAAAATAATGTTTGTTTAATTGTTGCAGTTAAAAATTGAACAGAAATTAATTTAAATTTTAACATTTAAGAATTTTAAAAAAATTATTTTTTTATTTTCAGAAAAAAATTATTTTTTTAATTTCAAAAAAAAAATTTAATTAAAAAAAAAATTTTTTTTAAATAAATTTGATTTTTAATCAAAACTCAAAGTTGGAAGAAAAATTATTTAAGCTTTACAATTAAAAGTTTAAAATATATTTTTATGATAATTACTTTTCAATGACTGACAAAAACTTTTGAATTATATTTAATTTTCTTTTAAATTGAAATGCAACTTCTGAAAAACGCTGTATACTTTTCTAATATGTAAATTTTATGAATTTTATGAAAATAATAATTAAATTTTTTTTTCTTTGTTACAGAAACGAACAGCAGAGATAACAGTGGACAATAACGACCAGAATGCTGTGTACATCCGGATATCCGGTATGTTTCTATATTATTTTTTATATTGTTTGTCAAATGTTAATTTTTGCAAAAAAAAAAAAATTTTTTACAATCAATTAGTATAAAAATTAAATTTAATACTTTTTTCTCTGCTCGAGCATTTGAAAAAGTGTATCTCGTAAATAATATAAAAGAGAAAACATTTCCGTGGTTTATTTTTAAAACGAGAAATATTTCTTTTTATATTTGTGTCAACTTTCCTGTTGACGCTCTTTATCAAAAAATAAAAAGAGTGAAATGAAAAATTTACTTTCATATAAAATTTTGGATAAGAACAAAATTTTTATTTTATTTAATTTAATTTGAAAAAAAATTTTTTTTTACTTAAAAGAAAACAATTATAATATTAACTAAGATAAAAAAAAAAATAATTCCAAAAATTTTCGTCAAATTTTAAATTGAAAAAAGAAATTCAAATATACTATGACTGCTACTTTTTTTTATAACAAAAGAAAAAATATGTTTTTTTTCCATCAAAAACAAGTTATTATTACCTGTTTTAAAATTCACAATAAACAATAAAAACAAAAGTGAATTATGAATTCACAATTCGTGTATGCAAACAATTTTTTTTTACTACGAAAAAATTTTCAGCTGTCTAAATCGTAAGGTCGTTGACGTCCACAATAATAAATAGCACGTGGTAAAAATATTTTCAATTTATTTTTAATTGAAACGAAAAAAATTTATAATATTTTTTCTTTAAAGAAAAAAAATTTTTATTCCACTTTTCACAATATTAAAAATTCACATGTTTAATTAATTTTAATTAATTTTTACTTTAATAATACTTTCGAAATTTATCACATTAAACTATAATGATTATACCGATTGTCGATATAAAAGTAATCTTTATTACCGACTATCGATAATAATGAACACTATACATTTTTTATAATTTTCTATTTTCTTGATTACGCGCTCACATTTTTAATAAGTATCCCTCGGACCTAAATATGTCACTGAGAAACAACTGTACCGATTGTTGATAAGATAATTTTCTTTATTACCGATTATCGATAATGATAAAATTACATTTTTATAATTTTTAAATTCTTATTTACATGCGTTTACATTTTGAATAATTTTCCCTCGGACAAATATGTCACTGGATAACAACTGTACCGATTGTTGATAAGATAATTTTCTTTATTACCGATACTATTTCAGTGCATCGTGAAAAATCATCTCTTTTGATCAAAACATTAGAATTTAAAAAAATAAATAACAATTTATTGGACTATATCGACTGTTGGTATAGTAGATTTCTTTATAACCGATTATCGATATTTTCGTATTCTACCTTTTTTGTTCATAATAGAAAAATCCTTGTTTGGGGCCATTCATAAACTACGTCACACAATTTTGCATAATTTTTCCACCCTCCCCCCCCTACCCACGTCACAAATTTTACATGCTTTAGCGCCATTTTTTCTACAGAACGTCACAAAAAATAAATTCCACCCCCCCCCCCTCTAAGGCGTGACGTAGTTTATGGACGGCCCCTTTTATCCAAAAATTAAAGTCGTTTATTTTGAATGTCAGGGTTCTTTATTACCTACTGTCAATACTATTATTGCGTAACATGAAAAACTCTCTAGTGAATAATGAATAATCTCTTCAGTGTTCTGAACTTCATTGTGAACTTGAAAGTTGATGTCAAATAATTTTTTTACTAATATACTGAATGTTAATAAGGTACAATTCTTTATTACCGATTGATAATGAGGTATATTTATTTATTACCAATTGTTAATAAGGTAGATTTCTTTATTACCGATTGTTAATGAGGTATATTTATTTATTACCGATTGTTAATAAGGTAGATTTCTTTATTGCCGATTGTTAATAAGGTAGATTTTTATTACCGATTGTTAATAAGGTAGAATTCTTTATTACCGATTGTTAATAAGGTAGAATTCTTTATTACCAATTATTATTAATACAATAGAACTCTACATTATCGGTTAATTATTAAATTATTCTTAATTTGTTCTAAGCGGCCTTTATTACCGACTGCCGATAACTGTAGGACGCTACAGTACGACAGGTTTCTTTATTAACAACTATCGATATAGCAGGAGTCATTATTACTGATTATTGATACATTAGATATCTACATTATCAATTGCTAATAAATATTTCCCCTTGTGTTCTAAACTTTGTCATTTCAATGTTGAAGTTGTATAAATTGATTGATACTGACTTTTAATATTTTATGATTTTTTTACCGATTATTGATACAGTAGAACACTATATTACCGATCGACAAGAAGTAATTTCTCTTTTGTCTTTATCTTTGTCATTTAAAAGTTGAGATTGCACAATTTATTCAACGATACCGATTTTTAATGTGGCAGGTTTCTTTATTAACAACTATCGATATAGCAGGAGTCTTTATTACCGATTATCAATACTGTCGAAACGCTACATTACCGGTCACAAATAAATAAAATCCTTTTTTTGTTCTAAACTTTGTCATTTTAAGTTGGATTGCCGCTAGTTTTTAAAAATTACCTATGTTGACATGTTATGATTCTATTTTACCGACTGTTGAAATTGCAGTATTCTACATTGTATTGTATGTAAGAAATTAGTTTCTTCTTTGTTACAAAATATTGAAACTTCGTCATCTGAAAGTTAAGGTTGCATATTTTATTGAAATATATTGACTTTTACTATCAGAAGGTTCTTAACTATCGATTATCGATATGGTAGGGATCTTTATTACCGATTATCGATACAGTAGAATGCTTCATTATTGTTTGATAATAAATAATATCTCTACTGTTGTAGACTTTCTATTTACTACTACAGGACTCTTTATTACCGATAATCGATAATGTAGAACTCTAAATTACCAACAGTTGGTAAAGAAGTACGCTACTTTATCAACGGTTGATAATTTCTGTTCAAAGTTCAAGTTCAAAGTTTTATTGAGTTTTAATTTTTTACCAATATTGATAATGTAGGAATCCTTATTACTGATTGTAGATATTTAAAAAATCTTTGATTATCGATTATCAGTGATTATTTCTTGATAATTTGAACCTATTTAATAAAATATGAATGGATTACCACCACTGTTATTGTTACTATAGTTTCGTTGCAATAAAATGAAATATAATTAATATTTTTTTTATCAAGTTGATAAATAATTCTCTTAATTTCTCTTAATTCTAAATATTATTTGACATATTGGTCTCTTGAATATTGTGTATTTATATGATATAAATATTGAAAAACTGTGAAATTGAATTGACATATATAGATATAATAGAAATGGAGAATATGGTAATGAAAGCTTGGTTTGATTGTTTATGTCGGCCGCAAACTCAAGTAGAATGAAGGAAAAAAAATTATGAAAGAATGGAATAGAATGAGGGAGAAAGAAAGACAATGAAAGAAAACAAGAGAGAAAAAAAAGTGGAGGGGGGATTATAGTAATAGAGAAAAAAAGAGAGGGTTGAATGAGCGAGAGAGAGAGAGAGAGGGGGGGGGGAGTGAATATTGGGTGTAAAATACATTAAAGATTCGTTTGTGTACACAAACACATATGATAGTGACATGTGTGTTTGACTTGAGCTTCGTATGGCAATGGCCTCGTTAATATTTAACGAGACACGTAAGTCACGTTTCGCTTGAAAATGAAGCTCAGATAGAAACTAAATGAACTCGCTTTGGGATTCGTTTATCTCGCCACTGGCTTTATCGATCAAATTGCCCTTCCTTCTATTTTTTTCCAAGCTACTTCCCCCCCCCCACCCCTCTCACCCATCCTCACACTCCACTACTCTAAAACTCCCACCACTTTTTTTCTCTCTCTCTCTCTCTTTATACGTAAATACTCACCTGGCTTATCTAATTTTTTTTCCCTATCTTTAAAAAAATAGCACTTTACTCTTCTATTTTTTATTAATTTTCTACTCTCCAACATTCGTGTCATTGTATTATAGAAAATATTTATTTACACTTTAATAATAATATCAGAATTCAATTTTTTATCTAAGAGCTAATAACATTATAGTGTTTTAATTAATTAATGTTTAATTAAGTAATCGAACGATATTAGTAATAAATAAAAAAAAAAATTATTTACAGAAACCTGCATTATCGACTGTTGGTTTAGGAGATATGTTTTTTTATCAGCGGTCGATATGGTAGGCGCCTATATTAGCTATATATTATTATAAACCTATATTAATCTATTTAATTAATTTATATTATCGGCTGTTGCTTCAGGAGATATTTGTATTACCAGCGGTCGGCATAGTAGAAACTTATATTAACAACTGATGGTAATGTAGATTTTTTTAAAAACAATATTCTGATTCTATCTTAATATTTTTCCATATAGTTTACATATACATATAAATAGTAGATAAGGAAGAAATCTATATTAACAACTGTTGATAATATAATTACATTCTCATTTTTTTTTAATGTTCTACTTCTAATTTATATCCAATATTTATTTTATTATTTATTTTATTATAAAATTTGAAATTATATTTTGAAAGTTATGTTTTATATTATTATATTATATTATATTTCCTATGTGATGATGAATATAAAAATTTATAATTAATAAATTTAATCATTTTGAAAAAAATTAGTATAATATGCGAGAAATATTTATTTTTAAAGTTTTTGAAAGTTTGTTTAGAATTTTGTTATTCGTCAGAGGAATTTTCTCTCATGTTCGACAAGATTTAACTTCATTGAAATATGCCTTAAGAATTTTATGTTAGAATTAATTTTCTTCAATGTGGAGCAATTAATAATAGCTGTGAAACAAAACTTGTTTTTTTTTCAACACACAAAAACTCTTGGCAGCTAATATTTCTCGTGTTAACATAAAATATTTTCTATCTAAAATTTTTGTTTATTTAATTTTTTCTCAATTTAAAAAAAATACATTTTTATTTTTCTGTACGGAATTCGAAATTTAAAGTAAATTATATTTTTCTATATAACAATGGAAAATTTGCATATTTTTGAAAAAAATTCTATAAAAAAGAAAATGTTTTTTTTAAATATTTCATTTTCTTATTATTTTATTTGCATTTCTCGTATATTTACAAATTTTGTATTTAACAATCTGAAAATAACAATTGTAATATTTATATTACAATTTTTTTATTTACTGTAACGTCTCTACTTTTACAACAGATCTACATTACCAACGATTGATAAAAATGTAGTTCTACTGTATCGACTGTTGTTACATAAGAAATCTACATTACCGGCAATCGGTAAAAACACATTTTTTTAGTGTATCGGCTGTAGTCTCCGAAGAAACCTACAATACCGACGATTGACGAAAAAATTCAAATTGTCGACAGAAATCTACCTTATCGATAATCAGTTCTAAACAATAATTATTTCCATTATATTAGCTAAAATAAAAAATAATTTTCAAATTAATAATAATTATATCGTTTATTTTTTCTTTTACAGAGGAAGAGACGGTAACAGCGTCAGAAATATCGCCAACGCCTTCAGTTGATAAAGCAACAAAAGACGAAACCGATTCAATATTTCGACGTCTGTCAAATGAAAGTCGTAATCTTTTGGAAAATTTAAATGTTTCAAAAGATCGTCCGAGACACGCTGGTCGTTTTCTCACAATGCATAAAAGACGTCGTAAACGACTTATTACAAAATCATTAAATCAAGAATCCGGTATTCTCGATGATATTTTTCATGGACAAGTTTCTGTAAGTTTACATTTCTTTTTTTTTTTGCAAACAAAAATCTCTTTTTACAAATCATACACAACTTTTATTAATTTTATTTAAAAAAAATTACAAGAAATCTGTATTACCGGCTGTTGATACATTAGGAAACTGTATTATCAGCTGTCGGTAAATATCAGAATTAATCTACAGTTTTACGATAACTTCTAACTCAATATTATCAGATAAAATTTTAATTTATTCTCATGAAAATCTGTATTACCGGCCTTATGCTATACAAGAAATCTTTATTGCCTACAGTCGGTGAATATCAGAATTTCTACTAATATTCTATTAAATCTCAACGCAACATAATCAAAATAAAAAATTATTAAATTTAAAAATTGTGATTTTCTTTAAAAACTCGTTTCTGTTCTTATTTATAAACATTTTTTTCAATCTATTTTTTAAACATAAAATTATAAAATTTCAATTAAAAAATTAATTTTTGCTTGAAAATAATGAAATAATTGAATTCGTAAAATTTTGACAACGTGGAATATTACATTATACAACAATAATATTTATTCAGTACAATTCTTTTCTCAGCATCCAGTAAACATTGTGTGAAATGTCACTTTAAAATTCTCTTATCTCTATTTTTATTGCAGTGCGTTCTGCAAAAAGCAGGAAACTGGCGATTTAATGCTTTTACGTTAGAGACTGTCACTGGAGGTAAGTGGTATTATTCTTTTTATAAAAAAATATTTTTCTTCTTACATTTTCTTATTTAAAATAGATAGAGAAAAAAATTGTTATTTTCTTATTTAGAATTGAAAACAATTTTTTATTTAATTATATTTTAAAATTTTCGTGTATTTTACAATTATTATTTCACATTTCTGGTTTTTTTATTTATTTAAATTTTCTTCAACATATATTTACTTTGATGTTAAAATCTGCATTATCGACTTTCGTTAAGAAGTAGGAAAAAAAATTCATTAAACTAAAATTATAAAACCAGAAAGTAAATATTAAATCGGAAAAAATACAAATCCAAACAAATATTTTGCTAACTTTTCGTTAGTCAAAAATTAATTATCGACATTTTTTCCCAAGGATCGCTATTTTATGGATGGTCGATATAGTAGAAGTTAGTTTTACCGACTGTCGATATAAATTCCAAATAAAGTAAATTCTACAATTAAAAGGTTCAGGTTACTCAAAAATTAATTATCGACATTTTGCCCCAAGAATTGCTATTATAAACGGTCGATATGGTAGAAATTAGTTTTACCGAATGTCGATATAAATTCCAAATAAAATAAATTCTACACAATAAAGGTTCAAATTAAAATTTTGGGGGACTTTGGGGACATAACAAATAAATCTTTTATCGGATAACGTTTTAGAAAAAAATGTGATATTATCGACAGTCTACTTTACCGACGATCGGTATACTAAAAGCGGATTTGACAACTATCGGTTAAATTTACAGTAGTACCTAACTGTAGTTTTGCTACCGACCTTTTTCGTCAAGGAATCTGTCTAACCTACAGTCGGTAAAGTAGAAATAGACTTTACTAACTACAGGTTCAATGTTGCTGAAATATTATAGTAATTCGATATATAAAAAGTGTGACTGACCGTTAAAGGACGTTCTATGCCGACAGTTTTTAAGCGGGAAATCTGTGTTGCCTATCGTCGGTATAGTAGAAATAGACATTACTGACAGTCGGTTAAATATTGAAACATATCAACTCTTTATATAAAATGATTCACTGGCAGTAAAAAAAAGTTCGTTACCAATTGTTTTTTCAAACAGGAAATCTGTATTCCCTTCGGTCGGTATAGTAGAAATTGTTATTACCAACGATGGTCAAATATTGAAAAATATGAACTTTGTATATACATATAAAATGTTCTGCTGAAAAGTAAAAAATTCGTTACCAATTATTCTTTCAAACAGGGAATCTATATTATTTACGGTCGGTATAGTAGAAATAAACATTATCGACGGTCAGTTAAATATTGAAAAATAGTAATACTGTATGTTAAATGTTTCGTGACAGTAATAAATGTTCTTTGTCAATGGTTTTCCTAAACAGGGAATCTACATTACCTGCGGTCGGTATAGTAGAAATAAACATTGCCGACGGAGGGTTAAATATTGAAACATAGAAATTTTTTTTATTAGGAAAAATAAAAATCGGAGACTTATTTAGAATATTTGTTGTTATTATTTATTGTAATTTTTTATTATTTTATTTGTTTATTTATTTTAATAAATCTTTTTTTTAATTTTTGTTTTAATTAAATTTTTTTTTATTTTATTAAATTTTTGTAAATGTTAATAATAATAATAAGAAGTTGAAATCGTGATTTATAAATGTTTTTCTATGATAAATGAGACAAGAGTAATAAAAATTGTTTATTTCGCACAGGTCGTTCTTTGCCAGTGTTGTGTGTTCATCTCTTTCATTGGTACGGACTTTTTCAACACTTCAACTTGGACGTTGTCAGAGTGTGGAAGCTGTTCAGTGAGTATTAATTAACATAAGTGGTAGACAGAGTGGTCCATTTGAGAATATAAATAGACTTATATATATTCTCTACTGCGACCTCTCAATGTTCACGAGTTGCTTTCTAAAAACGTTTTGTTGCGTGCATTTTCCATTTGAAGCACAACAAAAAAGAATAGAAAAAACAATATATTTACAGTCGTCGTTTTCACATAATTTTTCATTTCTTTAATTATAATAAAAAATATTTATTATTATTACATAATGAAAATTGTTAATAAAAAAATTTTTTAATTACTCTATTTTCTGTAATAACTCTTATATATAATTTATTTATTAATTTATGAAAGTTGTTAAATAAATAAACAAATTAATTTAAAGTAAATAAATTTCTTCGCAAAAATATTTCTATTCTTATACGTTGAATGTCGATCTTTTTAAACTCTTTCGAGTTTTTCGCTTTTTTTCTAATATCATCTATCTGTTCTTTTTTTTTGTTTTCTTATTTTTCAAGTAATTAATGAACGAATACATTAAATAAGCAAAATGAATTTTTGTAAAATTCATTTTAAATGCAAATAATACAATTTGTTTTATTTTTTTTATTTCTCTTCTTTTTTGAAAGGAAAATTTCCTACCATATTTATTTAATGAAAGAATTTTTATTATAGAGTAGGAAAAAAATTTCCATTATTTAGTTAATAAAAATATTTTCATTATTTAGTTGATAAAAAAATTTCCATTTTTTAATTAATCGAAAAAATTGGATAAATTTTGTCTTTCTAAAATTCTTCATTAATATTTTATTTAGATTATTTATTATTCTACTTTGTAACTGTAATTTTATTTTTTTTATAAAATTATAGTTACAGTAAATTTCATTAATTAAAAAGTATCATTCTTGATCGATAAAGCAGGATTCTGTATATTTAAATGTACCGACTGTTATTTATTGTTATTATTATCAATAGTCGGTAATAAAGGCATCTGTAATAAAAATTGACTGCAATCTTTATTGACAATAAACTGTCATTAAGACAGACATCATTTTTACCGACTATTGCTAACAATGTTGTCTTTATCGACAATTAACTGTTGTTAAGGAAGAAGTCATTATTGTCGACTGTTGATAATAAAGATAATATCTTTACCGATAATTATCTGTTGTTAAGATAGAAATAATTATTACCGACTATTATATAGTAACAAAAATGTCTTTATCCACAAGTGATTTTTGTTTATATTATTTTTTATTATTTACATTTTTCATTAATGCCGACTGCTAAGAAACTTGTCTTTTTAACAATTGGCTTTATTTAAGGTAGATTTCTTTTTATATATTTTTTTAAGCTAACGGTTAGTAATAAAACTTAGCTAAAAATATAATCATGTGCTGATATATTGAATGTCTACGTTAACGACTGTTGGTAGAGTAGTATTTTTCATTATCCGCAGTCGGTATAGTAGAAATCTGCAATGTATGTTGTAAAAATGTGCCATTCGATGAAATAAGAATACATTGAGTACTGATAAAGTATATCACTTTATCTACAGTCGGTATAGTAAAAATGTACATTATCGGCAGTAGATAATTAAAACTTATTAAATTTTTTCTAAAACTTATAATTATTTACTATTGGTAATAAAGATTTCTTCATTAACATCCGACTGTTGTTAAGATAGATATTATTATTATTATCAACTATTAGTAATAAAGGTGTTTAATACGTAGTCTAATTTCTCAATTATATTTTTGGTTTAATTTTATATAAAACAAATTAGGTCAAAATACAATTGGGGGTTATCGGTATTACAGACTAAAAATGCCTCTATTACCGACTATTGGTAATGAAGTTGTATTTATCGACAATTGACTGTTGATAAGGTAGATTTAATTATTGCTTGGTGGCCAAAATGCTAAATTTCCATTTCACTAAATTACAATTTTACACAGTAAGAGGTTAGGTTCGGAACACTCAGTCGGTAAAACAGTTTTTCTGTGTGTGGTTTAGCGAAATGGCAATTTAACATTTTGGCCACCAAGCATTGACAACGGTTGGTTGACTGTTGACAAAATAGTTGTCACTATTACCGACTATTGGTAATTAAGTTGTCTATATCGATAATTGACTGCTGTCAATGTAGATTTCTTTATTGCCAACTATCGGTAACAAATGCGCCTTTATCGATAATTGAATGTTGTTAAGGTAGTTTTCATTATTGTCAACGTTCGGTAATAAACGATTCTTTATTGATAATTGACTGTTGTTAAGGTAGATTTCTTTATTGCCAACTATCGGTAATAAATGTGTCTTTATCGATAATTAACTGTTGTTAAGGTAGATTTTATTATTACCAACGGTCGGTAATAAATGTATTTTTATCGATAATTGACTGTTGATAAGGTAGATCGCAGTATTACCGACTATCGATAATGAAGCTGTTTTTATTTGACAAATAACGGTAAATGATCACTTAAGGTTAATAATAAATATATTTTACATTATTAGTTTTGGAAAATTATTTAAAATATAATTTCTATTAATATTATTCGTTTTTATTTTTTGAAATTTACCATTTTTATGGGAAAAATCGGTTATTTCTAATAAAAAATTCTAAATGGAAAATGTACAAAAAAAATATTAGATATAATTTTTTTTAATACTGTTATTTTTATTATCATCTTTATTTTATCTATTTTTCAGTAATTTACTAAATAATTATAATCTAATAATAATAATAATAATAATAGTGAAAATAATATTTACTTTTTCTCTTATATTTTTTTACTATACTTTTTTATTATTGTAATTTTTAATATTATTTTCTAGCATTATTATTATTTTTATCATTTTTTTATTTATTAAAATGTTTTTCACCTCAGGTTTAATAGAAGAAGGTTATCACAGTACAAATCCATACCATAACAGTATACACGCGACGGATGTGACGCAAGCGATGCATTGCTTCCTGCAAGAAGAAAAGGTAATTAAAGTCAAAAAAATTTTTGTTTAATTTTTTTAAATTATAAATTCATCAATTTTAATATTTATTTTTTATTATCAAAAACATTTTTTTCATCTATTTATTATTATAAATATAGATGGAAAAAATAATTTTTTTTTAATAAATTAAAAATTTAAATACTAATTTTATTTTTAATTTAGAAAAAACAGTTTTTTTTCATTTTGTTTTCATTTTAGAAAATAAAGTTTTTGTCATATTATTTTGGGAAAAAGAATTTTTTTAATTAGTTTAGAAAAATTTTTTTTCCATTATTTTAGAAAAAAAAATTGTTCTTAATTAAAAGTTTTTTTCGTAACAAGAAAAATTTTTTTTTTGTTAAAAAAAAACGAGAATCAAGTGAAATAATGTAAAAGTAAAGAGAAAGAAAGAGAGCGAGAGAGTGAGTGAGAGAGAGAAAATTGAAATAAAATGGATTTTTTCGCAGATAAAGGCTCACTTGAGTGACCTGGAAATAATGGCGTCTCTAATCGCTGCCGTGACCCACGACCTCGATCATCCGGGGGTCAATCAGCCCTTTTTGGTCGCTACCAGCAATCATCTGGCTGCCCTCTATGAGGTAATTTTTAATTTTCTTTTTTTCTTCTATTTTCTCTTTTTTCCCCCTTTTGAAAAGCGTTCTTTTTTCGAATGAAAATTGCTGCACGATAAAATTATATTTTGCAAAATGAATGAAAAAAAATTGTCTCTCCCTTTTTTTTCGAAAGAATATTTCAATTAAATGAAAAAGTTACTTTTATCTATTATAAAGTTGTTTTGAAATAAAAAATTTTAATAACAATTAGAATAAAATTTTAGGAAATTGAAATTAAATTTGAAAAAAATTAAAATAAAAAATGTAAAAATTAATACATATAAGTAAAAATAAGTTTAGAATAGATTCTAATTTTATTGTTGTTAATGAATAATTTTTTTTCCTTCTTTTTATTTAATTTGTTTATTAATAATTATGCAATTAAATAAACATTATTTCCAGTTCTTTTAATTAAAATTTTCAATTCAAATTTAAATATATCGACTGTTGGTAAAATAGCTAACTGAATTATCGACGGTCGATACTGTTTGATTCTTTATTATCGATTATTGATAGAAATTTTACCTTTTAATTTCTATACTACATTTTTTTACTTTAGTTTTTTTATTTTAATTTTTTTATTTTAATTTATTTATTTCATTTTTTTATTTTAGTTTCCATTTTACTTTTTTTTATTTCAGTTTTTCTTTTTTTAACTTTTCAATTTTTTTTTTGTTTCGTTTTAGAAAAACATTTTTTTTTCATTTTTAAAATATAAATTGAAAAGTAAAAATTTTATTTTCACTTCTGTTGTTTTTTTTCTTATTAGAACACTTCAGTTTTGGAGAATCATCATTGGAGGTCGGCAATTGGCTGTCTTTTGGAAAGTGGCGTTTTGGAACAGTTGCCTAATGAAATTAGGCCAGAACTGCAGCAACACATTAGTTCCTTGATTCTCGCCACTGACATAACGAGACAGCAAGAATTTTTAACTCGATTTAAGGTAAAACTTTTGTTTTTCAAATTTTAATTACACTTTCCAAACAGAAAGAAAAACTAACAAATTAAATTAAAATTAGGCTTTTGAACAAAAAACAATTTGAAAAATATTAATTAATTGTTATTTATTTTTATTATTTAATAATAATGATTCATATTTAAATTTCAATTGTCATAAAAAATATATATTAATATATTTTTAATAAATAATATATATTAAAAATAATAATAATTTATAATAATTAATTAATTAACTATATGAATTATAAATAATTAACTAGTTAATAAATTCGTCAATTAATTAATTACCTAGTTAATAAATTCGTTAATTAATTAATTACCTAATTAATAAATTTGTCGATAATTTAATATACTCCTTAATAAATTAATAAATTAATTTTGAAACAAATAAAAAAAATCAAATTAAAAAGGACAAAATTATAACATTAATTAAAGAATTTAAATAATTCAAATAATTAATGTATGGAGATAAAACTTTTTTTTATTTTTCTTTAGAATTATCTTGATGGAAATTTGTTGGACATGAAATGCGGTGACGATCGACATTTTATATTACAAATTGCATTAAAATGCGCGGACATATCGAATCCATGCAGGCCATGGGATATATCGAGGAAATGGTCGTATAAAGTTTGCGAGGAGTTCTTCCGTCAAGGTGATTACGAGAGACAATTAAATCTCCCAGTGACGCCATTGTGCGATCGTCAAAGTACAAGTATTCCAAAAATTCAGGTCGGCTTTTTTAAATTTGTCGTTGCACCGCTTTACGAGGAATGGCATAGATTCCTTGGCGATGGACTCAGCGATTCATTAATGAATTATCTACGAAGCAATCAAAAGAGGTATATATATATAGTTATTATTTCTTTATTTTCTCATTTTTCATTCAAAAAAAATTGTCTCCTTTTTCTTTTAAATTAAAAATTACAAAATTTTAAATAAAAAAAAATATATTAGGAAACTTTATTACCAACTGTCGGTAAATAACAGAATTTTTTAAAATAAATATTATTTTAAATTGATTCACAGTGTAGAGTAATGTAAATTAAATTCATTAGTTCCAAGAATCTGTTTTACCGACTGTTGTTTTGTTAGGAATCTTTATTACCATCGGTCGGTAAATAACAAAAGTTATATTAATATACAATTTTACATTAACTGAAAACTGAATGTAATCTAAAAGGAATGTGTTATATTTTTTAATTGATAATATTCTGTCCTACCGACTGTTGCTATAATAGAAATCCTTATTACCTACAGTCGGTTAAAAAACAATTTTTTAATTGATATATTATATTGATTCGCAATGTAATGTAAATGAAATTTATTAGTTCCAAGAATCTGTTTTACCGACTGTTGTTTTGTTAGGAATATTTATTACCATCGGTCGGTAAATAGCAAAGATATATTAATATACAATTTTACATTAACTGAAAACTGAATGTAATCTAAAAGGAATGTGTTATATTTTTTAATTGATAATATTCTGTCCTACCGACTGTTGCTATAATAGAAATCCTTATTACCTACAGTCGGTAAAAGACAATTTTTAATCGTTATATTAAATTGATTAGCAATGTGCTTGGTGGGTAAAAGACTAAATTGACATTTCACTAAATTACAATTTTACACAGTAAAAGATTACGTTCGGAACACTCAGTCGGTAAAATAGTTTTTCTGTGTGTAGTTTAGCGAAATGGCAATTTAGCCTTTTGTCCACCAAGCATGTAATGAAAATGAAACTCATCCAAGAATCTGTTTTACCGACTGTTGTTATGTTAGGAATCTTTATTACCATCGGTCGGTAAATAGCAAAAGTTATATTAATATACAATTCTACATTCATTGAAAACTCAATGTAATCTAAAAGAAGTGTGTTTTATCCTTTAATTGATAATATTCTGTACTACCGACTGTTGTTTTGTTGGGAATCTTTATTAACAACGATCGGCACATAACAAAATTTATGTTTATATACAATTTTTACATTCATTCGGAGCTTAAAGTAATCTAAAGAAATTTATTATATTCTTTAATTACTGAGAATCTATATTACCGACTGTTGATATTTAAGAAATCTTCATTATCTACAGTCGATAAATAGCAAAATTTATATTAAAATGCAATTTTTCATGAACTGCAAACTCAATGAAATCTATTATATTTTGTAAGTGTTGAAAATATATATTACCGACTGTTGGTGTGTAAGAAATCTTCTTTACCTACAGTTGATTATTTTTTTATTTTTTCTTTATCTACTAAATATTTTATATTTTTTGTGTATTTTAATGAAAAAATGACCCATTCACAGATGGGAGACAATGATACAACAAGAGACTGCCGAGGAGACAAAAACAGAAGTCTCTGAACTCGATGAGGAGAAGGCAATAAGCTCAGAAGATGAAACAGCACTCGATGACGATTCAGCTAGCATTGATTATCCCCTAACAACACAACAATTATCCTTAATATCACGTCGACCAAGTTTACCAATTAAAAATGAAACACAACGCCCTGGTAGACGTCATTCGGTACCAATAAATATCACTAAATCCCTATTGCCAACAGTACGTGTAACTGTACGTCGTGAAAGTCTACCAAATGATAATGTTAAATTAAAAAATCCTCTACTCTTATTGAAACATGACGATCAATCAACACGCACATGTCGCAGTTCAAATTTATCATTATTCTCATCGAAAAGTAGTTTATTGGGCTCATCGGGTAATTCAAATAATGCCGAGAGACCAGTGAGCGCTGAAAATTTATTACCCGAACCAAGTATCGCCAGTATTACAAATAGTACCGAAGCATCGCGTCTCAGCTCCGTTCTACAGCCAGACAATCACAATAGGCCACAACAACAACAGCAACAAAAACAATTGACACGACAGCAGACCTTCCCACCACTTCAGCCGTACGTTCGAATGAGGTAAGTCACTTTTTTTTATTTATAATAGAAATATATTATTTTAAGAAAAAAATATAAAAAAATTGTTCAAAAATTGTTAATAAGAACAATAATCTACATTACCGACTGTTGGTAGAGGCGATATCTGCTTTACCGACAGCTGGTAAGATTGGTATCTGTATTGTCAATTGTTTTCGTCTTAATCTAAAATTTGGTGAAAGATTGATGATAATAATAACAGCATTACCGACTGTTGGTAGAAGTGATATCTGCTTTACCGACGGTTGTAGGATTGGTATTTATTTTATCGATTGTTTTCGACCTCAATCCTTATGCTAACCGTCTTAATCCCCTATAATTAATATATTCAGATACATTAACAATTGCTAGTAGGAATAAAAAATCCACACTATCGACTTTGGTAAAACCGCTGTCTACTTTACCTACCCTTGGTACACATTCTGCCTATTTTATCTACTGTTGATCAAATTAACCCTCTTTTCAGCTATCGTTTAGATTGTTAAAAAGAAACTTAGTTAAAATCTAACTATCACTGTGTGTTAAAATGCAATTTTCCGCACCGTCAGTAGATAAAATTATTGTCTAGTTTACCGACTGTTGGTAGTTATCATCACCCATTGCTTTGCCATCAGTAAGTTTGTTAAGAAAATATATATGCTAACGACTGTTCGTGGTCTCAATCCCTTTGTCAGGCGTGAGTAATTTTATCAGATATATACTATTGTTAATATTAAATTCAAAAGAATACAAATTACCGTCTCTTGGTAGAACCGCAATCTTCTTTACCGATTTCTGATAAAAACAACTACTGGCTTATGAACTGTTGGTATGAACCATTTTGCTTGCCGTCGGTAAGATTGTTAAGGAAAAACTTTGTCAACAGTTGCTTATAGAATTTAACGAGATTACGTTATCGATTGATGGTAAAATCGCAAACTTCTTTACCAACTATTGTTCAGTTCTTTAGTTTACATCATTTAGTATGTTTTTAAAATCCACATTTCTGCTGGTAAAATGGTAATCTACATTACCGATCGTGGGCAAGACAATGGCTGCATATAAGATTTCAAGAGATAGTTATCGATTGTCGGTAAAATCGCAAACTGCTTTACCGACTGTAGGTAGGATTATTACCGACTGTTGGTGAAATTAATTTTTTTAAAACATTTTTTGAAGATTTATCGGTTAAAAGGTACGTTAATCCTTCAGTATTTTTATAATTCACTATTGCTGTTGACAAAACGGCAACCTACTTTACCGATCGTCGGTAAGATTGCAGACTGATAAACCAAATACAAACATTATGACTATAAGTATTGACGTCTGCTAGCACAACATTAATTTACATTATCGACTGTTATTATTTAATATTAATAATTAAATTTCACAAATTTAGTATTAAATTAATTAATTAATTAATTATTAATCTATTATTAAAACTCATAATATTGACTTTTGTGACAGACATTTAGTCATACTTTAATAATTTGTATTGTCGACTGTTAACATAGTAGTTTTCTTCATTATCGACAATCGTTAAATTGTTTTTATTTGAAAACTTTGGACAAGAAAAATCAATTTTTTTTATAAATATTTTAAATTCTTGATAATTATATAAAAAAATATATTTTTTTATTAACAGAAAAAAATGAAAAATTTAATACTCAAGAATATATATTTGAAGAAAAATTATTTTTATTTTATTTTATTTCCTTTTGTTAAATAGATAAATTGTGACAGTATTAAACATTTTTTATATTTCATGAAAAAAGTTGAAACCAATTCTAATTTTTTATTTTTTTGAAGATAAATAATGACAAAACATGTGTAGTTTTATATTTTAATTTATTTTTTTCTTACATTATCTGTATTTTACAATATTTTGTAAATTGAATTTCTCGATAAATGTAATTATTCTTAAAAGTTTTATTAAAATTCATCAAAAAAATTCAATTTTTTTAAAAAGCTTTGATGTAATTTATTATTTGTTTATTTAATATATTTTTTATAAAATTTCTTGAAAAAATTACATTATTTTCAAAAAAATTTTCATTTCATTTTTCATTTTTTTTTTGAAAATAATTTTAATAAAATTCTTCGTAGACATTTAATTAATTTTAATAATAATTTATCAAAACTGAATTATTTTCAATATCTATTTCAATAAAATTTTACAAAAGAATTTAATTATTTTAAAAGAAATATTATTAAAATTCGTCTCAAGAATGAATATTTTTTTTAGAATATTATCTTTAAAAGTAATGAATTTCTTCGCAGAAATTTAGTTATGGTAAAGAATTTCAAAAAATTCTTTTATCAAAATTTTATTTCTCTTTATAAATAATAAAATTCTTCTCCAAAATTCTATTATTTTCAAAAATTTTAATAATATTCTTGGCAGAATTTCAATTATTTAAAAAAAACTTTTAATCAATTCAATAATTTTTAATATCTACCACTACTTTAATAAAATTTCCCAAAAGAATTTAATGATTAAAAAAAATTTTTTAATATAATTCTATACGCAAAAATTTAATAAATTATTTTTATAAATAATAAAAATTCCAAAGGAATTCAATTATTTACACATTTTTTTTATAAAATAATTACATTCTTTTCATACATAATTAAATTTTCTTCCAGAGATTCAATTATTTTTTATACAATTTTTATCGAATTTCTCGAGAAATGAAATTATTATTAGAAATTTTATTAAAATTCGTCAAAAGAATTTTAATTATTGAAGAATTTGTTGACAAAATTCTTTATGAGAGTTTAATTTTAAGAAACAATCAATTATTCAATAAAATATTTATTTTTGTATTTAAATAATTGAATTCTCGTAGAATTATCTAATAAAAATTTATTTAAATATGATTTTCAGTTAAAATTTTAAATAAATTTTGAAAAAAATATAAAATTTAATACTCGAGAATATATATTTGAAAATTATAATTTTTCTTTTATTTTATTTTTTTTTATTTTTTTTATTTATTTATTTTTTTTTTATTTCGTTTTTTTTGTTTTTGTTAAATAGATAAATTGTGACAGTATTAAAAATTTTTTTATTTAAAGAAATTTTATTTTTTTAGAAGATAAATAATAACAAAACATGTGTGGTTTTATATTTTTTTTTTATTTTTTTTTTACATTATCTGCATTTTACAATATTTGACTATTACTTTTATGGACAAATATGTTATACATTTTTGTCAAAATTAAAAATTGTGATTAACTAAAGAAGTAATATTATTAATTAATTAATTAAATTAATTCTTATGTATTAATTTTAATATAGTGTATAATTTTTTTTTTTCGTAAGAAGACAAAAGAGTTTTAAATTCCAATATAAAAAGTTCTTTATTCTTATCTATCCGAGAAAAATTTAATATCCGTTGGCTATCATTTATACAATTTTAATATTTTTGCACGTGTTTTTAAAATTTATCAAAATTTTCGGATATTTTTATCTGTTTTTCAATTTTTTCTTTCTTTTTTTTAAATTTTCAACTTTAAAATATTTTAGACAGCAAATTTTTAATTTTAGTATACTTTTTTTTATAATTTGAAAGCTTTTATTTTTTCTGCTATTCAAAATACAGGAATGGGAAATGCTTCCTTCTTAAATTGCTAAATCATCACTATCTTCTGCATCAGAAACGTTTCCTTCAAAAATTGCTGATTCTTCACTTACTTCTGAATCGTTATCGTTTTCTTCTGATGCAGAAGAATCTTCAGAATCTAAGTAAACCAAAAAATTAGAAACATCTGTATCCCAATCAGAATTTTTGGACCTCATATTACGAGACCATGTGTGTTGAGATAGATTATTTCTTAGCAATTCAATATATATTATTGATTTGTTACCCATGTGTGTTAAAGATGTATCAATAACTGTAAAACTAACATCGGGGAATGTTATGTATCGATTTAAGAAAGCTGCATTATAATTATACAAGTCGACAAATCCATATTGCGAATTACTTTTAATATTGTAAATTATGTAATTCGGATCAGAATTTGGTTCTATTTTTGGAAATAGTGAATCGTAACTGTATCTATCTGTTAGCATTTTAATGTCATTAAAGGAAAATAAAGTTCCCTTTGAATGTACTGCATTTGCGAGCTGTTCAATATATTCTGTATTAGTTAATGTTTCACAAAGCCAGAGTTGAATTGGAGCCCTCATCCATTCTTGGTTCATTTGCAAAGTTGCTATCTTACTTAATAAATGGGTAAATATATTCCTGTTTGAAGTTAAAACAGATGTAGTATTCTGATTCGTTGCGTTGCCTGCCATGTCAAAAAGGAATTCATTTAATAAGCGCTTAAATGAACTGTCAGCTTTGTGCCTTAAATAAGTATACCACGTGGGTAAAAGTAAACGTTTCCTTTTCAATTCAATATGTAATATTTCTTTATTGCCCTCGTTTGATTGTGACAAATTTATCAAATCAAACGGTAAGGCAGGAATTGTTAGGTACAGATTTCTGAAATCTGGATTATATCCATCCAAGTCGATAAATCCATATTGTGAATCACTTCTAACATGAGAAAGTTTGAATGCGTGTACAGAATAAGAAATTGCTCGTGTTCTTGGAAATGGCATCTCACCACCTGGTTCTGTTGTTAGTATTTTAATGTCATTAAATAATACTGGACGACCATAGAACTCATCTAATTGTGCAATTTGATCAGGAATTGTTGAATTAGTTAACGGTTCACAAAGCCAGAGTTCAATTGGATCTATCATCCATGGTTCGTTATGTTGCCTAATAGCTAGTGAGGCTAGCAAAAGCAGAAATAAATTCTTATCTACATCTGAGATATGTTCAGCGCCCTGATGCATTACTGTATCTATCATTCTAGAAATAAACCAATCCTGAAGATGATGGTTTAAATTGTGTCTTTCCGGTTGTCTTTTGGAACGTTTGACTATTTTCAATTCCTTCTCCTTTAGATTCATTAGTTTTGTCTCTAGGTTCGAAAACATTTTGATAAAAATTGGTAAAACGTGGTCTTGGATGATTCGTTCAATGGATATTGGACTTAATTTTTCTGATACCTTTCTGAGGGTGCAGTTAATGATGATTTGATTTTTAGAGAAATCATCATAGACAATTCGTTTGAAGGAGGAAAGTGTTAGGTTGGTATTGTCTTTGAAGATTTTGGTGACGTAATTAGTGACGTTTCCATGGGATGCAAAGAGAGCAGCATTAATGATGTGGTGATAGAATTTGTCAACGTTCTTTATGTCCGTAAGGGATCCGTTAAAATGCAGTTCAGATTGTTTGGATACTTTGTCGAGGAGATGAATTTTAGCGGCAGTTTCGTTTTCGGATTTGCTTAGATATTCAAAAAGGGCATTGAGAACGGTTACTGTATCATTTTCTACTGTGGTTGTTGTCAGATTATTGGTATTAAGAATAATCCCAAGTGTCGTAATGTAGTAACAAACAGAAAGAGACTGAAAGTTGGATAACTGAGAATTAGGAGTTATTGTATTCATCTTACCGGTTTTATGAATCTTCTTCTAATTCTGTTAAAACTTCTGGCTCTGCATCTGCTGGTGCTTCTGGCTCTTCTTTTGCTACTGCTCGAACTTCTGGTACTGATGTTATTTCTGTTTATGCCTGGACTTCTAATTCTGCTGATGCTGCTCTTCTTCCAGTTTCTGATACTGTTTCTGCTTTTGCCTTCGCTGCTGTTTCTGCCAATACTCTTGCTTACACTTCTGGTTCTGCTATTGCTAGCACTTCTGGTTTCGATATTTCTGCTTTTGCTCCTGCTGATATTTCTTCTTATGTTTTTGTTTTGACTTTTGCTTTGTTGGAGTTGCCACTAGTGCCTCTGGTTTAAATACTTTTTCCCCTTCTACCATCCTTTACTTTATTATATCTTTATTTTCTTTTGTTATTTCTTCAACTTCTGCTATTTCTTCAGCTATTTTTGGATTGGCTTTTACCTTTATCACTGCGTCTGTTAATGTTTCTACTTTTACTGCCACACGTGCACCAGGTGCACTATCATCAGAAAAAAAAATAAAATAAATGTAATAATCCGGAACCGTATGTATTTGAAAAAAATAATTTAGGCATTGGTAGAAATTTTAATTTTTTCGAAATTCAAAATGGCAAACAAAAAAATATCTAAAGATTTGAATAGTCAGAAAAATAAATTAAAAATAAATTTAATCGTTATAAAATCGTTTGATTTTTATCGTTTAAATTTGGTAACTCGTAAACAAATTGTTGAAAAATACCGTGCGACCAGGATAGAAGATGGATTGAAGGGGATAAAATAAGGGTTGTTTTGAAAGATATAGAAGAAAAAATGAAAATACTGAGATTCAAATGGGGATAGAAGAGATTATTATTATTATTGTCAAAAAAGAAAGTATTAAAGAAGATAAGAAAAATGTTATTCAAAAAGATGGAGGAGAAGAGAAGATAGAAAAGCGATTGTAGTAATAAAAATGGTAATAAATTAAGAGCTACTCGTGCACCAGGTGCACTATTATCAGAAAAAAATAAAATATGTAATAATCAAGAACCGTATAATATATTTGAAAAAAATAAATTTTTATTTTATTTTACTTCGTTTTTTGTTTTCTTAACTTGATAAACCGTGACAGTACTATATAGTTTTATATTTCACAAAGTTACTGATAATAAATTCTGCTCTTTTATTATATTTTTGGTAGATAAATAATTTCAAAACATGTGTATTTTTATTGTTTTTTATTTGTTTTTTTATATTTTGCGTACTTTACAATATTTTATATTTAATTTTTTTTTTTTTATAAATCTGACAAACATTCAATTATTTTTTACTAGTTTCAGAATATAATGTTAATTAATTTGTTGAATTAATTTTTTTTTTGATATAATAATTAGTGAAATTCTTTTGAAGAAAGACAAAAGTTCTAAAATAAAAATCCCAATTTCAAAATCTCGAAATTATTATCTATCCAAGGAATATTTAATGTACATTGGCAATCATTGGCCTTCTGAATATTTTCTATAATATTTGTTCTCTTGTTTCAAAATTTACTCCAATCTTTTGATATTTTTACTTTTTACCAAATTTTATTAAATTAAACTTTTTAAAAAAAATTAATTCTTTAAAATTGCTAATGATAAAAAAAATATAGAAAATTCAAATATTTCAATTTCAAAACCTTTTTAAAATTATTTAATTATTTAAATACAAAAGTAAATAATTTATTGAATAATTGAATGTTTTGTTAAATTTATTTCTTATAAAGAATTTTATCAATAAATTTTTAAATAATTGAATTCCATTGACGAATTTTTAATGAAATTTTTAAGAATAATTATATTTTTTGAGAAATTCGATTAAAACTGTAGTAAAATTTTGGGATGAGCTTTTCAAGAAAAAAGCTTTTCAAATTCTTTTAGGAAATTTATTAAAACAGTAGAATATTGAAAATCATTGAAAATCATTGAAATCAGGAAATTTTTTAAAAATATTTGAATTTTATAAAAGAATTTTGTTACTTATAAAGATAATTGTGATTTTGTCGAGAATTTTTTTTTTTTAATTTTGAATATAATTGAAATTCTGTAAGAAGAATTTTATAAAATGTTTTTCAACTAAAATTTTTCTATAAATCCATTATTTTTAATAATTAATTAAATACATATTGACAAATTTAAATAATTTCACATAGTAGATGTCCTCATTACCGACAATCGTTAAAATATTGTTATTTGAAAACTTTAGACACAAGAAAATAAATTTTTTCACAATGGATAAAAATATGAAAGAATAGATTATTTTTTCTTATCAGCAAAAAAATATGAAAAATTTAATACTCAAAAATATATATATTTAAAAAAAGTAATTTTTATTTTATTTTGTTAAATAGATAAAATAATAGATTTGTGGCAGTATTAAAAGTTTTCTATATTTTATGAAACAAATTCAAAGGATTTCGACTTTTTAAAAAGATAAATAATGACAAAACATGTTTAGTTTTATATTTCTTTATTATTTTCTTCTTTTGCATTATCTGTATTTTACAATAATTAACTTTTGCTTTTTTAAACAAATCTGTTATAAATTTTGGCAAAATGCAATTATTATTTCTTATTAATTAAAGAATGTAAATATTGTTAATTATTAATGAATTAAATTAATTTTTATTTATAATTTTAATATGGTGTATAATTTTTTTGTAAGATGACAAAAGAGTTTCAAACTAAGAATTCCAATTTAAAATTTAAAAAGTTATAAATTCTTATCTATTTAAGAACAATTTAATACCCGTTGGCTGTTATTTACAATTTGTATAATTTTTCACATACGTTTTAAAATTTTTACAAATTTTCGGATATTTTGACCTGTTTTCAATTTCTTTGTCTTCTTTTTTTCAATTTTTCAATTTTAAAATATTTTAGACAGAAAATTTTTAATTTAATACTTTTGATAATTTGGAAAATTTTATTTTTCTTCTTTTCCATACCGAAAAAAATTCTACTTAGAATGCAATTATTTAAATACAAATAAAATGCAAATAAATAATTTATTGAATAATTGAATGTTTCTTAAAATTCAATTCCCATAAAGAATTGCTATCAACAAATTTTTGAAATAATTGAATTCTATCAACGAATTTTAATGAAATTTTTAAGAATAATAACTTTTTTCCAGAAATTCGATTAAAATTTTTCGGATATTTTTACCTATTTATTTTTTCAATTTAGTTTTCTTATTTTTAAAATTTTTCAACTTTAAAATATTGTAGACAACAAATTTTTAATTTAGTACTTTGTGATAATTTGGAAAATTTGATTTTTCTTATTTTCCGTACCATCCTTATACAAAGTCGATAGAGTTTTCTTCCGGCATTTCTGAATCTTCAAAATCTTTTGAATTGGGAAATTTAATTTCTGATGGCATTTCTGAATCTTCAGCATCTAGTGAATCGGGAAGGTTTCCTTCTGCTATTTCTGAATTTTTAGAATCTATTGAATAGATCCTGGAACTTTCGGTTTGGGAGATTATTGGTATTAAGAATAATCCCTAGTGTCGTAATGTAGTGACAAACAGAAAAAAACTGAAAGTTTGATAACTAAGAAATAGGTGTTATTGTATTCATCTTACGGTTTTTGTAAATTTTCTTCTGTTCCCTTTAGTATTTCTGGATCTGCTTCTGCTGATGCTTCTGGTTCTGCTTCTGATATTTCTGCTTATGCTTCTGGTTCGTCTTCTGCTGACAGATGTGTTAGTGCTTCTGCTTGTACTTCTTTTTCTGCTTCTGTTAATCTTTCTGCTTTTGCTACTACTTCTGCTTCTACTTCCACTTCTGGTTCTACTCGAATTCCTGCTTATACTCCTACTGCTGATAATGGTTCCGCCAACACTTCTCCTTCTTCCGATATTGATTCTGATTCTACTTCTACTTTTGTTTATGCTGTATTTTCCGCTTGGGCTCCTACTTCTGATAATGCTGCTGCTTCTACTCCAGATGTTGTTGCTACTACGTTTCTTGCTTATAGTACTGGTTCGGTTTGTGCTTTCGCTGGAACTTCTGGTTCTGCAATTGTTGGTTCTTCTGCTTCTACTGGTGCTTTTGCTTCTGCTAATATTTCTACTTTTTATCAATTTGGTTCGGCTTTTGCGTTCGCTACTATTTCTGCGTTTGCGTTTGCAAATACTTCTACTTTTGCTGCTGCTAGTATTTCTCCTTCTGTTACTATTTCTGCTTGTGCTTCTGAATCTGCTATTCTTTCTGCCTTGTGAGAACTCTGACAGAGAACTTCTGACTCTGCTTGTACTCCTACTTCTGTTATTGTCTTCGCTTCTACTTGTATTGGAGTTTATGCTTCTTCTGTTTCTGCTTGCTGTGCTTCTAGTTCTCTTTACTATTCCATTGTCTCTATTTCTGCTGTTGCTTTTACTACTGCTTGACCTTCTGGTTCTATTTTCCCTTCTGCTGAATTTTCTGCTCGGGCTCCTACCTTTGATATTGTTTCTGCTTCTATTTTTCTTTACACTACTGGTTCGTTTTATGCTTTCGCTGGAGCCTCTGGTTTTGCTACTGCTGGTCCTTCTGCTATAGCTTCTGCTTGAACTCCTACTTCTGACACTCTTTTCGCTCTTGCTTCTGCTTGAACTCCTACTTCTGACACTCTTTTCGTTCTTGCTCCTGCTTTTACCAACGCTAGTGCTTCTATTAGTGCCTTTACCACTGTAAAGATTTCTACTTGATGTGACTTTCTTTCCCCTTTTTGCAATGCTAAGATTACTGGTACTTTTACTTTTGCCAGTAGTTTTGCTTTTATTTCTTTTGCCTAGACTTCTACTTCTGGTAGTGCTCCTGGTTCGAATTCTGTTTTTGCCTTTACAATCGTTTCCGCTTTTATTCTTTATCACACCACTGGTTTCTTTTATGCTTCTACTGGAGTTGCTACTGCTGGTCCTTCTGGTTCTACTTTTGCTTCCGCTTTGGCAACTGCTTTTGATTTTAGTTCCGTTTCTGCTTTTAATTTTACTAACACAAGTTGTTCCACTGGTGTTTTTGCCTCTGCTTCTAATGCTACTACTTTTATTTTCCACAGTAGTTTTGCTTATGTTTCTGTTTTTTCCTGAACTGATACTTCTGCTTCTGTTTTTAGTTCTGATACTATTTCTGCTTCTATTCTTAGTTATGCTGCTGGTTCGTTTTACGCTTTTTAAGCATTTGCTGGAGTCTTTGCTACTGCTTGTACTTCTGGTTCTACTTTTCCTTCTGCTGGAGTTTCTGCCTGGACTCCTACTGTTGATACATTTTCGGTCTTTGCTTTTGATTTTACCAACGCTTGTGATTGCAGTAGTATTTTTGCTTCTGCTAATATTTCCCCCGGATGTACTTACAGTATTTTTGCTTCTGCTAATATTTCTCCCTGATGGGCTTACAGTATTTTTGCTTCTGCTAATATTTCTCCCTGATGTGCTTACAGTATTTTTGCTTGTACTTGCAGTATTTTTGTTTATGCCTCGAATTTGGGTTTTGCTTGAAGTTCGACTTCTGCTGACGCTCCTAGTTCTGATAGTTTTAATATTTTTAGTATCGTTTTTGATTTTATTCTTGCTTGTGCTTCTGATTTGTTTTATGCATTTTATGCTTTTGCTAGAACTGGTCCAACTGCTAGTGCTTCTGGATCCTCTTTGGCTTCTGCTTTTACTGTTGCTTCTGCTAGAATTTCTACTTGTGCTTCTACTTCTGGTATTATTTTCCTTTCTGCTTCCACTTTTACCTACGCCACTAGGTTTACTGGTGTCTTTGCTTCTGCTGCTTCCACTCTTGCGAATATTTTTGCTTATGCCTTTGGTCTGGTTTTTACCGGAACTTTGACTTCTGATTCTGCTAGTACTCCTGGTTTTGATATTGCTTTCGATTATGTTCTTGTTTATTTTTTTCTGCTTGTTCTTACTATTGGATCTGTTTATACTTTTTTTAGTGCTTGGACTTTTGCTAATATTTCTTGATCTGCTTCTGGTTTGGCTTTTTCCTTTACTACTGCTCCTGTTAATACTTCTACTTTTGCTGCTGCTCGTGCCCCTGGTCCTGATATTGTTTCCGCTTCTTCTGCCTATGCTGCTGCTTCTGTTCGTACTTCTGATTCGACTTTTACTTCTGGTTCTGATTCGGCGTATGCTGCAACTTCTGGTTCTACTTTTCCTGCTGCTCGAGCTTCTGGTTCTGATGCTATTTCTGCTTCTACTTAAACTTCTAGTTCTGCTTTTGCATCTTCTACTACTTCTGCTCCTGGTTCTGCTACTTCTTCTTCTACTTCGACTTCTAGTTCTGCTTCTGCTACTACTTCTGCTGCTGGTTCTGCTACTTCTTCTTCTACTTAGACTTCTAGTTCTACTTCTCCATCTGCTACTACTTCTAGTTCTGCTTTTGTATCTGCTACTACTTCTGGTTCTGCTTCTGCCTCTGCTAGTACTTCTGGTTCTGCTTCTGCTGGTGCTCCAATTTCTGATATTGTTTCTGCTTCTGCTCCTGCTTGTACTTCTGGTTCTGCTCCTTCGTATGCTGTAACTTCTGCTCCAACTTTTGCTACTGGTTGTACTCCTGGTTCTGATACTTCTGCTTCTGCTAATGTATCTGCTTCTACCTCTACTTCTACTGATGTCTCTGATTCTGCTTTTACTCCTACTTCTCGATTTTCTGCTCCTGCAACTATCTAAAAATCGTTCCTGTTTCATTAGGACATTAAATTGTTTCCCTAAAATTAGAAATTATTAAAAAGAATCTTACCGCATTGAAATGCCACGTCAGCTTCTCCAGAGATTAATATCGTTAAGACTCCACACTCCTTGAAAACAGAAACTATACTAATCTTTACAGCATTTTACAAAAACAATAAAACCCTATCTTAGAAGTTGTGACCAAACCATAAACTTTTATATTCCTTGAAGATAAAGTCAAATCTCTTTTTTATTGTTTCAGGTACATGTCAACAACAGCGGAAATGAGTCAATGTTGCGAAATTCTAATGGAAGCTGATAGTCCCTCTTCTTCATCGTCAAGTCCAACGAAAGATAAGGGTAACGATGTTCCCGAGGTTCTTGAAGAACTAGACGACGACGATGATAGAAAAGAAACTAATGATGTTGAACAAAATGAATCTTGTCCAGGTGGTAATTGTGGTACACCACTCGATGAAATTGCTAATGATGATTTTCCCAAAATGTCATCATTAGGTGACAATTTTATCGCTAATGAATCACAAAGACGCGCATCGGCTGCTGCTTTTGAAACGCATAATAAATTAATTAATATCGATTATCCCCGTCGTCATTCAATGCAAATATTAAGACCTGATGATCGTCATCAACGTAATCGACGACCATCATCGGCACAAGATTTAAATCAAATACAATTATCGCGTACGCAAATGATGTCCGAAATATCAGACGTAAAATCAATAAATAACGATAAAAACTCAAGTTGTGAAATATCGATAAGCGAGGATATGAGAACATTTTCCACATCGACAACAAAATCAGAACGTTATTGCAGTGGTATATTGCAGGACGCAAGAATAAAATGGATTGAAACAGAATCGAGGCGTTATTCAACGCCAGTTGCCGAATCGTCGAGTGGTAAAAAGCCATTGGCGGCAATTAGTGGTGGTAGACGATTTACGGCAATACCAGTGACAACAGAAATCTCATCGGGTTCACAAAATAAAGTATTTTTCATTGGCAGTCCACCAGATTCACCGCCACGTGTCAAGAGTGTTTCGTCGTCAAGTGACAGTGGTGGGAGTGGTGGTAGTGGAGGTGGGGGTGGCGGCAGTGAACCACAACGACGTAGTATTGGCGGTTCAAGTAGTGACAGTGTTTCAATTGGCAGTAAACGCGATTTGGATACGGCGCGCGATAGAGCAACGAACAAAATTCCAAAATTAAGTCTCGATTCACAAATGAAGGAGAATGTCGATCCACGTGATGAAACATCAAAATCGCACGGACGTCGAAGCAATCAAGTGAGTTAATTTGCTTTTAATTTTATCCTGTAGTTTTTTCATCGTTATTCTTGTTGATTATTGTCTCCTACACTCCAAAAAAACGTAGCTTTCAACATTACCGACTGTTGATACAGTAGAAATCTACATTACCGACTGTTGGTAAAGTAATGTCCTTTCTTATCTACAGTCGGTATAGTAGAAATACGCATTGTTTACCGTAAAAATGCCTTGATTCGTAAATATACCTTGGTAGAACAACAATTTTCCAGACAGAAATCTATACTATCGACTGTTGCTAAAATATAAATCTATTTTATCTATACACTATTGCATACGTCACGCATTTTCGGACTAATTTTTCCCATTATTACGTATTTTTTGAACTACCCCTAAATGAAATCTATATTTCGACTATCGTTAAAGTAGAAATCTAGATTATCTTCGGTCGGTATAGTTGAAATCTACATTATACGCAGTAAAACATATCATTCTATAAAACACAAATTGGTATAACTAAGATCTATAATCTAGATTATCTTCGGTCGGTATAGTAGAAATCTGCATTATATGCAGTAAAAAATATAATTCTATAAAACACAAATTCGTATAACCAAGATCTATATTATCGACTGCTGCTGATCCTAAATAGAATCTATCCTTTGACTATAGTTGATGTATAAATCTATTTTATCGACGGTCGGTATTGTAGAAATCTACATTGTATGCGCAGTAAAAATATATCCTTCGATAAAACACAAATTGATATAATTAAATTATTTATTATCGACTGTTGTTAAAGGAAAAAAATTACTTTATCTACAGTCGGTATAGTAAAAATCTACATTATCGACAGTAAACATTAAAATTTATTCCTTTTTTTGACAAAAATTTAAAATAATTGTCTTTTTCTTTAAAAATTCTTTTTAAAAAATATTTTTTTTTATTAGGGATTGTCGAAGAGAAGGGGATCGGCACCAGTGGGCCTAATGTCTAGACTCGATGATATTTCCACGTCATCGGTGACGGCAATTGGCGAACAATATTCAAGACGTGGTTCGGTGCCGATGGATATTTCTTGGCAACAAAGTGAGTAATGGCGACAAAAGAAAATAAATTTTATTATCTTTTTAGTTAAAAAATTAAAAAAAATATATTATTGCAATATAATATATTAAAGCCATTATTTTATTTAATTATGAAAATAAGATTTATGTCTAAAAATAATTAATTGAAACGAAAAATAATAACAATAACTTAATAATTATTAAGTTAAATTATTAAGTTAATTATTAATAAATATTATTATTATAAAATAATTAATTTTGTATTAATAATGAATTAATTATTATTATTTTTCGGTGTTAATTTATTTATTCTTGTAATAATAAAATTACAATATTACCGCTTGTGAGAAAGTCAGTGGCGCTCTCTGTCAATCAAATTTCGCGCGGGCTTTTTTGAAAACTTAAAATTTTTTTTTTCTTTTTTAGTCAATTTTTATTATTATTTTTATTTCATTATTATTATTGAAATTTATTTAAATATTGTTAAATATATTTTAGTTTATTTTCTTATTATTTATTATTATCAAATTATAATTAATTATTATTATTATCGAATAGCAAATAATTTTTATTATTTTTTTAAAATTATTTTGTTAATAAAATAAAACAAAATATTAATTAACAAAATGAAATTACTTAATTAAAAATATGAATTGCAAATATTTTGCTTTAGATGGATCGACAAATAGATCGGCACTAGGTCCTCGGGAAGGAAATCTTCCGCCACCAAGGAGAGCGAGTCTTCCACAGGAAACGAGTCTTGGAAATCTTCTCGGTCACTTCATACCCAATTCCGGTAATTTGAAATTTAAATTTAAAAAAATTCAAACAAATTGATAAAAAAATAGACGTTTTTACAATTTTTTTTTTTATTGTAATACATTTAAATTTAATAATTTTAATCTCTTTTTTTCTATTTTTTCCTTGAAACTTTTGTTTTTTTTTAATTTGTTTATATAATTTATTCATAAGTATATTTATTAATTCATAGTGTTTTTTTATTTTGTCAATAAAAAAAGAAAAAAATTAAAAATAAAAATAAAAATTTTGGAACAAATTACCTTAATTTTAATGACAAAAATAATTTTTTCTAAAATTAGAAATTTTTATAATAAATTATAAATTTATAATAAATTTTTTATTGACTATTAATTATTTTTCTGTTATTTATTATTTTTTATTAGTGATTTAAATTTTTTGTTTTATCCTAAACTTTAAATAGATTTTGTTTAAATAAGTTTGGTTTTCTGCCTGGTTTTTGTAATTTTTACAAATTTTATTATTTATTAGGTTATATTATTATTTTTTTTTATTTTTATTGATTATTAATTATTTTTTATTTCCTAAAAGTTTAAATAGATTTTGTTTTACGCTTCTTGTAGTTTTAGTTACACTTTTTTCTATTTTTATTTTAGATATTCATTCGAGCTTTTATTTTAGTTTTAAAAAATATATAATTTGTTAATAACATAAACTATAATTTGTTTATGAAAATTGCAGTAAAAAAATTATAGTTGTTTGTTATACGAATTTTTTCCTATATCTAAAATTTTTAAATAGATTTCATTAAAATAAATTTCGTTTTACATTTTGTTTGGAATTGTAATAAATTTTATTATTTATTATTATTTATTTTTTATTTATTATTTTAGTTTTACATTCTCATTTCATTATCTAAAAAGTAAAAGTAAAAATTTTGTTAGCATCCATTTTCCTTTACGTTTTCTTGTAGTTTTAATTTTAATTTCTTCTTTTTTTATTTTATTCATTCACATTTAGTGTAGGTACTTTTTATTTATTTTCACTGTAATTTATTTATAACAATAAATAAAATCAAAAAAATTTTTTTTTAATTTTTAAAAGTATAAAATTATATAGTTTGTAACTCAAAATTTTTTTTCTACCTTTTTAGGTAGAAAAAAAATTTCAAATAGATTTTGTTCCAATAAATTTTGTTTTGCGATTTTATTTTTTTTAATCAAAATTTTATTATTAATTAATGTTTATTTATTATTTTAACTTTTGTTTATTATTTTTATTATTTTAATTTTTGTTAATTAAAAGTTTAAAAACGGGTTTTTTTAAAAAAGAATTTCGTTTTACGTTTTTCTTTTGTAATTTTATTAAATTTTATTATTTAATAATTTTTATTTATTTACTATTTATTATTTTAATTTTTGTTAACTAAAAAGTTTATTAAAAGTAGGTTTTTCGTTAAATGAATTTTGTTTCACTGTTTTTTTATTTAATTTAAAAACAATTTTAAAAAAATTTAATTTTATTAAATTTTATTATTTAATAATTATTGTTCATTTAACATTTATTATTTATTTATTATTTTAATTTTTGTTATCTAAAAGTTTGAAAATAGATTTTTGTTTAAATGAATTTTGATTCATAATAATGAAAATGTTAATAATAATGAAAATAAAATTGATAATTTCATTAAATTTTACCTATTATTTAATAATTATTGTTTTTTTAATATTAATTATTTATTTATAATTTATTTTTTATTATTTTCATTTTCATTTACCTAAAAGTTTAAAAAAATATTTGTTTTACGCTTTTTTATCTTTTTAATTTCAAATCTTTTAATTTTCCATTTTTATTTTATTTCTTCGTTTTCATTTTACTTCTAATTTATTTATTTCAGAATTTGTTTAGAATGAATTAATAAATTAATTTAATAAATAATTAATTAAATAAATAATGAAATTAAATTTTACCGTTTTCCTTTTTCCTTATTTGTTACAGAGGAACGTGAGAATTGTTCGATAAACAACAACAATAACAACAACAACAATAACAATAATAGCTCAAGCAATAATAATGGAAATCGTTTAACCGAGGGCAATGTCGTCGGCGGTCTTCTTCTTGTTCCAGGAATGCCATCGCCACGACGTGGTTCAGTTCCCGCTGATATTTCAGAATTACGTCGCGATCTTTTTGGACGTAATAGCGTCAATGGAAAATCGCGTAATCGAAAAAAAGTTTTACGACGACGCAGCAGCGGTGGACCGGAAATGTTCGCTGGCGGTAATAATACCGATGGGAACAATGAAAATCTTTGGCTCAAATCGAGGCGCGACTCGATAAAACGTGACTCAATACCAGAACCAGTTGTCAAGCGGCGTGGATCGCTGCCAATTGATGTTGTTGCTGTTTCTCATGTCGGTCGGTACATTCACAGATAAATGAATTTAAAAAAAAACGATTTTTTTTTTGCAAAAAAAAAAATACGCAATTCGTCAAGAGACGCCACACTCACGACACAAAACTTGAAAAAAAGAAATTTTTTTCACAGCACTTTCGCTTCCCTTTTTTTCACACAAAATAAGCACGCAAAATTTTCAAAAAAAAAAAAAAAATTGCTTCTCACCCAAAAAAAAATTATTTCTTTCACCGAAAGTCGAACGAACGATCAGTTTTTATTCTCCGACGAGTCTTTTCATAAAAATTTTTATTTTTAAAAAATTTGATCATCAAAATTGACAAAAAAGAAAAAAAATAAAATAAATTTATTTAAAAAGTAATTTTCATGTAAAATTTAGTAAAAGAATAATTTTCAAATAAAATTTATAAAATAGAATAATTTTCAAAAACAAGTATATTCTTTTTTATAAAATTATTTACAGCAAATCATTGAGAAGAAAAAATTCTCTATAAATTGAAAAGTATTAAATAAACAATTAAATAAAGAAATAAAGAAAAATTGAAAAGTAAAATTGAAATCCAAAAATAAAAAAAAAATTATCGAAAAAGAAAGAAATTATCTACGGAAAAAAATAAATTATTGTTATTAGACGAGTCGGACGGTAAAAAACGAAATCGTTCGTAGACTGAATCATAATAATGATGATGAGAAGAGAGAAAGAAAAAAAAATCGCCAATTTCTTGTCAAAAAAAAAAATAAAAAAAATAACAGGAACAGCAGCCGGACTACGAAGATCCAGCCTCTGGAGACTCTAAACGAAAAAAAATTCACTGGATGGACCCAGAGAAGAAGGTTATCGAAAAAAAATCGATTTCATCATCAACAACACAAGAACGAAAAATCGAAGAAACATCCGAGTCAACAACTGATGTTCCATTGAAAAAGAAGAAGAAAGAAAAAAAATAGATGCTCTCTTTATCAGAAAATTTCTACACACGTCTAAAAAATTCTCCGAAATCTATGTAATTGTTACAACAAAAATGAAAAAACAAGAAAATTGGACGAAAAAAGAAAGAAAAAATTGAAAAAGGTAAAATATTTCACTTTTAAAATTAAAAATTACAAAAAATGTTAATATGAAAAAAATATTCTTTTTTTATTGAATTGAAATTTTTGACATTTAAATTTTTTTGCTATATCGAATTTAACAAAAATTTTAACAAATTTTTTTTTAAATTAGTTTTTAAAAAAATAGTTTACTTTAAAGTTAATTTTAAAAAAAATTATTTTGTTTTAAAATTAATTTTTAAAACAACTTTTTAAAATTAAAAAATTTTTTTTTTTGAAAATTATTGAAAAAAATTATTTTGCTTTAAAATTAACTTAAAGACATTACTTATTTTTTTTAAAATGAATTTAAAAATATTATTTTGGTTTAAACAATAAAAAAAAATTATTTTCTTTTAAAATTATTTTAAAGACATTATTTTGTTTTTAAATGCGTTTGTGTTAAAATGAATTTAAACAAACTATTTTGTTTCTTAAAGTATTTAAAAAAATGATTTTTTTTTTCAAATAAATTTTAAAAAACATAAGTTTGTTTTAAAATCAATTTAATACAAATATCTTTTTTTCAAAATTAATTTAAAAACATAATTTTGTTTCAAAATCAATTTAAAACAATTATTTTTGTTTCAAAATTAATTTAAAAATATTATTTTACTTATTAATTTTTAAAAAATTACTTTGTTTTAAAATAAATTTAAAGAAACTTTTTTTTTTAAATAAATGTTACAAAATTTATTTTGTTTTATAATCAATTTAGAATTATTATTTTGATTTTTAAATAATTTAAAAACATAAATTTGTCTTAAAGTTAATTTAAAAAAAAATTATTTTATTTTAAAATGTAAAGAAACTGTTTTGTTTTTAAACAAATTTAAGAACATTTATTTTTTTTAAAATTTAGTTTTAAAAGTTATTTTCTTTCAAAATTAATTTAAAGATAATTTCTTTTAAAATTAATTTAAAAGAATTATTACGATTTGATGAAATTATTAACTAATTAAACTATTAATTGATTCATGAAATTATTAGTTAATTAGTTAATGAGTTAATTAGTTATTTAGTTATTTAGTTATTTAGTTAATTAGTTATTTAGTTAATTAGCTAATTAGTTAATTATTTAATTAGTTAGAAAACAAAATTAGTTAGAAAAAAGAAAAAATAATTTTGCGCTTAAATATTATATAATATACAAGATTTTTTTCCATCTCGGACATAATTTTTACGAAAAAAAGCGAAAAGAAGCGGGGAAAAAATTTTTTTTTTTAAATACACACGTACATACATAATATACATACACATTTAGGTACGGAGAAGAAGAAAAGACTGGTAGAGAAATTCGCGGCTCTAGAAAGTTTTAGACATTTAAAAAAGAGATAAATGAAAAAAAATACAAAAGCAGTGAAATATCGTTTCATCAAAAATTAAAAATTAAAATAAAAAATAATTAAAAAAAAAGAAGAAGAAGAAGATGATGATGATGAAGAAATACAGTAGGCTGAATCGTTGTCGATTGTGACAAAAATTTTTTGCTCATAGTTAGGAAACAATTTTTGAATCTCTTTTCATAATCGTGTTTTTTATTTCTTTTTTGTTTTGTTATTTTGTTTATTTTTCGGAGGGTAAAGTTTATCATTTTCTCGAGTTTGCTACCCCTTTAATTTTAAAAGTTTCTTCTTCCAAAAAGTACATTATTTTAGAGAAATATATTGCAAAAATATTAAATATAATTTAAATTACGCGCCTTTTTGAAATCTACATTATCGACCGAACATAGATGGGAAAAAGGAGGAAAAATTTTTAACTTTCTTTCTTCAAAAGGCAAAACTCGAGAGTATAAAGAATGATTTTCGTTTTATTTTTTAAGAGATAAGAGAAAGAAGGTTTTATGAGGGTGAGGTAATTTATTCATGATTATTGTATAGGAATTTTAACAAAAGCTATTGAAGCTGGCTCTATAGTGAAATATACTCAATTACAGAAAAAAGCGCATAAAGAAACCGTAGACATTCCTTTTAATGATGTATAGTTCTTGGATAATAATAATAATAGTAATAATAATAAAATAAAAATAATAATAATAAAAATAATAATAATAATAATAAAAATAATTATTATAAATATAGTTTTATAATAATATAATAATAATTATAATTTAATTATATTATATATTATAATACTATATATTTATAATAATAATTGTTGTTATTATTATTATTTTTATTATAAATTATAATAATGAAAATAATAATAAAAATAGCAATAATGATAGTAATAATATTATAATTAATATTAATAATGAAAATTAATATGAATAATATTAATAAACAAAGGAAAATAATAATAATAGTTAATATATTATTATTATAAAAAAATAACGATAGTAATGAATATCAGCACAATTCATTTCATTATCATCCTCATCATCGTTGTTGTAATAAGGAAAAAACGATTTCGTGATGAAAATTTCTTGTAGATAGTGTAAAACTCGATTTTAAAAAATAGAAATTATTTTTTTCTCTTCTAATTAGTGTGTCTTTATTTATTTCTATTTATTTAATTAGACACGTAAAAAATTTAGTTTCTCTTTTTTTCTCATTTTTTTAACTTTAATTGCTAAATTAGAAAATTTAGTATTTTTTTATGGACTTTATGGGGTTTTTAATGATTGATTTTAGATTTTTTTGGTTTCAATTTAATTGAAATTTATTATTTTTTTTCTTTAATTTTTAATTAAAATATTCAATTAAAATTTTAAATTAATATTTATAATTAAAAAATTTAATTAAAATTATAATTGCATTAAAATACAATTTATTATTATTAAAATAGAAATAAAATTTCGTTTTTGTGTTAAAAAGAAACTTTTTTTTTTTTTTTTTTTTGGTAAAATTACGTTTTTTTATAATTTTTTTTTTGGAAATTATTTTTTTGCTATTTTGTATTTGCATAATTTTTCTATGAGTGTATTGAACGGGGGTATTTTTTTCGTTTAATTACTATTTTCCTTGAATCTCGATAAGCAACTCTTTCAAACTGCCTTTCCTTTCGCAATAGGAGCGAAAAAAAAATTCCTTCGTCTGTTAAACTGTCCGAAAGTAAATTAATGTTAACTAGAAAAAAAACTACTATAATTATTATCGACTACAATTAACTCGAACTTAATAATCAATGTCAGTATAGAATAGCGAAATTTTTCTTTCACCGAGAGAATTGTTAAGAAAAAAAAACAAACAAAAATAATTATAATAATACTAATAATAATTACATACTCGATTTATTAGTGATTCAGTGTCAAATAGAATTTTCTTCTACAATCTCCATTTTAACGAGCGATAATTCAGAGAAAAAAGAATTTTTTTAATATTGTTTTGAATTTTTTTTCAAAAATTTTAAAATTTTACTATTTATTTATTAATTTTATTAACTATTACAACTATTTATCAAATTTTTTTGCATTTTACACTAATTTTTTGTTATACTATCACTTTAACTTTAAAAAACCTGAAAAAATGAAAAGTAAATTTCAATCTCCCGCGTTTTCACTATCTACCTTACCGACCCAACATAGATAAGCAAACTCAACTTGAAAAAAATTCTCTTCTCTCAGAATTATTATTACACTAAAAAAAACTCAATATTATACTTTATTCAGGGTTCCTTATTGCGAAACAGACCAATAAAAGGGACTAAAACCAAAAAAAATTGTATATTATAAAACAAAAATGGAACACAAGTTTTAAATTATAAATCATTAAAAAAAAGTAACTACTGAAATAGTTCGCTATTTATTCTACATACGAACTGAGCACCACTTTTTGATCAATTTAAAAGCACTATATAAATAGATAAATGTTAAAAGAAAAAAAAATTCCTTATTCGCTATAACTTCTCTAATAGAAAGGAAAAAAAAATATCTTAAAAAAACTACGATTAAATCTGAAAATAATTTCAAAGAAAATGTAACTTCAAACTTTTTTCTAATATCACTTTTTTTGTTACAACAACCTGGTGAAAAAATAAACCACAAATAAAATCGCTTTTAAATTAAAAAAAAAAAATGAAAATTTCAGTCTTCCCCCATATAATATAAATTCTTTTTTTACCTATTCAAGAAAAAAAACCAAAAAAAAAATTGTAAATCGTTTGACAACAAAATTAGTTCAACCTTTTTCAAAAAAAGAAAAAAGTAATTAGCATTTTTATACCTTTTGTTAAGTTTTATAAAGAAAAAAGTCGATAGTACGCATCAAAAAATAAAATTTTAAAACGATATATCGAATTTCCGAGTAAAAATCGATATATCGAATTGTTTTGTAATCGATGTATCGATAAGAGAAAGAAACATATTTTTTGTTACCGATAGATCAATATATCGAAATAAACGATATATCGATATAAAACGTTTGTTATCATCGATTGATCGATACATCGAATTGTTTTTATAATCGATCTATCATTCTACTTCTACTGTTAAATAATTACTGGTTGGAAAAATATTTTCGCAAACAATAATCAAAAATACTTGAAATCGATATATCGTCAATATCGAAATTTATCGAAACAAATCGAAATCGATAGATCTGAAACTAATTGTAAAATCGATTATCTAAATAAATAATTTTAATCGATAAATCAAAAATAGTAGATAAATCGAAATATTTGTAATCGATATATCGAAATATTTGAATTTTTATTTATATATATATATTTGATTTCAAATTTTATTTATATTTTTATTATAATAATATAAATGTGTATAGAAAACGAGTGAAATATCATTTTTCACCAGGATTTTAGAAATTCTATAACAAAAAATATTTTTTTGCTTACAAAGAAATCTTTTCAAATTTTTTTGCAGAAAAAAAATTGTATTTTAAAAAATTATTTGCATTATAAAAGGGACAAAAATAAATGAAAAGCAAAATTTACAAAAAAGTAATAAAAATAATAATAAAAATATTTAATAATAATAATAATAATAATAATAATAGAAGTCAGTAAGTAGTTACTACTAATATTTGTAAAAGACAATTTTCCCAACTTTTTAAAAATGTTTCTCTTTCTTTTTCAAAATATATATTATGTAAAAAAAAAATTATTGGAAAAAAAGACTGGAAAATTTTTTTTATATTCGAAATATTTTTTTATGTAAAAAAAAATGAAGAAATTGGAATTCTTAATATAAAATGATTGACAAAAAAAATTGGCTTAATTACGAAAAAGAAAAATAAACTGCCAATTTGAAAATGAGAATTTACGCGAAAAAAAATAGTATTGGTGATGTCAATTATGATGAAAATAAAAAAAAAAAAATTTTTTAAAAAAGAGAGGGAAAAAAAATTTTGCAAAACGCAGGTCTGACGATAAAAACAAAGTCATTGTATATTTTCTATACATATAATATTGACTGTAGATAATCAATGCGTTTAGCTGCGATTAAACGATGTGTTCTTTATTATTAAAAAAAAAAATTATTCATAATATTGTAATGCTGCGCGACACGTATTAGAATATAGATTAAAAAACGAGAGAAAGTGAGAGTAATTGAAAAGCGAAAAAGAGAGAAAGTAAAAAAAAGAATGAGAGAGAATGACAACAACAAAAAAAAAATAAAAAAAGAAACAATTTGTTTGTCTCCCCTTTCCACTGGGTGGAAAAATTTATACATATATACATATATGTGGCGACTATTAAATGGCCTATTGCATTCGTTACAGTAGTCCACGATAGAATTTTTGAATCTCCCCATAATTATTATTATTATTTATTTTCTTTATTTATTCAATTTTTCTGTTTTTTTTTTATTTATAATTAATTTGTATAACCCATGAGATACCCTGTAGAAATTTAAATATATATATATACATAATATACATATATATAAAAAAAAAGAATCACACGCTGGAAATACGAAATGACGTGTGTAAAACCCGTTTTGTTTATTAAAAAGTACTCGCAAAATTAATAAATCAAAAATTATTTATTTATTCCCAAAAATCCATGAAAATATTTCCAATTCATTATTCATTGTTAAAAAAAAATTTCTGTATTTTTAGGCTTAGCACTCATCTACTAAAACCTACTATTCTACTATTTACTACTTTTTTTACGTTATGCCACTATTTGGGTACTTTTTTTTAATTTCGACCACTAAAAAGCTACTATTCTTGTTTTTATTAGAATTTACTTTAAATTCGCTAATACTAGAAATCAAAAAACTATTCGAAAAAATTATAATCAAATTCTTTAAAACGATTCAATTATTTTCAAAAAATATTCGAAATTCTATTTTCAATATCTATAGTAATTCCATGAAATTTCGCAAAAGAATTCAATTATTTTGAAAAAATTGATAAAATTCATCTAAAATTCAATTATTCTCATAAATAATAAAATTTCCACAGGAATCCAATTATTTTTAAATAGCATTTTCTAAAAACTTTCGAAAAAATAAATTATTTAACAAAATTTTTATAAAATTCTTCCCAATAATTTAATTACTTTCACTAATAACATTTTTCATGAAAATACAATTTTTTAAAAAATTTTTTGATAGAATTCTATAAGCAAGAATTCAATTATTTTTATAAATAATATAACTCATTGAAAAATTTCAATTATTTTTTATACAATTTTAAATTAATTAATAAAATTCTTTGCAAAATTGAATTATTTTCATAAATAACAATATTCATCACAAGAAGTCAATTATTTTTAAAAGTAAAAAAATTTAATTTTAAGAAATAATGAATTATTCTTTCAATTATTTATTTTTGAATTTCAATAATTGAATATCTACTTGGCAGAAATTAAATTATTTTCATAGAACAATAAAGCTTTTCACAGGAATCTATTTATTTCTAATAGTTTTTTTTTAATAAAAAATATCGCGAGAGAAATCAATTATTCAAAATATTTTAATTAAATAGTTTTTTAAAAAATTTGTTTTAAATAATTTTTCGAGAAAATTCAATTATTTAGAAAAATTTAAAGAAAATTTCTCTCAAGAATTCAATTATTTTTACAAATGACAAAATTCTTAACTGAAATTAAATTACTTTTATAATAAAATATCTCAAAAGAATTCAATTATTTAAAAAGAAAATATTCAATTCTTTGCAAGAATTGAATTTTTTCTAATAATAATAAATTGTCACAGGAAAAATTTATTTTTAATACAATTTTATATGAATTCTTTGAAGAATTCAATTATTTGAAATTCTTTATTAAAAGTCTTCGTAAGAATTAAATTATTTTCAAAAATTTTGGTCGAATTATTTTCAAAAATTTTGATCAAATTCTTTACAAAAATTTTTTTTGAAATAATCCAATTATTCTTTTAGATTTTAATAAAATTCTTCCCAAGAATTCAATTATTTTGAGGAATTTTAATTAAAATTCTTTGCAAAATTCAATTATTTTCATAAAAATAACAATATTTATAAAAAGAATTCAATTATTTTTAAAACTAATAAATTTTTTCTTCGAAATTCAATTATTTAAAAAAAATTCTAATAATATCGTTCGCAAGAATTCAATTATTTTCATTAATAATAAAATGCTTTTTAGGAATTAAATTATTTTTAAAAAGAAAATTTAATAAAATGCCACATAGACATTAAATTATTGTGAAAAATTTTTATAGAATAGAATAGAATTTTAAAAGTGAGGAAAATAAAAAATATAGAATGCATTTTTTGTGAGTTTTGTGAAGTGTCTAAAACGAGTCTTTTTGGTCGTCAAGTTAATTTTTGGATAGCTACTTTTTTACTACTATTTTTAGTTTAAAAGCTACTTTTTTAAAATTAATTATCGAATGCGAAGTCTGGTATTTTTATTTTATTAATGAATGATTCGTATTTTAATTGATTTATTTATTAATTCGCAGTTTGAGGTTATTATTATTTATTAAATTCGGTTGAATGGTTTTTTTCATCATTCATGTTGATTTTTTCAATTATTGTGCTTAGTGCTGTTTATTAATTGACAGTTTGAGATTATAAACATCTTTCACGTCGATTTTTTCAATTATTTTAGAGGTGGCTTCGTGTCAAAATTTTAGTAACCTAAAATATACCTGTTTTTGTCTTTTTATTACATTACAGATAATTTATGTTTAAATAAGTAAAAAAATGGTTATTTAAAAAAATCGAGACGTGATGGAGATAAAGGGGCAATGGATTTGGATTCAACTGACAAAAATGCTTTAGGAATATGCAAGCTCCGATTCACTGAGTGAACACTTGCCAACTGTCGAATTCCGTTTTCATCTTGCAACATTGGGTAGTTGACAAACTTGAAAATTTCATCTAGCAGGGTTGGGCAGTTGGCAAAAAAAGTGGAAAATTGTCCAGTGGCGAATAAGGGTGCAATCCCATTACAGCAGAATACGTCGACCGAAAACAGAAAATCATGAGTGCGAAAGAGATAGATAGATATTGTTGTTCTTTTCACTCTCATGATTTTCTGCTTTCGGTCGACGTATTCTGCATACATGGGATCGCACCCTAAGGCTAGATTTACAAATGCGTTGAGTGAAGAAATATTCACCGACCGGTAAATATTTTTTTACTACTCGACAGATATGTAAATCTAACCTAATTGTTAAATAATAACTAAAATATTACTAAAAAATACTTTTTATTCAATTTTTTAAATTTATATTTTAAATTTTCATTCGAATAAAGTTCTGATAACTTTCAACAGAGAGCGTTTGTACAATAACGAACATTCCAATCTATGTTTAATTATTTTTTTTTCGTAGAGTGAAAATTAAACACCAGTTTTTCCTTTAATCCAATCGCGATAAAATGAAGTGCTACTGAATAATCCAGGATATTTTGCGCTTGACTTTTTAGACATACTAACAACACCAATCACCAAATCCTTGCCTTCAATTAATGGACCACCGGAATCACCCTGAAAAAAGTAAATTTTTTTTAAAGTACACCCAAATGCATATATTTTGTCTTTCCGGTTTGACGGAATTCTGAAAAGTCGTGTCCATTTCTATCAAATATTTTTAGTTCGTGACATACGAATGTTTATCATGAACTAAAAACATTTTGACAGAAATTACACGACGTCAGATCGGAAGGACAGCATAAATGCATTTGGGTGTACTTTTTACTTAATTAGTATTATAATAGTTCGTCTACAATAACTTTTTTTTAACTTTTATTATAATAAAGCCTCTTTCACAATGTTGCCGTATGCAAACAAGTGGAAGAAGGAAAACAAATCGTTTTTGCCTCTTGGCTACCATAACCTCGTAAATTTAAAACTGATTAGCTTAATTGCAAAAATCATAAAAGTTCATTATAAGTGTTTATTTTCCTTACCTGGCAAATATTCGAGATAGTACCATTTTTGTCCTTTGGTGTTCCATAGCATAAAACACTATTTTTGTGTGCAATATCAGGATACAATTCTTCGCATTGCTTATCACTGGACCTCTTTATACGAGCGGAGAGTAATGTTGGATTTGTACTTCCTCCCTGAATTTCAAATATTATAAGGTTAGAAAAAGTATTGTTTATTAATAACAATAAATATCTTTACATTGTACTATCTTTTTCGGTAATGAATCTGTTACTATGGAAACGTGTGCATTAGACAAGGAGAGAATGACATTTCCCACCTAAGTTGACACAGTTTAGCCGCGAGGAGCGCTGTAGTCGCAAAGTACCAACGGGGTAAAGGTCAATTCACAATAGATTTTCAAACCGAAACGTAGTAATTTTCTTTTTTTTTGTCAACTAACCAACTTTGCAAGGCGTAATTAACAAAAATTTCAACAAGGCTGGGTAGTTGACAAACAGTAGTTAGGTAATAAGGTAACTTTACAATACAAGCTATATTTCATGGTTAATATTGTGAAGGTTCATTCATAATGGTTAGGTGAAAATAAGGTACCTCTACAATACAAGCTATATTTCATGGTTATTATTGTAAAGGTTCATTCATAATGGTTAGGTGAAAATAAGGTACCTTTACAATACAAATTAACGATATATGTACTTCATCGCTGTTTTCGGCACTTACCCCGAGTTAACTCCGGGTTAATGGTGATTGGTTAGACCAACAGAATGTTTTTGATGATTGGATAATAGTTAACTCGGGGTTAACCCTGGGTGAGTGCCGAAAACAGCCTATATGATTAATATTGTAAAGGTTCATTTATAATGGTTTGATGAAAATAAAGTACCTTTACAATACAAATTAACGACATATGTACTTCATATAATTAATATTGTAAAGGTTCATTCATAATGGTTAGGTGGAAATAAGCTACCTTTACAATACAAATTAGCACTATATTTCATATGGTTAAGATTGTAAAGGTTCATTCATAATGGTTAGTTTGAAATAAAGTACCTCTACAATAAAATTTATCAAATTGAAGTTTAAAGGTTAATTCACAACACTTATTAGTAGATACTTAATTCCATCAAAATTATTATTAATTAAATAATTTTCAACTATTTGGAATAATTAATTTGCAAATAGAAAATAAATAAAATATTTATCAGTCTTACAATTGATGTGCAACCCCAGCCAGCAATTTGGGCCCATTTATCTTTTGGTGCTTGATTTTTTTTCGGTAATTTCGCTGGTTGGGTGAGCTCATCGTATTCGAATGGTGGATCAACCTTAAAGACGGCAATATCATAACCATCACTTTTTTCTTTACTTTTATCGCGACCAAATTTCTCATGCATATGATATTTCGTTATGTTGTGAATTTTCGGTGCTTTCTTGTCCTTTGTAATCATTTCCTTGGTGTAAGTGGTGCCGCTCACAACTTGGTACATGTCAATTTTTAGTTTATCGCCGATACTATTTGCAAAAGTATTTTTAATTTATATAAATTATTTATAAAATTTAGTTTAATAGTTTCATTTATAAAAATTTAATTTAAGTCAAATAAAATTAAAATTCCATAAAATTTAATTAAACTGAATAAGGTTTTAATTTATATTATATGATTAATCATTTTAATTTATAATTACAATTTATAAAAATTATAATTTGTAATTATAATTTTAAAAAATTTGTATTTAAAAAATAATTTATTTCTAATTAAATTAATTAAAATATAATTTAATTTAATAATTTTAATTAAATATTTCTTACTCCATAAAACAATGAGACGCTGATACTGCCCATGATTTACTGATTATTGCTGCACCGCATAAAGGATGGAAATTAATTCCAATTAAGGTTATTTCAACCTACAGAAAATTAAAATTTGTTATTCAAAATTAAGAAATTTTTTATATTCAAGAGAAAAATTAAAATCTTTTTATTTAAAAATTAAAAAAAAAAAAATTTGGAATGAAACTATAAATTCAAAATTTTACAAGAAAAATGAAATTCAAATTTTTTATATTTAAATATAATGATCAAAATTTTGAATAAAAATAAAATTTTAAAAATCTTTTATTAGAAATTAAAATTCAAAATTTTCTATAGCAAAATTTAAAATTTGAATTTTTAAAAAATTGTACTACGCTAATTAAGTATAATTTTTATATAATTACGATAACTTTTCAATTTTTTTTTGCACTCAACTAATTGTTATTTTATTACTTTTTCTATTTTGTCTTCTCTTTTTCTTTTATATATAAAATAATAGAAATTATAATTTGAAAAAATAAATTCTCACCAGAAATGGAAATTTCGATATATCAGTTTCATTACCGCCAATAATTCTATTTTGACCCCAAACTTCATAGAAATTTGCTGTTTCAAAATATAAAATTAAGAAGAATTAATTAACAATAAATTAAGTATTAATTAATATTGATTAAAATTAATTAATATAATTATTATAATAAAAATAATAAATTAATTATTATTTTTATTATTACTTTTTTATTTTTATTATTTATATTTTATGATTCGAAAAATTCAATTAAAATTAAAATTATAAAAAGAATATTTTAACAGGTTAAAAAAAATTTCTTTTTTACTTACACGCGACGAGTAATGAAAAAATAGTCAATGTCCATTTTGGAAGTGACATTGTAAATTTTTTTTTTTTAATATTAATAAAATAAATAATCATTATTCTGCCTTATATAGTAAAAAATGTCTTATCTTTATAGTGACGTCACAATTTAATAGGAATTTGTTTATTTTTATAAATATATAATATTTATAAAAAAAATTGTTATAATCACTAGTTTAGGCAACTTTTTTTTTCTCTACATTAAAAGTGGCATATTTTTTTCCATCTACTCATTGAGATAGCGCGTACAAAAAATAATAATTATTTATTTAAAACATGAAAAGTCGAGTAAGAAAATTAATATTTTTTTTCTAACGTTGATATTTTTTCTATACAAATTATTATAATTATATTGATAGCCAGTTTTATTATTTTCTAAATAAATTTATATTTTTATTATTAATATAGTATTTTATTTTTTATCTCTATTTTTTTATTATTTTAATTATTAATATTATTATTATTATTTATTTATTTTTTACTTATATAGAAAATTACAATTTTTTATTAAAAAATAAAGATTATTATTAATAATAGGGAACATATACAAATGATATAACAATGTGGGGGGAGGGGGTGAATTCTCAAAAAAGTGCGTAAAATTATTTGTGAACGCTCCCTTATTACTATTATTATTTTTTTTATTATTTATGTTATTATTTGTTGCACTATATTTATTACCTTATAATATTTTTTTTATATTTTTTTTAATTAATTTATTTATTTAATCAATAATAATTATTTTTTCAAAATATGATAGAAATTATTATTTTTATTAAATAAATATAGATAATATACTGATATACTTATATAATAAATACAATAAATTATAATGTATATTATATTTGTACACAATTTACTTTATCTTATTGTTATTATTTAAATATTATTTAATTCACATAATTTAATTATCTATTTAACAATTTGTTGTATTTTTATCTTTTTTTTTATTGTAAATTATTATTTTTATTGTGTACAGACCTTTAAAATCCAAATAGTAGTATTTTAAATTTTTTGAAAATTCAAATAATCCCGCGCTATTCGTCGCAGGCTTGCCACCTTTGCCACGTTTCAGAGCGACATAACCTCAAAATTTTGACAGTTCTCTTCTGTTCTTTCAATATTTGTCGCAATTGGTAAATATTTTTACAAGCAATGACCAAAGAAAAACAGTTTTAAAATATTTTTATTAAACAATTCCTCTGAGAAAATTATTAAATAATGTTTAAATAAGTGTATAAAAGTGAAAACAATGGATATCGAGACGGAAAAAGTGATAGAACTTGTATTTCCTGAAGGAATACCAGGTTAAAAGATTTGTCCTCGCGAAATTTGTTCTTTTGTTTTAAAAACAACTTTAAATTATCTATTCAATTATTTTTACTCTCTTTTTAAATTTTGAAAATATATTTACAGATTCTTGGAAGGAGAATCCTGATTTTTATCAATATTTGTCGAAATTAGGAGGATTTGACATCGATCAATTGAGTGAGTTTTGCAATATTTTTCTAACTCGAAACAATTTTTCGTTTATAAAAAACGTTCAAATTTTTTGAAAATAATATTAAAAATTATAAAATTATTATTATTATATTTTTCGTTACAAAAGAAATAAAAATAATAATTTTATAATAATTTTTAATAATAATTTCAATAAATTTGAACGTTTTTATGATCGAAAGATTTTTTCGAGTTAGAAAAATACAATAATAATAATTTTATAATTTTAATGTTAATTTTAAAAAATTTAAACGTTTCTATAAACGAAATATTTTTCTTTACAAAAATATAGGGGAACATAGTCTAGGTCGGCCACCTTTTTGACTTTTGTTTATAACTTTTTTTTAAAAATGAATTTGGACAATTGAAGTATATGGTTGGAAAGTCCTGTTTAATAGGAACATTTTTTCTGTACAAAGTAAATTGACAGGTTTAAAAATGAAAAAGTTATAAAGATTTAAAAAAAAAAAAATTTGTAGTCCAGGTTGGCCATTACAGTTAAGGTCGGCCATGTTTAAAATTCAAAGGGCATTAATCTTTAAAAAATAAAATAACATGTTTGGAGTTACGGAAAATTGATTCTTTATTGTTTACAGCTTGTAACTTAATGAAATAATAAAATAATAAAAATAAACAATATAAAAAAATAAATATAAATAAAAAAAAATTTTGCACTAAAATATTAATAAAATTAAATAAAAATATTAATAAGATGATCAATTATATTATGAGTTATATAGAATTGCAGTTTTTGCAAATGAAGTAGCTCGTCGTCATCTTTGCGCATTTTAAACACATAGTGGCCGACCTTGACAGTAAGTAGCATTACCGAATTGTTGTAACCATAAAGAAATACGTTTCGGGATTCGATTTTTTACTTTGTTTTCCTTTCAACCATGAGTCCCACAAATTTTCTGCATACTTGCCTTGACGATTCAATTTGTTTTTTATCTCTTATTAATGGTTTTTCACATTATGCACAAAACTTTTTTTCAGCTTTTTTTGTACCGACGTCACAGAAAACACAATTTTTGATTTTCCGAAAATGTAATTGAACAAAAAGTTAGGTTTCACTAAGACAAGCTTCGACAAATATGCGCGTAGGTGGCGCTAGTGAACTTGACAAAAAAACGCGAGTGGCCTACCTAGACAGTAGACCAACCTTGACTACATTCCCCTAATATAATAATTTTTTAATTTTTAATGTTAATTTCAAAAATTTTGAACGAAATATTTTTCCAATACAAATATTTTCAAGAATTATTCACTAAAATCAATTTTTAATATTAATTTCAAAACTGTTGAACATTCTTACGATCAAAATATTTTTTCAATAGAAATATTTTCAAGAATTATTCACGATTATCAAAAAGAAATTAAAAAATAAATAAAAATAGGTGAATAATTATATTATTATATATAATAACATGTAAATATATTAAATTAAATATTTTTTATCAATTTTTGATACGTGAACCCAATAGTTTTTATAATAAAATTTTAAATTGACAACGAAATAAATTAATTTCGTTTATTTAAAACTTTCTAAAACTTTAGAGAGATTGAGAGGGATTAAAAATATTGAATGTATGTAAAAATTCTTATTTTTTCAGATAAGGAACCCGATCATTTAGTTGATGAAAAAAATGCAGTTTTACAAAATACCCAGGATCTTGTTTTTGCCAATTATAAAACATTTATTCAAACTGCGGAGAGTTCGAGGGAAATTTTCAAACAAGTACAAGAAATATTTTAGTTTTTTCTTAACTTTGGTTTGATAATTTTTAAATTTTTCTCGTAGAGTAAATAAATAAAGTAAAATATAAATTAATAAATATATTTATTAATTTGTATTTTACTTTATTTATTTCGAAAGACGTTATATTTATAAATATAAAGTAAATTAAAAAAATGTTTAAATAAAGTAAATAAATAAAGTAAAATATAAATTAATTATTTACTCTATTTAAAAATTTTTTAATTTACTTTATATTTATAAATATAATTTTTATAAATATTTTCTAATTAGGTTTTGTTTTTTTGAAATTATTTTCACAAACGAAATCTAATTGTTCTCTTGTTTCTAATTTGTATCGCAGTTCAACGAAACGGAAAATAGATTGGAGAATTTGACAAAGGACATTCCACGATTCATTGAGAAATGTCAATTATTTTGCGATGCCTCAAAGGATATTAATTCACATCGCCGACTCAATGGTTTAACATTGAATAGAAGTGGAGAACTTTTGGAGATTCTTGAAATGCCACAACTTATGGAATCGTGCTTACGAAGTAATCAATATAATGAGGCTTTGGAAATATCGCAATACGCCCGACAATTGGGCACGAAACATGGCGATATTCCTATTGTTGCGGTGAGAATTTTTATTGCAGAACGTTATTTCTATTTAATTTATTAAAATTAATTTCAATTATTTTCATTTCAAATTATTAAAAAGTTGTTCATTTTACAGAAATTTTATTTAACATCCAGATGGTTATTACTCAATAGAGTAGTATAAGCCGAGTTGGCGTAAGGTTTTTTAAATTTCGTTTGTAATAAATATTCTTTTGCGAAAAAGAAAGAAAATTCGAAAACTGTAAACGAATTTGCACAAAAGAATATCATTTTTTTAAAGGCTTGCAAATTTTGGTTATAATTTTTTCTAAAATATCAGGCTTTGCACTCATCTACTACAGGGTTGCCACAAGTCAGGGAAAAGTCAGGGATTTTTATTAAAAGTACTGGAAAAAATTTAAGTTTTAGAATTTATAAGAAAATTCTGAATTTTGGTATTTTTTTTGTTTGCCTCACAAACTATGAAATTGACAAGAATTTTAATACAAAACTTTCAACTTTTTCTGTTTCTGACAATAATTTCTTTTTAAATAACTTCATTCTTCAACAACTATCATCAAATTATTACTCAAAAATTATTTAATGAATAATTTTACTTCAAAATTTATTACATTTCAAAAGAGTTGCGTTTAAAATCTGCATAAATAGATCAACTTCAAAGGCTTCAATATGAAATTTTTTAAAATTTCAATTTTTGATCAATTTAAATAGAAATTTTAAGAACAACTGATTAAAAAAATTCAATTATTTTTAAAAATTTATAAACATTCTCGTCAAAATTTCAATTATTTTTATAAATAATACAATATTCTTCTCCGAAATTCAATTATTTTCAAAAAATTTAATAAAATTCTTGGCAAAATTTCAATTATTTTCAAAAATTTTCCTCATTTCAATTATTTTTAATATCTACTATTTTAATAAAATTTTACAAAAGAATTCAATTATTTAAACGAAATTTTAATAAAAATTTCACAGGAATTCAATTACTTTTCAATTTTTTTATAAATTTCTTCGCACCAATTCAATTATTTTTAATTCTTTAATGAAGTTTATCGAAAGAATTCAAATATATTCAAAGAATAGAAAAAAATAGTTCTGAGAAATTCAATTATTTCGCAAAATTTAAATCAAATTCTTTTAAAAATTCTATTATTTAAAAAAATTTTGACAACATTTTTTACAAGATTTAGTTAATAAAATTGCAATTTTAATAAAATTTTCCTATATAATTCAATTATTTTCAATACAATTCTTCTTAAGAATTCAATTATTTTCACAAATAATACATTTTTTCTATGGGAATTCAATTATTTGAAAAAAATTTGAATAAAATTCTTCGTAAGAAATCAATTATTTTCATAAATAATAAAATTTTTCTCGAGAATTAAATTATTTAAAAAAATTTGATAAAATGTTTCATAAATTTGAAAAATTATAATAAAATTGACTATAGAATACAATTATTTTCGTAAAATATAACATTCCTTATAGGAGTTACAATTTTACTGTCAAGTTTGTAAAAATCTTCGAAAAAATTCAATTATTTTCTTAAAAAATAAAATTTTTCGAAGCAATTATTATTTAAGAAATTTTAATTAAATTCTTCACAAGAATTCAAATTTTTTTCAAAAATAAAACTTTTCACAAGAATTTAATTATTTAAATAAAAATTTTATAAAATTCTTCGTCATATTTCAATTATATTCAATTTTTTAATAAAATTTTGTCGATGGAATGTAATTATTTAAAAAATGTTATAAAAAATTCTGAGAAATTCAATTATTTAAAAAATTTGAATAAAATTCTTTACAAGAAATTAATTTATTATCATAAATAATAATATTTTTCTCCGGAATCGAATTATTTTCAGAAATAAAATTCTTCACAGGAATTCAATTCTTTAAAAATGTCTTTAATAAAATTCGTTGCAAGAATTAAATTACTTTTATAAATAACAATATTTATAGCCGAGTTTCAATTATTTTTTATGTACAATTTTACATAAACTGATAGAAAATTGCATTTATTCTTTATAATTTTTTTAAAATTCGCCGAAAGAATTCAATTATTTTTAGAATTTTTTTATAAATTTCTTTAAAAAAATTCAATTTTAAGAAATATTTAATTATTTAATAGATTATTTATCTTTGCATTTAAATAATTGAATTCTCGAAAAATTTTCTAATAAAAATTGATTGAAAATAAATTCCAATTAAAATTTGAAATTATAATTGAATATTAAAAGCATCATAGCGTGAATTTTGAAAAGGGTTAAAAATGAAAATCTTTGAAAATTTAAATTTATAGTTGCAATATTCTTATAGTATAAAATAATGATTTTATCACTCTGTCATTTTAAATTTATTATAAAACGTGAAGAAAGTGATTGATTTCTTCATGTTTTATAACAATTTTTGATAAGTTGTTTAATTTCAGAAGGTTTGGATTTGAAATCCTTAATTTCTATAGAAAAATAATAATGATTAACTATTTATTTAAAAAAGAAGTTATTGATGTTGTCGAATAATTTGACACTTAAAGAAATTCGTAAATATAAATGTAATAGTGAGTATCTAATAATTTTTGGAGTGAATCGGTATATTCTTCAGGGTCAGGGAGAAAGTCAAAATTTTGTCTGGAAATCAGGGAAAAGTCAGGGAAAAAAAATTTAATTTTCGTGGCAACCCTGCTATTAGGGTTAATATTATTTTTATTATTATAAATTATTAATGAAGATGAATTTTCGCGAAATTAAAAAAAAAAAAATTCGTTTCAAATTCCAGTCGGTTGTGGCAGAAATTGAAAACAGTTGGTCGAGTATGGTTGGTCAGGTGGTTGGTTCCCTTCGTGGAGATTTGCCACTTCCTCGATGTCTTCAATTAGTCGGTTTGTTGCGTTCAATGGACGCCTTTACGGAACCCGAACTAAGAATTAAATTTCTCCAAGCGCGCGATAGTTGGCTCCAAGGATTACTCTCGGCGATTCCAAACGAAGATCGTAAGATTTAATTATGTAAATTACAATTTTTTTTTCTAAATATTTTTTAATTTTCATTTTTACTTTAATTTCATTTTTTTTTTAATTTTTCAGTAATTTTAAATTTAAAATTTAAATTTTTAAATAGTTTTAGATTTGAAATCCTAATTTTTAAACAGTTATAGATTTGAAATTTTAAAAAGAATCGTTTATTAACTAATAAATTAGTATTATTTCCAAAAATTGTTATAAAATTTTGGGATATACTCCAATAATTTTTTAATAAAAATTTAATAAAGTTCTTCATAATAAGAATTCTATGATTTTTTAATACTTTAATTTAATTCAAAATTTTAATTAACAATGATTTTTTTGCAGCGAATTTCCACCTGACGAAAACAATCGAACTCTCGAGGATTCATTTATTTAATATTATCACTCAATATCGTGCGATGTTCAGCGATCAGGATCACATTAGTTTGGGACGTGATATTTCGATAAACGAGTCGGCAATTTTCTATCATTGGCTCGAGGAAAAAGTGAGATGAAAATTAAAACAAAAAGAAATGTTTATCTATTTTTTAAAAATATTTAATTTTTTTTTACTTGTTTACTTTATTAATTAAATAAACGGCTTTTTCGACATTTTTGTATTTTTAATCGACTAAAGCGACTTTTTTGTTCCTTAAAGTCGATTCGAGGCCTGTTTCTTTTTTAATTGTTTTCTTTATTTATTTGTTTTTTTTTCACATTTACTTGATTTATTTTTATTTTTTACTTATTTGATTTTTTTTCTTTTCTTTTCTTTAGATTTCGCAATTCCTCGGAACATTGGAACAAGATTTACCTGGAGTAAATTCTATTGATTCAATTCTCGGACAGTGTACGTACTTTGCTCTATCATTCGGACGAGTTGGAGCCGATTTCACTGGGCGAATGTCGGCCATTTTTGTCAAAGTTATCGGCGATAAAGTCGAGGCGAACATTTGGAGAGCAACGAAAAAATTTGAAAAGGACATGGAAACTTTTACGCTTATCAATAAAGTTCAACGTTCGGATGTTAAAGTCGAAAATGTCGCTCCGTCTGTAAGTTTTTCTTTGAATTTAGAATAATTTTGAACGAAGAAAAGTATTTAAAATTTTCTTTTTTAAAAGAGGTTTGTTTTAATTATTTTCTTTACTTTATTTCTTTTATTTACTTTTTTATTTTCTTTATTTATTTTACTAGCAAATAATACGCGCGGAACACGGTATTCCATTTACTATTATTTTGTAAATTAAAAAGTTTTATATTTTCAAGAATAAACTTCAATTTTTGAATAATTACAGATTCAAAATTTAAAGATAATATAAATTTTTCTGAGAAATTAAAATAATTTTTAATACAATTTTAATTAAATTTCTAGGAAAAAATTCAATTATTTTCAAGATAATTTTTAAAAAATTACTCTAACAGGTTCATATTATTTTTAAAAAGTTTAATAAAATTTTTCTAAAGAATTCAATTATTCTTAAAAATTTTTTATTAAAATTCTTTGTAAATTTCAATTGTTTTAAAAATTTTTAATTAAAATTACTTTAAAAAATTACATTATTTTAACGAAATAAAAAAAATAATCAAATTAATTAATTCTTAAAAAGAATTTCATTTTCAAATTTTTTAATAAATACTTTACAAGAATTCAATGATTATTTCAGTACATCGACAAAATTTAATTATTTCTGGAAATAATTGAATTCTTGAAAAGAATTTTTACAAAATTTTAAAAAGTAAGCTAATTGTTGTGAAGAATTCTATTAAAATATTGTATTTAAAATAAGTGAATTCCTATGCAAAATTTACTAGTTATTGATATTATTCAATTGTTTCGAAAAATTAAAAGAAAAATGTTTAAAAGATAATTTAATTTTTCCTGGAATTCAATTAAAATTGTATTTAAAATAATTTAACTTTTGTGAAAAATTCAATTATTTTTTTTAAATAATTGAAATTTCTCGGAGAATTTTTACAAGATTTAAAAGAAATTGTAATTTTCGAAGAAGTTAATTAAAATTTGTATTGAAAATAAGTAAGTGAAATCCTGATCAGAATTTTATTATTTATATAAAAATAATTGTATTTTTTACGAAGATTTTAATTATTTATAAACTAGCCAAACTATCCGCGCGCAAGCGCGCGGGAATGTTGTATGGGGCTGCTTATTTTAAACAATTTAAAAAATTTTAAAGAAATAATTATTATAACCTTACAAAGAGATTTAACTAACTAAAATTCAAATAATTTCACTCAATGGTCTCAATTTAAATAGAATTTACATTACTAGACTTAAACTATGGCTAGAACAATTACAATTAGTATCTGGGTCATCTTCTGCATTGCTTATTTTCTAAAGCCATTTTAAATTAAATACTTTTCAAAGAAATAATAATTATTACACAATGAAAAAAGTTTTACTTGAAATAGCGATAAGTTTCTCTAGAATAACGAAAGTATTAATTGAAGCACTGAAAAATTTCGCTACTAAAGTGAAATCTGTAGTTCATTCAGCTAAATATTTTTTGCCGTGCATAACGAAAAAAGAATTAAATTAACATCAGATTTTCTACATTAAAAAAAAAAACGAATTCAAATAGAAATTAATCATTTTACAACTTAACCAAATTCACCACAGAAATCACTGAATTCGATAATTTAGAAGAAAGTCAGACAAAAGCAGGGTTCCTACAGAATCTGGAAAATCATGAAAATGGTATGGAATTTTTAAAAGGCTTCTGGAAATCAGGGAAATCATGGAAAAGGCCTGGAATTTTTAAAAGTTTCTAAATTTTTTCAGTTTTCCATTTTTTCTCTTGAATAAAAATTCAAATAATAATAAAGCTAAATGGCATAAAAGACAAAAAAAATGTTGAATTTTAAGCAATTCGATTTTTCGGATTTTTGATAATTTTTAATAATTTTTGATTTTTTACCAAAGAGTCGAGAAAATTTGATAAGTAAAGTATTTTCCAAAAGCACAAAAATAATGAAGCTTAATCCCATAAAAGAGAAGAAAAAATGTTGAATTTTAAGAAATTTGGATTTTTGAATTTTTGATAATTTTAGATTTTTTACCAAAGAGTCGAGACTATTAAATAAGTAAAGTATTTTCCAAAAGCACAAAAATAATGAAGCTAAATCCCATAAAAGAGAGGAAAAAATGTTGAATTTTAAGAAAAACGGATATTTGAATTTTTTCGAATTTTTGATAATTTTAGATTTTTTACCAATGATTCGAGACAATTTAATAAGTAAAGTATTTTCCAAAAGCACAAAAATAATGAAGCTAAATCCCATAAAAGAGAAGAAAAAATGTTGAATTTTAAGAAATTTGGATTTTTGAATTTTTTCGAATTTTTTATAATTTTAGATTTTTTACCAAAGATTCGAGACTATTAAATAAGTAAAGTATTTTCCAAAAGCACAAAAATAATGAAGCTTAATCCCATAAAAGAGAAGAAAAAATGTTGAATTTTAAGAAATTTGGATTTTTGAATTTTTTCAAATTTTTTATAATTTTAGATATTTTACCAAAGAGTCGAGACAATTTAATAAGTAAAGTATTTTCTAAAAGCACAAAAATAATGAAGCTAAATCCCATAAAAGAGAAGAAAAAATAGTGAATTTTAAGAAAAACGGATATTTGAATTTTTTCGAATTTTTGATAATTTTAGATTTTTTACCAAAGAGTCGAGACAATTTAATAAATAAAGTATTTTCCCAAAGCACAAAAATAATGAAGCTAAATCCCATAAAAGAGAGGATAAAATGTTGAATTTTAAGAAAAACGGATTTTTGAAATTTTTCGAATTTTTGATAATTTTAGATTTTTTACCAAAGAGTCGAGACTATTGAATAAGTAAAGTATTTTCCAAAAGCACAAAAATAATGAAGCTAAATCCCATAAAAGAGAAGAAAAAATGTTGAATTTTAAGAAATTTGGATTTTTGAATTTTTTCGAATTTTTGATAATTTTAGATTTTTTACCAAAGAGTCGAGACAATTTAATAAGTAAAGTATTTTCCAAAAGCACAAAAATAATGAAGCCTAATCCCATAAAAGAGAAGAAAAAATGTTGAATTTTAAGAAATTTGGATTTTTGAATTTTTTCGAATTTTTGATTATTTTAGATTTTTTACCAAAGAGTCGAGACTATTAAATAAGTAAAGTATTTTCCAAAAGCACAAAAATAATGAAGCTAAATCCCATAAAAGAGAGGAAAAAATGTTGAATTTTAAGAAAAACGGATATTTGAATTTTTTCGAATTTGTGATAATTTTAGATTTTTTACCAATGATTCGAGACAATTTAATAAGTAAAGTATTTTCCAAAAGCACAAAAATAATGAAGCTAAATCCCATAAAAGAGAAGAAAAAATGTTGAATTTTAAGAAATTTGGATTTTTGAATTTTTTCGAATTTTTTATAATTTTAGATTTTTTACCAAAGAGTCGAGACTATTAAATAAGTAAAGTATTTTCCAAAAGCACAAAAATAATGAAGCTAAATCCCATAAAAAAGATGAAAAAATGTTGAATTTTAAGAAAAACGGATATTTGAATTTTTTCGAATTTTTGATAATTTTAGATTTTTTACCAATGATTCGAGACAATTTAATAAGTAAAGTATTTTCCAAAAGCACAAAAATAATGAAGCTAAATCCCATAAAAGAGAGGATAAAATGTTGAATTTTAAGAAATTCGGATTTTTGAATTTTTGATAATTTTCGATAATTTTAGATTTTTTACCAAAGAGTCAAGACAATTTAATAAGTAAAGTATTTTCTAAAAGCACAAAAATAATAAAGCTAAATCCCATAAAAGAGAAGAAAAAATGTTGAATTTTAAGAAAATCGAATTTTTGAATTTTTTCGAATTTTTGATAATTTAAATTTTTTACCAAAGAGTCGAGACAATTTAATAAGTAAAGTATTTTCCAAAAGCACAAAAATAATGAAGCTAAATCCCATAAAAGAGAAGAAAAAATGTTGAATTTTAAGAAATTTGGATTTTTGAATTTTTTCGAATTTTTGATAATTTTAGATTCTTTACCAAAGAGTCGAGACAATTTAATGAGTAAAGTATTTTTTACATTAAAATGTTTGACATTAAAAAATAAAAAATGCCAATACTTAACCCACAAAATTTAATTTTCAAAACAAACAAATGAATGCAGATAATTTGCTAACGGAAAGGAACTTACGATTATTATAATGTATTGACTTTTTGCAAAGAATTTTATTACAATTATTGAAAATAATTAAATTTTTGGTAAAATTCTTCAAAATTTCCAGTATAAATTATGAAAAAAACTTCATTATTTTTTAGAAAATTGAAATAAATTCTTCAAAACAATTCAATTATTTTAAAGAATTTTAATATAAATCTTGCCAAGAATTAAATTATTTTCAATACAATTTTAATTACACTTTCTCGAAAGAATACAATTATTTTTATAAATATTAATTTGCATTCAATTATTTTCAACAGTTTTTATCAAATTTTTAAGAAAAATGAATTATTTTTATACATTTTTATAAAATTTTTACGATTGAATTTAATTATTTTCAAAAATTCTGATAAAATTCTTCGCAAGATTTCAATTATTTTTATAAATTGTCAAATTCTTTGCGAGAATTCAATTATTTTTATAAATTGTAATAAAATTTTTCTGAAAAATTCAATTATTCTCAAAAGTTTTTGATAAAATTGTTTGTAAATTTCAATTATTTAAAAAATTTCCAATTGAAAATTATTAAAGTAAAACTAGGGTAAACGTACCAATTTTCGAGGATGGTTCCTGTTGTCGAGTAAACAAACTTTGAATTTTATTTAAACAATGTAGCACATTGTAAATAAAAAAAAATAATAAATATTAATTTTTTTATGCGTTGTAAATGTAAAAAAAATATATTAATATTATATAAACAAACAAATGAGACATTTTAGACAATATTTTTTGGTTATTACCATGGTAACATCGACAAATGGAACACCCTCGGCAATTGGTACACTTACCCTACATTAGGTATTTTTACGAAGTTTAAAAAAAAATCTTCAAAAAAATTTAATTATTTATGTTTTTGTTTAAAATAATTTAATTTTATATCAATAATTTTAGTAAAATTTAATAATTAATTTTCAGTACAATTTTAATAATGCATTCTTTGGAAGAATTCGATTTTTTTCATAAATAATAATATTCTTTGCGAGAAGTTAATCAATTTTATTTCTAAAACTTTATTATTCTCCTTTTTTCAATTTACAGGAAAATCCTCCGGAGCAATTGATGGAATTTTATCCCCTCGCTGAATATTGTAACGGATTAATAGCGACTTTCAATGAATTTCGACTATGTTCGCCGATTGCGCTCTCGCAAAATTTTACAAAACTGATGCAAGAATCACTTTCTTGTGTTGCAAAAGCAATGTTATTTTTTTACAAACAGGAGCAACAGGTATTTTTTCAGGAAGAAATAATTTCATTCCGTTTTTTTTCACATTTTTTGTTCTTTTTTCGCTTTTTTTTTGGTTTCTTTCTGGTTTTCATTTTATTTATTCGAAAAATTTTTTTTTTGGAAATTTATTTATTTGTTTTTCTCGCATTTTTCTTGTTTTCAACTGTTTTTTTTTATTTTATTTATTCAAAATATTTATTTCTTTTTGTGAAATTTATTTATTTTAAAATAATATTTTTTTTCGCTTTTTTCCTTTTCTTCAAAAGTTTTTTTTAAACTTTTTATAAAATTTTATTTATTCAAAAACTTTATTTCTTTTTATGAAATTTATTTAATTTGAAACATTTTTTCCATTTTTTTTTCTTTTGGGAAATTTGTTTCCCTTTTTTTCCAACAGTTTTTTTTTTGTTTTATTTATTGAAGAAAAATTTTTTCTTTTTTTTCTCTGGCAATTTTTCTACTTTTCAGGCCTTCACCGCAAACGAAAGGGAAAATATGTTGAAATTCGTCGACTGCCTCAGCGAGCAATTAATTCCCTACGTTCAATTTTGCATTCACGCACTTTTTCCCGCCAATCAAATAGCGACACATCTCGAAATTTCTCCCATTCAATCGCAGAAAGAGGTAAACAGAAAAGAAAAAAATATATTAAAAAAAATTCAATTCTTTTTTCCCTAAAAAAAAAAAAAAAAATTCCAAAAAAAAATTGAAAATTATCCTTAAATAATTATTTTTTAATTTTCTGTCTACAGGGCGTGACTTATTTGAATGAGAAATTAATTCTCGAACCACTTGCAACACTACTTCCGATTCGTGATATTCCAAAGGATTCATTTCTCCACGAATTTCCCATCTCGGAAACATTCAAAACGAAAGAATTGGAAAATTTCCCAACGAAAATTTCTTTAGATGAAAATATTAATTTGGAAAATTTAACGATAACAACAACAGTTTCTGAAGGTGAAACAATTACAGAGATGAGGGAGGAAAGAAATGTGGATATGGAAATTTCAACTGATGTGAGTACAAAAAATGTCGAGTCAATTTTATCTCAAGGGGAAAATGCTGCTGAAAATGCGGACGAGTCAATTATTAAATTATCAACGACGGAGTTTGCAGAAAAAAGTGAGAATTAAATTCTGTGATTTTCCGATTGAGAATTTGTTGCGTGTAAATAAAATTTTAATCTCAATATTATTTTCGAAAAATTATTCTCGAAGTTTGAAAAAAAAGTTTTTCTGTTTAAAAAATTAATTGAAAATTGAGCAATATTTATTATTTTCAAAAAGAGAAACAAATTTTCTTTTGTTTAAAAATTTTATATCGAAATTAAGAAATATTCTTAATTATTATTTAAAAAAAAAGTATTTTTACTTAAATTTTATATTTAAATCGAGAAATACTATTAGTATTAATTATAACATATTTTAACTTTAAATTAAAATAATTAAAACAAAATATTTGTTGCAATATTTCAAGAAGTCACATTTTTTTTAAATCGAAAAAATTGCCCTTTTTTCCGGAAAATAGTACAAAAAAAATAAAAAAGTCAAAATTAACGAAAGTTGAATTTTGTATAGACAGGGTTGCCACAGGTCAGGAAAACTAGAGAAAAGTCAGGGATTTTTCTTAAAAGTACTGGAAAAAATTTAATATTTATAATTTATAAAAAAATTTTGAATTTTTGTTTCTTTTTCTTTGCCTCGTAAACTATGAAATTACCACGAATTCTTAAAAAAAAAACCTTACATTTTTTCTATTTCTGATAATAATTTATTTTAAATAACTAAATTCTATTGAAGAACTGCCATAAAGTTATTACTTATAAATCATTTAATGAAGTATTTTTTTGAAAAATTTTAATTTCAATTCTGTTGAAATTAGTTTCAATTTTTGAAATTTTAACGCAATTCTTTAAAAGAATTCAACTATTTTAATAAATAGTAAAATTCTTTCAAGAAATCCAATTATTTTCAAAATTTAAAAAAAAAATTATTTTTATAAATAGCAAAATTCTTCGCCGAAATTCAATTATATTCAGGAATTTTTATAAAATTCATTGTAAAATTCAATTATTGTCATAAATAACAATATTCATGACAAGAATTCAATTATTTCCAAAATTAATAAAATTCTTCGCAAAAATTCAATTATTTTCTAAGAATTTTAAAAAAAAAGAAGAATTTTTAAAAAGTCCTCGTCAACATTTCAATTTTCTTTATAAATGAATAGCAAAATTCAATTATTTTCATAAATAACAATATTTATTACAAGAATTCAATTATTTTCAAAAGTTAAAAAATTCAATTATTTTGAGAAATTTTCTTAATTCAATGATTTTAAATGTTTATTATTTTAATAAAATTTCCCAAAATAATTCAATTATTTAAAAACAATTTTGATAATATTCTACACAAGCATTCAGTTATTTTATGAAAAGAATAAAAATTTCACAAGAATTCAATTATTTAAAATAGAATTGGCATAAATTTTTACGAAAAAATCAAATGTTTTAAAATTTGGCATTAAATTCTTTGCAGTGATTCAATTATTATTTAATTAATTTTATAGATTTTAAAATTCTTTTCAGAGATTTAATTATTTTCATAAATAATAAAATTATTCGGAGGAAGTAAATTGTTTTCATAAATAAAAATATTCATCACAAGAATTCAATTATTTTCAAAGCTTTTAATAAAATTCTTCGTAGAAATTCAATTACTTGCAAAGATTAATAAAATTATTCACAGCAATTCAATTATTTTCCAAAAATAATAAAATTCTTCTCAGAAAATCAATTAATTTTTAAAATTAAAATATTTAAAAAAGAATTAAATAAAATTCTTCGCAAGAATTCAATTATTTCCATGAATAAAAAAATTCTTCTCAGAAATTCTATTATTTTTAAAAAAATTAATAAATTCTTGAATTCTTTCTTTAATTCTTCACAATTATTCAATTATTTTTCCAAATAAGAAAATTTTTCACGAGAATTCAATTATTTAAAATAAAATTGAATAAAATTCTTCGCAAGAATTTAATTATTTTCATAATTAATAAAATTCTTCTCAGATAGAAATTAAATTATTTTTCAAAAAATTGATAAATTCTTGAATTTTTTCTTAAATTCTTTACAATTATTCACGAAAATTCAATTATTTAAAAAAGAATTAAATAAAATTCTTTGCAAGAATTCATTTATTTTCATAAATAAAAAAATTCTTTTCAGAAATTCAATTATTTTTATAAATAAAAAAATTCTTCTCGGAAAATCAATTATTTTTTAAAATTCAATTATTCAAAATTCAAGAATTCAATTATTTAAAAAAGAATTATATAAAATCCTTCGTAAGAATTCAATTATTTTCATAAATAAAAAAATTCTTCTCAGAAATTCAATTATTTTTCAAAAAAATTGATAAATTCTTGAATGTTTTCTTTAATTCTTCACAATTATTCAATTATTTTCCCAACTAATAAAATTTTCACTATAATTCAATTATTTAAAAAAAAAATTAAATAAAATTCTTCGCAAGAATTCAATTATTTTCATAAATAATAAAATTCTTCACAGGAATTAAATTATTTACCAAAAGTAATTGAATTCATTACAGGAATTGAATTTTTTTTTCAAAAAATAAATTCTTGCATAAAATTTCTCGCAATAATTCAATTATTTTTATAAATAATAAAACGTGAAATGCAGAATTTAAATTATTTTAAAATACAATTTCAATCAAATTCCTTCGAAAGAATTTTTTCTTAAAAATTTCATTAAAATTCGTCGAAAGAATTCAATTTTTTTTAAATTTATTAATAATATTATGTATAAGAAACTTATAATTTAATTTTTAATTAATTAATTAATTAATTAATTTTAATTAATTTTTTTTCCTTAATTTTAAGAAAAACATTTAATTATTTATTTAATAAATTATCTATGTTTGTATTTAAATAATTGAATTCTTATATAATTTTCTAAGAGAAATGGATTTGAAAATTAATTTCAGTTAAAATTTTAGATATTAATTGAATTTTTGAGAAGTTTTTAATAATCGGAATTTTTAGAAATAATTGAACTTTGTAAAGGTTTCAAATTAAAATCTTTGAAAATCTGAATTTTTCATACTTTTAATTAAAAATTCTATGGAAATAATTTTTTTTAAGAAGCTTAATCGAAATTTTTGAAAATTATTTCAAGTTATTTTCTAATGTGTATTTAATTGAAGAATTTCCGAATAATTGAAATTTCGCGTAAAATTGTATTGTAAACAAATGGATTTAAAAATTCTCAAAGAAGAACTTTTTCAAAAATTATTAAAAATAATATTGATTTAAAGACAAATTTTGTGTTTAAAAATTGTAGAAAACAATAATTGAATTGAAATGATGAAAATAATTTTGAACAAGTTGCAGTAACAATATTCTTATGATACAAAAATAATGATTTTGTCTGGAAATCAGGGAAAAGTGAGGGAAAAAGAAAAATTTAATTTTACTGGCAACCCTGATAGAATTTTTCGAATTTTATAAAAAAAAGAAATAATAGTCGAGATGAATGTGTTTTTTCCTTTTTTTCTTTATTTTTTCATTCTGTTTTGCTTTAAATAAAACGAAACGTCTACAAAAATTGTTGATTGCAAATCTTAACTATAGTTATTTGTAATTCATTACAAATCGTTAATAGACTAAAAAATCTCGAATCTATTTCCATTAATGATTGAAAGAAGATTAAAATAAAAAATTTCTCTTAAATATCATTTGACTTTGAATTTTTCAAGAGAGAGAGAGAGAGAGAAGAGAAAGGGAAAAGAAAATATTATTTACAGTTTTATTATATTCTAAAAAAAAAAAATTTTTTTTCTCGTAACAGTCGATTTTTTTCTTCCTTAAAAAAAAGGATTCTTTTTCGAAGTATTTTTTTTTAAACTTTTTTTCCAAAAGAATTTCTTTTAGATTTCTTTTTCAAAAACACAAATTTTCTTTTTAAAAATTACTTTTTTAAAAATGTTTTTTTCAAAACGTGGCTTTTTAGTTGAAAAAAAGTCTTTTCAAAAAACTCTTTTAAAGTTATTTAAAAAAAACTCTTTTCAAAAAACTGTTTTTAAAAATCTTTTCAAAAAACGCCTTTTCAAAGTCTTTTCAAAAAACTCTTTTTAAAAGTCTTTTTAAAAAACGCTTTTTTCAAAGTTTTTTCTAAAAAGTCGATTTAAAAAAGTATTTTTTAAAAAGAAAACTGTTTTTTTGTTTTTTTGTTAGTAAAAAAGGTTCTTAACAGGAAAAAAAATTAACAATCTACAAATTCGGGATCCAAATATTCCACCTCGAAATTCATCTCATCGTCGGAATCGAAATCGACCTCTTCTTCAATAACACCGACAATCTCGTCATTTTTGGCAATTTCACTAACAACTTCTTCTTCTTCCTCTTCTTCCTTTTCCCTTTTATTCACTCGAAGAAAATCCTTTCCTTGCGTAAAACTATTACTCCTTATCACTTCCGGCGTAGCAACAAATTTCTGCTCCTGTAGCGCTTGCTTCATAAATGTGACTTTTTTCTGTAATTTCTTTTTATGATCACGATTGCTCATTGTTGTGTTTATTGTTTCGTCTTGCGTGACAATTGGCTCATCATCATTATAATCAAGTGACAATTGTTCCCTCTTGATATTAACAATTTCCTTATTCGTCACTTTCGTTACCATTGATTTTTTCTCATGATCATTCTTTATTTTTCTCACTTCGCGCAATAATTTTTCATATTCGTCCTCGTCTTCATTTTTTGTGACAATTATTTTTCGTTTCTTTATTTCAATTTGATTTGGTAATAAAGTTGTATTGAATGAGTCCTCCAATTTTTTTGGTAGCGATATTAAACCCTGTAGTTTGAGAATGTGCTCCTGCTCCTCCTGATGACGCTTCTTTAGATTCGATAATTTTTTACTCAATTTCTCGCAATCCTCTTGGGCTTTGTTGTACAGATTCTTTAGATTCGATACTTTTGGATCGAGGCTGGAAAAGAAATTTAATTTTGAAATTTAGTTTTCGTTTGGTTGAATAATAAATTAATATTTCACATCGACATTAAGGCCGAAACTTTAAGGCATAGTCGGTTTTTTTTTCAAATTTTTGTTTTTTGAGATTTTCTAAATTTTATTATTTATTTTTCTAAAGAAATTAAAAATTTCAATTTTAAACATTCTGAAATTGAATTATTTCTAAAAATTACAACTTTAATTCCTTTGATTTCAATTCAGTTTTACGAAATTTCAATTATTCGCCAACTTTTTCAATGTAATAAAATTTTAATCAGGGTTGCCACGAAAATTTAATTTTGTTTTTCCCTGACTTTTCCCTGATTTCCAGACAAAATTTTGACTTTCTCCCTGACCCTGAATAATATACCGATTCACTCCAAAAATTATTTAATACTCAAAGAAATGTTCTATTACATTTATATTTACGAATTTCTTTAAGTGTCAAATTATTCGACAACATCAATAACTTCTTTTTTAAATAAATAGTTAATCATTATTATTTTTCTATAGAAATTAAGGATTTCAAATCCAAACCTTCTGAAATTAAACAACTTATCAAAAATTGTTATAAAACATGAAGAAATCGATCACTCAGAAGCAATCGATTTCTTCACGTTTTATAATAAATTTAAAATGACAGAGTGATAAAATCATTATTTTATACTATAAGAATATTGCAACTATAAATTTAAATTTTCAAAGATTTTCATTTTTAACCCTTTTCAAAATTCACGCTATGATGCTTTTAATATTCAATTATAATTTCAAATTTTAATTGGAATTCATTTTCAATCAATTTCTATTAGAAAATTTTTCGAAAATTCAATTATTTAAATGCAAAGATAAATAATCTATTAAATAATTGAATATTTCTTAAAATTGATTTTTTTAAAGAAATTTATTAGATATTCTTTATTAGATTTTCTTAGATAATTGAATTGCTTCGAAAAATTTTATTTTTTAAGAAAATAATTGAATTGTTTCGAAGATTTTTACAAACTTGACAGTAAAATTGTAACTCCTATAAGGAATGTTATATTTTACGAAAATAATTGTATTCTATAGTCAATTTTATTATAATTTTTCAAATTTATAAAACATTTTATCTCAAAATTTTTGAAATAATTGAATTAATGAGAAAAATTTTATTATTTATGAAAATAATTGATTTCTTACGGAGAATTTTATTCAAATTTTTTTCAAATAATTGAATTGCCATAAAAAAAATTTATTATTTGTGAAAATAATTGAATTCTTAAGAAGAATTGTATTGAAAATAATTGAATTGAATAGGAAAATTTTATTAAAATTGCAATTATTAACTAAATCTTGTAAAGAATTTTGTCAAAATTTTTTTAAATAATAGAATTTTTAAAAGAATTTTATTTAAATTTTGCGAAATAATTGAATTTCTCAGAACTATTTTTTTCTATTCTTCTAATATATTTGAATTCTTTAGATAAACTTCATTAAAAAGTTAAAAATAATTGAATTGGTGCGAAGAAATTTATAAAAAATTGGAAAGTAATTGAATTCCTGTGAAATTTTTATTAAAATTTCGTTTAAATAATTAAATTCTTTTGGAAAATTTTATTAAAATAGTAAATATTAAAAATAATTGAAATGAGGAAAATTTTTGAAAATGATTGAAATTTTGCCAAGAATTTTATTAAATTTTTTGAAAATAATTGAATTTCGGAGAAGAATTGTATTATCTATAAAAATAATTGAAATTTTGACGAGAATGTTTATAAATTTTTGAAAATAATTGAATTTCTGTAATCAGTTCTTAAAACTTTTATTTAAATTGATTAAAAATTGAAATTTTTAAAAATTTCATATTGAAACCTTTGAAGTTTATCTATTTATGCAGATTTTAAACGCAGCTTTTTTGAAATCTAATTAATTTTGAAAATTTTGAAGTAAAATTATTCATTAAATAATTTTTGAGTAATAATTTTATGATAGTTGTTGAAGAATGAAGTTATTTAAAAAGAAATTATTTTCAGAAACAGAAAAAATTGAAAGTTTTGTATTAAAATTCTTGTCAATTTCATAGTTTGTGAGGCAAACAAGAAAGACTCAAAAATTCAGAATTTTCTTATAAATTCTAAAACTTAAATTTTTTCCAGTACTTTTAATAAAAATCCCTGACTTTTCCCTGATTTCCCTGACCAATATTGAATTTCTGCGAAGAATTTTATTACTTTTGAAAATAATTGAATTTCCGCAATTTCTAACTTTTTCAAAATTCAATTTTTTAAAGTCTTTTTAACTAAAATTCTTATACGAATCCATTATTTTTAATAATTAATTAAATAACTATACAGTTAAAATTTTTAACTAATTTCAGAAGAATTTGAATAATTAAAATTGTTCAAAAGTCTTCTTTCAAAAGTTTTCTTTAAAATTTCTAATTAAATTCATTGAAAATTGAAATTTTCACAAATTTCAAATTAAAACCTTTTGAAATTGATCTATTCATTAATATTGTAAACGCATCTTTTTTAAAATTCATTTAATTTTCAAATATTTAAGTAAAATTATTCATTAAATAATTTCTAAGTAATAATTTTATGAATAGCTCTTCAAGAATTAGAAAATAATTGAATTTTTCAAAAATTGCTACTTTAGCTTCTTTACGTTTAAATTATTTTCTAAAATTTCCAAATAAGATTCTTTCTTCTTATATCAATTTAATTATTTTATTAATTATTAAATACTCAAAAATTCTGGCTAAGTTTTTTAAAAAGTGGAATTTTGTTTGTTTGTTTATTCTTCTATTTTTGTTTATTTATTTTTATATTTTTATTGATTTTTTTATTTTTTATTTATTTATTTCTCTATTTTCATTTATTTTTAATTTATTTATTTTTTCATTTTTTTTTTACTTATTTTTTGAAAAGTAGGCGAAAAAGTCGCTTTTTTTAAATAATCAAAAAAAGTCAATTTTTTTTTAAATAGTCGAGAAAAAGAAGTCTTAAAAAATAATTTACCTTTTCCTAATTGAGTTTTCCCGTTCCTTAACAACAATTGGTTTTGGACTCGTCTTCAGAATTGATTTTGTCCTCGATTTCGGCGCTGGTTTATTTTTCAATGTTTCAACGACAATTTTCCCCGAAGGATCGAGTCGAAAAATAACAGATTTCTTTAAACTTTTAACAATATATTCTTCCGTTTTATGCTTCACGCCTCCTCCTCCTTTCACTTCCTTCCCCGACGATTCATCATTTAATTTATTTATCGAAATTTTCAAAATCGGTCGTCTCGTCGTTTCCTGTGAATTCAATTTCATTTCATTTTGCTTCGTCGTTCCTTTTGACGCAATATTTTTTCTATTCTCCAAACTCTCCTGTAATTGCGAGACATGTTTCACAGGCGACATTGTTGTTGTTGTGCTAAATTTTCCATTTGCCTTCGAACTTTTTTTCGCTAAATTCGGCGTCGACGTTCTTTTCAAAATTTTTTGCGGCGAAATCGGCGAAAGCAGAGGATTTACAATTTGAATTGGCGAAGTTGGAAATTGAAGTTGTTGATTCGTCGGCGTTTGCAATTGAATTGGCGATGAAGAAATTGGCGTTTTTCCAATTGTCGTTGGTTTCGGTAAAATTGGAATTTGCTTATTCGAATAGTCGGGAATTAAAATTGTCTCGAATTTTGGCGATTGAATTGGATTTGGGACATTTTCGGAAGAATTTGTCGTCTCTTTTTCAGGAAATACACTTGGTACTGCATCGGGTTTTAAAACTGGATAACGACCAATTGACGTTGGCTCAATGTCCTCAATTAAAAAATGCGTACTACATATTTGATCCTGAATTGTCGGCGTGAAATTCTTTTGATCAATTTGCGAGAGCCATGCAATCATTAATTTGTTATTGTTAAATGGAAATCTGCAAAGAAAAAAAAAATAAGTTATCAAAATCAGGTTTCACACTCAATAATTAATTTTTTAAAAAAGTATCAAAAAGTATAAAGTAGCTTTAATACTGAAAAAAGTGGTAAAAAAGAAGACTGTTAAGATTTCAAGAAAAAATTCAAGAATTTATCAATTTTTAAAAAAATAATTTAATTTGTATCTGAGAAGAATTTTATTAATTATGAAAATAATAGAATGCTTGCAATGCATTTTATTCAATTTTATTTCAAATAATTGAATTCTCGTGAAAAATTTTATTTTTGGGGAAAATAATTGAATAATTGTGAAGAATTAAAGAAAGAATTCAAGAATTTATCAATTTTTTAAAAAATAATTGAATTTCCGAGAAGAATTTTTCTATTTATGAACATAATTGAATTCTTGCAAAGAATTTTATTTAATTTTTTTTTAAATAATTGAAATTAAAAAAAAAATTCATTTTTTGAAAAGAATTTTATTATTTATGAAAATAATTGAATTCTTGCGAAGAATTTTATTTAATTCTTTTTTAAATAATTGAATTCTTGAATTTTGAATAATTGAATTTTAAAAAATAATTGATTTTCTGAGAGGAATTTTATTATTTATGAAAATAATTGAATTCTTTCGAAGAATTTTATTTAATTCTTTTTTAAATAATTGAATTCTTGAATTTTAAAAAATAATTGATTTTCCAAGAAGAATTTTATTATTTATGAAAATAATTGAATTCTGGAGAAGAATTTTATTTAATTCTTTTTTAAATAATTGAATTCTTGAATTTTGAATAATTGAATTTTAAAAAATAATTGATTTTCTGAGAGGAATTTTTTTATTTATGAAAATAATTGAATTCTTTCGAAGAATTTTATTTAATTCTTTTTTAAATAATTGAATTCTTGAATTTTAAAAAATAATTGATTTTCCAAGAAGAATTTTTTTATTTATGAAAATAATTGAATTCTTGAGAAGAATTTTATTTAATTCTTTTTAAATAATTCAATTCTTGAATTTTGAATAATTGAATTTTAAAAAATAATTGATTTTCTGAGAAGAATTTTATTATTTATGAAAATAATTGATTTCTTGTGAAGAATTTTACTTAATTCTTTTTAAAGAATTGAATTCGAGTGAAAAATTTTATTATTTGGGAAAATAATATTGTACAATTGTGAAGAATTAAAGAATTTAATAATTTTTTGAAAAATAAATTAATTTCCATCTGAGAAGAATTTTTTTATTTATGGAAACAATTGAATTCTTGCGATGAATTTTATTTAATTCTTTTTAAATAATTTAATTCTCGTGAAAAATTTTATTATTTAGATGTATTTAGAAAAATAGTTGAATTCTTGTGAAGAATTTCATTAAAATTTTTAAAAGTAGGTAATTAAATATTGTTGAGAAGCATTTTATTATTTATGCGAAAATAATTGTATTCTTGCCTGGAATTTGATTTAAACTTTTTTAAATAATTGAATTTTCCTGAAAAATGTTATTGCTTGTGAAAATAATTGAATTCTTACTATTGTGAAGCCTGCAAAATAAAAAAACTAACCTCAAATTTTATTTTTCTGAATATACTGAATATTTACCCTTTTTCAACGCAAAGAAATACGGAAAATATTAGAAAAAGAACAGAAACTAAGAACCAAACCTTTTTTTGTTCGTTTATTATCAAAAAAATAGTGTCTTTTGGTAAAAATCGTAAAAATTCCCTTTTTTCGTAAAACATAACCTCAAAATAATGTTTTCCTTTTTCTCCGTAAAATCGTAACTGAAATCAAGGGGAAAAACTTACTTGAAATATGCCACTGGCTTCCACTGGATACTTTTATAACTCTGACAACCTTCGATTGAGCAGCTTTGCATTTTTATTTGCAATTATTTATTATTATCTTCCGAAAAATAATTATCAAAACATAATTTACTTTCCACCTAGCGCGAAAGTCTTTTTTTTAAACACCCGCGGAACTTTTTAGAAACTAGACGAAAGACAAATTTGTTTGCTAAACACTGATAATAACCGAATAGATTTTAATTTGTCATTATTTCAAGAGATAAAACAATTATTTGTGACGACCTAAAAATTGTGTTTAAATGACGTGACGTCATAACAAAGCGTTTTCACAGTTCACACCACACGTTTTTCGACGACTGCTGGACAAATTTTCGACAGATAAAAAAACACGAGGGAAATTTTCAACTAGCAGGAAATTTCGAAACGGAAGGGGAAATTATTAACACTTTAATTTGTTTATTTATAAACTATAAACATTCGATTTTAAACTATTTTCTTTTTCGTTGATGAAAAATGTTGATATGGCGTCTTTCTATCTCATATGTTACGAGCGACTACCATCTCGCTCGTTAACTTTCGATATATCGATTCACGAGTTATCGAAGCGCGAAATTATAATATTTCGTTAATAAACTTAATTATTTTTAGTATTTTCTCACGACTTTAGACAAATATTGACGAGACTAAACAAGAAAGTTTGGCTATTGTAAAATATAATACTTCACGGTTTAATAGTTTCCAAATTCTGAATATGTATTTGAAAATCAACATTTCTTAGAATTGCCATAAATCAAGTAGAATAGCGAAAGAAAATGTAATCTCTAGTTTCTTTAGAGTCATAAAACCGAGAAACCCTCGAAAGAATATAAAAAATATCTCAAGTGTCCTTTTCCATAGGACAATGCAACATGTGTTTACCATACTTGTGACCACAGAAATGGCTTTGAAAAGTCACGTACACATAGACTTTCATTATGCGACGAACCTTAATTATCAATTGTATAATATGAACGTTATGAATAATTAACAACAATATTATATTGTTGCTAATTGTGCAGTATGAATGTATTATTTGAAAATGATATTATTAGTAAACTTTATCTGATTTATTGTTGTAATATTATAGTATATATGTGTATATTAGTAACGTATTAATATAATAATAATATTATATTATGATACATTATCAAATTGGTTATCGTTATAATTGTTGTTTATATTTAAATATGATGAGTGCAGTATAAGAGATTTATTGTTACTAGATATGATGTAAATAATTAATAATTGTGTAATTAGTGTGAATGCAAAAGGATTATGTTCACTTGTTGTGATACATGTTTTCAATACATAGAGTATGTTTATACGTGTATTAGTGCAGTGCAGTGTTAGTGTGGTGATTCTAAAAACTTCATAGACTTTACAAACTCTATAACAGGGCATGCGCAAAGATTATGCCATGGACCAAGGGATAAATGCTCCCTCACGAATTCAGTTCTATTTTGGAGTTCTTTCGTAACGGACTTCAGAGTAGTCCCAAAAATAGCCTTAAGAATAACTTCGACTTGTGTAATGTTTGACTTTAATATATAATAAATGTATTGGGTTTACTCGTGAAATGAGTCGGATTAATAATTAATTGATATTAATATTAATTATTAATTGATCTTTCTTATTTTCGAGGTTTTTCCCTCCGTTTTAACGGAAATTAACTTGTTTTATTTTGAATATTTCCGCCTTCCTTTTCAAAGGATTAAACCAAGATTGAACATCGAATCAAATCGCGGATTTTACGCCTGCGCGTAAATAACGTAAATCCGCACGTAACACATACGTCGTCGGTAATGACAATGTGAGTCAAAGTTTTTAAAAATTGAACACAATACATCAATTTTTTTTGAAAAGTTGTTAAACGGTGGGTAAAAATTAAGTTCGGACTGTAAATGAATGAAAAAGAAGAGACGGGGGGAGTTGAATAACAATTTTTACTTTGATGTAAAATTTGTAATTTTTGTTTTTGAATTGTGCCGGTGAAAAAGTGTGAAACGGACTTTATTTTGACTAGGCGAGTTATAGTGACGAGACTACTGCGACTGCGCGAGTCGAATTCAAAATGGCGGACGTCCAGCCGGTGATAGAAAATAATTCCACTTTTTCGTAAAAATATTGAAGATATTGAAGAATTTTCAGGACTTTTAAACTTGTAGAAAGGTAAATATTAATAATTATTCATCACTAATTGATAATTTCGTCTATTTTTTCAATTTAGGCTGTAAATTGCCTTCGTTCTTTTCTTTTATTTTCATAATAAGTGTCAATACACATTTTTAGCACGTGACATAACCTCAAATAATTTGATCGACTTTTTGCAGCTTTTGCAGGCACATTGTAAATAAATAAAACGTAATCGTAAATAACGTTGATTTATAAAAATAATTATAGTGTTTTCTTGTATGTAATAAGTATTTAGAAATAATATTGTATGTTTATAATTTTATTTTCTTTCACAGAATTAATGTAAAAGTAATTTCAGAGAAATACAATGGTTTTTCCGAGGAGGAAAAAAAATAATTCCAGTGGTTGGAAATCGGTGGATTTAGAGGGAACTGTTTTAAATTCCGAAATCGGGGGTTTAATTGGAATTGAGGAATTAACGAGTTACAAAATTGAAGGAGGAAAAATTGTTCCCACTGAAATTAATGATAAAAAAGTAAATTTTCAAATTTTTATTAGTAAAAAAAATATTATTTATTTATTTACTTCCTAGTAAGTAAATAAATTAATAATAATTAACTTAATTAAATTGTATTTCTTTTAAAATTCAATTATTTTCTTAAAATTTCTAAATTCAATTCTTTTTGAATCTTTTTTTCTACGAAATTTAGATTATTTAAAAATTATTGAATTAATTATTAAATATTCAAAAATTCAACTAATTTTTCAAAAAAAATTGTAAATAAAATTTTTTAATAGAACTAAATTCTTTAGAATTCTCTAAAATTCAATTATTTTCTATAATTTCTGAATAGAATTCTTCTGAATTCTCTGAATAAAATTCCCATAAATTACTTTTAACTAAATTTGAGAAAGTTGAATTAAATTAGAAAAAATTGATTTAAATTAGAAGAAATCAAATTCATTTTTTTCCCAAAATAAAAGGAATTAAATGCTTTAAATTAAAAAGAGTTAAATATTTAAATGCTTTTAATTTAATTAAAAAAATATTATTTAACTGAAGCTTTTGTTTTCCTGTCGAATAAACGAGTTTAATAAAAAATTAAATATTTAATAAATTATTTAATTTAATTTAAATATTTAATTTAATGACAACATTAATTAAACTCTAATTAAAACTTTAATTTCATTATTAAACTGAAAATTTTCTTTTCCAGTCGAATAAACGCTCGAGAAATGAGGATGAAAAGCGACAAGTGAAAAAAAGAAAAGAATCACATTCGAAATCGAGAAAAAAGTCTCAAAAATCAAAGAAAGGGGATAAAATCAAAAGCGACGTAAATATCGTTGATGAAAATGAAAATAACGATGAAATCGACTCGAATTTCAATTCAGAAGCTTGGATATCGCTTGGAGTGACAGACGTTATTTTAAAATCCTTAAAAGAACAAAATTTCGATGCACCAACGCAAATTCAATCCTTAACATTGGCGCCGGCAATTTTAGGCCGACGCGATATTCTTGGCGCTGCCGAGACCGGAAGTGGCAAAACTCTCGCTTTTGGAATTCCCATAATTCACGGAATTCTCGAATTAAAAAAACGCGAGACGGGCAAATTTGTTGTCAGTAAAAGTGGAAAATTCGAGGAAACGGAGAATTTAGAGAATGAAAATTGCTGTAATTCTGACAATGAAGAAGATTCTTCAGTTGATTCCGAAAATGAAACATCGGAAGATGAAATTTCCGAAAATGAAAATTCAGAAGATGAAAATTCCGAAAATGAAAATTCGGAAAATGAAAGTTCCGAAAATTCAGAAAACGAAAATTTCGACAGGGAAAAGGAAATTGGTTGTGTTAAAGTGATAGACAATATAGAGATAAAGTCATCGAGTGTTAATAGTTCGAGAAAACCATTTTACGCGTTAATTTTAACGCCCACGAGGGAATTGGCGATACAGATTAAAAATCATTTGACAAAAGCGGCGAAATACACGGACATTCAAATTGCCGTCATTCTCGGAGGAATGGCAGCTGTGAAACAGGAGAGAATTTTAAAGAGAGGACCGGAAATTGTTATTGCAACGCCCGGGAGATTTTGGGAGCTGGTGAGCGAGGGTAATCCACATCTCAATCAACTCGATTCGATAAAGTAATTCACTAAATTTTACATTTAATTAATCATTTTTATTTACTTTATACAGGGTTGCCACAAGTCAGGAAAGTCGGGGATTTTTATTAAAAGTACTGGAAAAAATTTAAGTTTTAGAATTTATAAGAAAATTCTGAATTTTCGTGTCTTTTTTGTTTGCCTCACAAACTATGAAATTGACAAGAATTTTAATACAAAACTTTCCATTTTTTTCTGTTTCTGACAATAATTTCTTTTTAAATAACTTCATTCTTCAACAACTATCATAAAATTATGACTCAAAAATTATTTAATGAATAATTTTACTTCAAAATTTTCAAAATTAATTAGATTTCAAAAGAGTTGCGTTTCAAATCTGCATAAATCGATGAACTTCAAAGGCTTCAATATGAAATTTTTTTAAATTTCAATTTTTAATGAATTTAAATAGAAATTTTAAGAACAACTGATTACAGAAATTCAATTATTTTCAAAAATTTATAAACATTCTCGTCAAAATTTCAATTATTTTTATAAATAATACAATTCTTCTCCGAAATTCAATTATTTTCAAAAAATTTAATAAAATTCTTGGAAAAATTTCAATTATTTTCAAAAATTTTCCTCATTTCAATTATTTTTAATATCTACTATTTTAATAAAATTTTCCAAAAGAATTCAATTATTTAAACGAAATTTTAATAAAAATTTCACAGGAATTCAATTACTTTCCAATTTTTTATAAATTTCTTCGCACCAATTCAATTGTTTTTAATTTTTTAATGAAGTTTCTCCAAAGAATTCAAATATATTCAGAGAATTGAAAAAAATAGTTCTGACAAATCCAATTATTTCGCAAAATTTAAATAAAATTCATTTAAAAATTCTATTATTTAAAAAAATTTTGACAAAATTCTTTACAAGATTTAGTTAATAATATTGCAATTTTAATCAAATTTCCCTATTCAATTCTATTATTTTCAATACAATTCTTCTTAAGAATTCAATTATTTTCACAAATAATACATTTTTTTATGGGAATTCAATTATTTGAAGAAAATTTGAATTAAATTCTTCGTAAGAAATCAATTATTTTCATAAATAATAAAATTTTTCTCGAGAATTCAATTATTTCAAAAATTTTGATAAAATGCTTTATAAATTTGAAAAATTATAATAAAATTGACTATAGAACACAATTATTTTCGTAAAATATAACATTCCTTATAGGAATTACAATTTTACTGTCAAAAATGTTTGTAAAAATCTTCAAAACAATTCAATTATTTTCTCAAAAAATAAAATTCTTCGAAGCAATTCAATTATTAAGGAAATTTTAATAAAATTCTTCCCAAGAATTCAATTTTTTTCAAAAATAAAACTTTTCACAAGAATTCAATTATTTAAAAAAAAATTTAATAAAATTCTTCGTCAGATTTCAATTATTTTCATTTTTTTTTAAATGAAATTTTGTCGATGGAATTTAATTATTTTCAAAATTTTATAAAAAATTCTGAGAAATAATCAAAGGAAGTTCACATTTGTTTTACTTTTTTTCAAAGATAATTGAATATTTTTAAAACAATTGAAATTTTTTTTTTTAAATTCTAAGGAAAGTAATTTAATTTTTTAAAGAATTTAATTGAAATTCTTGAAAATATTAATGAAAAGTTCGCCACATTAATTTTTGAAAATATTTCAGTTTTATTTTTTTAAGATAATTAAATTTTTGAAATATCTTAAAATTCTATATAGAAATTAATTAAATTTTTTTAAAGAATTTTAATGGAATTATTGAAAATATCCCAAAGAATGTTCGTACCAAAAATTTTTAAAAACATTTTATTTGTTTTTATTAAGATAATTGAGTTTCTAAAGACAAATAATTTAAATTTTTTAAAATAATTAAATTTTTTTAACTGAAATTTATTTTTAAATCAATTTTTATTAAAAAGTTCAACAAGAATTTAATTATTTAAGTACAAAAATAAATAATTTATTGAATAATTGAATGTTTTTTAAAATTGAATTCTGATAAAGAATTTTATCAGCAAATTTTTAAATAATTGAATTCTTTGGATGGATTTTAATAAAATTTTTAAGAATAATAACATTTTTCAAGGAATTCGATTAAAATTACATTAAAAATTTATGAAATTATGATTTAATCCCTGTAAAAAATTTCTGTGAAATTTTTATTATTTATGAAAGTAATTAAATGTTTGCATAGAATTTTATTAAAATTTTTTAAATAATTAAATTCTTTTGGAAAATTTTATAAAAATAATAGATATTGAAAATTATTGAATTATTGAAACTTTTTGAAAATTTTTGAAATTTTCCAAAAAATGTTGTTAGAATTTTTGAAAACAATCGAATTTTGGACAAAAATTTTGCTATAAATAAAGATATTTGAATTCAAGTTGAAAGCAATTGAATTCTTGTGATGAAATTATTATTACTTATGAAAATAATTGAATTTAGTAAAGAAATTGACAAGAATTTTATTATAATTTTTTAAAATAATTGAATTTCGAAGAAGAATGTTATTATTTATAGATAATTGAAATTTTGACGAGAATTTTTTTAAATTTTGAAATATAATTGGATTTTTGCGAAGAATTTTATTGTTTTTGAAAATAATTTAATTTCTGAAATCTTTTGTAACTTCTTCAAAATTAAATTGTTTTCAGTGTTTTTAACTAAAATTTCTTTTATAAATCCATTATTTTTTTAAATTAATTAAATTTATATTACAAATTTGAACTAATTTCAGAAGAATTTGAATTATTAAAATTTTTGAAAAGTCTAAGTTCTTTAAAATTTCTAACTAAATTCATTGAATATTTGAAATTTTATAAAATTTCAAATTGAAACCTTTTGAAGTTGATTTATTTATGAAAATTGTAAACCCAACTCTTTGGAAATTGAATTAATTTTTAAATATTTGAGTAAAAAAATTCATTAAATAATTTCTAAGTAATAATTTTATGATAGTTCTTCAAGAATTAAGTTATTTAATTTTGTTTCTATTTCTATTTTGCAGATTTCTGGCGATCGACGAAACAGATCGAATGTTAGAGAAGGGACATTTTCAGGAATTACATTCAATTATTGAGAGAATAAATATGGACGAGAAAAAAGTGAAGGAACGACAGAATTTTGTTTTCTCGGCAACATTAACAATGGTACACGATCTACCGGATTATTTGCGTATGAAAAAGAAACGTAATTCGCGAAGTAAAATTTTTAAATTAACACCCGGACAAAAATTGCAAAGGGTCATTGAAATGTTGAAAGTGAAAAATCCAAAAGTCGTCGATTTGACGAAAGAAAGAGGAACTGCGGGAAGTCTCACGGAATCGAGAATCGCCTGCACGATTGATTACAAAGATTATTATTTGTATTATTTTTTGAAACGTCACGAGGGACGGACATTGGTATTTTGCAATAGTATCGGTTGCGTCAAGAGATTGGCGACACTCTTTGGTATTTTGGATTTAAATCCATTGCCACTTCACGCGAATATGGTGCAAAAGCAGCGACTCAAGAATCTCGAAAGGTAACATATTTTCTAAGTATTTATGGAATCTTAATTTTAAAATGGACTTTCTTCTCTTCTGTTTGAAAATTGAATTCTTAAACTCTTTCTCCAAAAATTCTCCCCTTTTATTCGTTATTAAAAAAACGAATTTTATTCGTTATTAAAAAAGCGAATTTTATTCGTTTTTGAAAAAACGCATTTTATCCGTTTTTATAAAAATGAAAAAAAGGAGAGAAGTTTAGTTAAAATTTCTAGAAAATGGTCGAAATTTGGGGAAAAGTTACATCAAAAGTTACATTTTTTTTTAATAAATTAATGGCCTTTTTTGATTTTAGATTTCAAGCGAACGAAAATGGTTTCCTAATAGCGACAGACGTAGCTGCAAGGGGTTTGGACATTCCCAATGTGGAACACGTAATTCATTACCAAGTTCCTCGAACGTCGGAGGTAATTATTTAAGCTGATAAATATTTTCTATATAAAAATTCTTGAGAGAATTGATTTACGAAATTTTCGAAAATTATTAAAAATAATCGATTAAAAGAAGAATTTTAGTTAAAAAGAAGAACTGCCATAAAGTTATTAAATTACTTATAAATCATTTAGTGAAGTATTTTTTAAAAAAAATTTTAATAAAATTCTTTCCAGAAATTCAATTATTTTCAAAAATTTTAAAATAAATTCTCGTCAACATTTTAATTATATTTATAAATAGCAAAATTCTTCGCCGAAATTCAATTCTATTCTGGAATTTTTATCAATTTCATTATAAAATTCAATTATTTTTATAAATAACAATATTCACCACAAGAATTCAATTATTTTCAAAATTAATAAAATTCTTCGCAGAAGTTCAATTGTTTTCAATCTAAAGAAAAATGGTCGTCAAAATTTCAATTATCTTTATAAATGAACAGCAAAATTTTACGACAAAATTCAATTATTTTCAGGAAGTCTAATAAAATTCATTGCAAAATTCAATTATTTTTTAAAAATTTTAATAAAATTCATGGCACAGTTTCAATTATTTTCAAAAAATTTTCAATATTCGACTATTTTAATAAAAATTTCCAAAAGAATTCAATTATTAAACAAAAATTTTGAGAATATTCTACACGAATATTTAATTATTTACCAAAAAAATAAAAATTTCATAGGAATTCAATTATTTAAGATAGAATTTGCATAAAATGTTTCGAAAAAATCAAATGTTTTAAAATTTGTCATTAAATTCTTCGCAGTAATTCAATTATTTGCATAAATTTTCAAATTCTTTTCAGGGATTTAATTATGTTCATAAATAATTAAATCATTAGGAGAAACTCAATTATTTCCATAAATAACAATATTCATCACAAGAATTCAATTATTTTTATAAGTAATAAAATTCAATTACTTTCAAAAATTTTATTAAAATTCATTGAAAAGATTTCAATTATTTTTATTACAATATTTTAATCTAATTCCTTGATAAGTATAATTATTCTTAAAAATTTAATTAAAATTTATAAAAAGAATTCAATTATTTAAAAATTTTTTGATAAAATTCTTTATGAAAATTCTATTTTAAGAAACATTCAATTATTCAATAAATTCTTCGCAAAAATTCAATTATTTTCATAAATAATAAAATTTTTTTTAGGAATTCAATTATTTTTATAAATAATAAAACTCATCACCGAAATTCAATTATTAAATTTCTTTCCAAGAATTCAATTATTTTCAAAAAATTTAATAAAATTCATTGCAAAATTTCAATTATTTTCAAAAATTTTTCTTCAATAATTTGTATATATCTATTATTTTAATAAAGTTTCTCAAAAGAATTCAATCATTTAAAAACAATTTTAACAAAGTTCTTCATGAATATTAAATTATTTTCTAAAATAATGAAAATTTTACAGGAATTCAATTATTAAAAAAAAATTTGCATAAATTTTTTTCAAATTCTTTTTTCAAATTCTTCGCAATAATTTAATTATTCTCATAATTTTAATCGAATTCCTCGAAAAATGTAATTATTCTTAAAAATGTTATTTTAATTTTTTTCCGGATTTAATAAAAAAATTCTTATTCAATTTTCTAGAATTTTCAAAACTTTAATAATTTCTTAAATTATTTGAATATAATTCAATTATTTGTATAAATAACACATTTTTCATTGGAATTCAATTATTTTCAATACAATTTTTATTTAATTTTTCAAATTAATTTTATTATTTTAAATAATTTAATAATATTAATGATATTTAATAATATTTTTCAATAAGAAATCAATTACTTTGAATACAATTTTAGCTGATTTCCTACATAATTTTCAAAACTTTTAATAAAATTTTTCGTAAAAATTCAATAATTTGCAAAAAGTAATAAAATTATTCACAGCAATACAATTATTTCCCAAAAATAATAAAATTTTTCACAGGAATTAAATTATTTCCAAAATTTATTAAAATCCTTTGCATTCAATTATTGTTAAAAAATTAATTAAATCTTCACAGGAATTCAATTATTTTAAAACATTTTTTAAAATTCATCGAAAGAATTAAATTTTTTAAAAATTTGTTGATAAAATTATGTATAAGAATTCAATTTTAAGCAGGAACCTTCAATTATTCAATAAATTATCTTTGTTAAATAAATCTTTGAAATTCTGAATTTTTCATAATTTTAATTAAAAATTCTCTGGAACTAATTTTTTCAAAAAGCTTAATCGAAATTTTTGAAAATTATTTCAAGTTTTTATTGTAAACAATTGTATTGTAAACAAATGAATTTGAAAATTCTGAAAAAACTTTTTCAAAAATTATTAAAAATAATTGATTGGTAAAAAATCTAAAATTATCAGAATTATCAAAAATTATCAAAAATTCGAAAAACCGAATTTTTTAAAATTCAACATTTTTTCTTCTCTTTTATGGCATTTAGCTTCATTATTTTTGAGCTCTTCAAAAACTCTTTACTTATTTAATATCTTCATCCTTTGGTAAAAAATCTAAAATTATCAAAAATTCGAAAAACCGAATTTTTTAAAATTCAACATTTTTTTTCTTCTTTTTTATGGCATTTAGCTTCATTATTTTTGGGCTCTTCAAAAACACTTTACTTATTTAATTAAAGAAGAATTTTATTTTAAAATTCTAGCAAATAATAATTGAATTAAAGTGATGAAAATAATTTTGAAGTAGTTACATTAAAATTATAATTAAAATATAATAATATTTTTATAAGTTATTGAAATTTAATTTTTGTGTCAACCCTGATTTAGTAATAAAAATGAAACTATAAATGTTGATTAATTAATATTAAAAAATACTTTTTTAGAGTTACGTTCACAGAAGTGGACGAACAGCGCGAGCACAAAAGGAGGGAATTACCGTTTTGCTAATGGAACCTTCTGAAAAGGATATGTACACGAAAATATGCAAAACTCTCAATCGTGGTAAGAATTTCTCTTTTCTGACTCTCGCAGAAGAGAAAAATATTTGTTTTTTAAAAATTGAATTTAAATTATTTTCGAATTAGAAGAAGAAAATTATTGGAATTGATTATTTTTACATTATTTTAGAGCATGACATCCCAACGTTTCCGGTTGTCGAGCGATTATTGCAAGCGGTAAAGGAGAGAGTCGATATCGCCAGGGAAATTGACAAATTGGAATTAAATTCCCGTAGAAATAATTTGCAGAAAGATTGGATTCGTAAAGCGGCCGAGGATATGGACATGATCATCGAAGACGCCAGAGAGTAAGAAAAATTTCCTTTAAAATAAACTTATTTTTCTAACATTAAAATTAAAATTTAAAACAATATAAAAAAAAGGAAATTATTTACAGAAATTTATATTTAATTAATTTTCCAAATGAAACTCTTCAGAAAATTAAAATATTAAAATATTTTAATTATTAAGCTATTAAACTACTTGAAAATTAATATATATAAGAAGTTATCAATTGAAAATTATTTAAAACTCAAAAATTTTAAAACTCAAAAATACTAATTAAAAACTATCTTTAAATTTTATAAATTTTGAAACAAATTCTAAATTAGAAATATAAAAGTAAATTTAATGGAAAAAATTAATAAATCCCCTTTCTTTAGATACTCGACAACAGAAAATGAGGAAATCGCAAATACAAAACGTGCCCTTAAAGTAAAACGCAATCAACTAATGAATCTTTTGTCGAAACCATTGTTTCCCAAAGGATTTTCTGGCAAATATCCGGATATTAATTTACATCATGAATTTAACGAGAAACCACAAAAGGCAATAGAATTAATGAAAAGTACAATTGTCGAATGTCCAATGAAGAAAAAGAGTAAAATTGTCGCGAAAACGATGTCGGCGAAGAAATCCAAATTCAAAAAGCAACCATTAAAATAAATGGTAATGAAAATAAAAACACTTGTTTTTTTTATGAAATTATGAAAATTTTATTTTATTAGAAATCTTTTTCTTTCATTTATTTATTCATTATTAATACAAGTCTTGATTAAAAAATCTCATAGGTTTCTATCTTCTACAAGTTTTTCTGTCTTATAAATTGAGCCGTTCTTTTCATGTTTTTTTTTCTTTAAAAACTATACGCAATTCTAGTTATTTTCATAGAAGAAATTTTTGTTCTTAACATTTTTATTATTAATTAAATTGATATTTACAATGTTTTATTTTTCTTTCTCTACAAACTGTTTATACAAATTTTTTTTTTTTATTTCAATTTATACAAAATTTATCAAATTTGTTTGATTATAAACTTAGGATTTTTTTAAATCGATTTCTCGATTTTTTTTTAAAGTTATGGCGGAGAAATATTCAAAATTAACGTTCGCTTAACCCGAGTTGATTTCTGAACATTTGTCGCATTTTTTAAAATGGAAAAAATTTTGTTTTTTGATTTTTCAAATTTTTAGGTTTTGTTTTTCAGATATCGAAAGTGGATGAAGAGATTTTCAATTGATCTCGTGGTTCTTTGATAAAGTGCTTGGAAAATTTAGTTTTATTTTAAAAAGGAAGACAATGGATTGAAGGAAGGACATCGGTGAAATTTCCATTAAAAGGTAAGGTTCAAATTGAACTTAATGGAAGAAAAAAATGTGTGCTTAGTAAAGTGTTTGGAAAATTAAATTTTAACTAAAAATACGAAAAATGCAAAAAAAGGAATTGAGAAAAGAAGAAAATTCCGTAAATTAAACGATAAAATTTAGAGAATTTTAGGGAAATTACAAATAATTGCAGAAATTCAATTATTTTCAAAAGTAATAATATTCTTTACAGAAATTCAATTATGATAAATTTTTTTTTTTTAAATTCTCGTCAAAATTTCAATTATCTTTAGAAATAATTAAATTCTTCTCCGAAATTCAATTGTTTTTGAAAATTTTCTTCAATTTAATTATTTTCGATATTTACTATTTTAATAAAACTTTCCAAAAGAATTCAATTATTTAAAGAAAAATTTAATAAAATTCTACGCAAACCTTTAAATTATTTTCATAAAATAACAAAAATTTCACAGGAATTCAATTATTTACCAATTTTTTATAAATTTCTTCGCAATCATTCAATTATTTTCATAAATAAGAAAAATTTTACACGGATTCAATTATTTTCGTAAACAATAAAATTCATTTCAGGAATTCAATTATTTTCATAAATAATAAAAATCTTTTTAGGATTTCAATTATTTTTAATACAATTTTAATCAAATTCCTCAAAAAATGTAATTCTTAAAAATTTTATTAAAATTCGTCAGAATAATTCAATTATTTAAAAATGTATTGATTGAATTCTTTATGAGAATTCAATTTTAAGAAAAATGCAATTTATTCAATAAATTGTTTTTTGTACTTAAATAATTTAATTCTAGTAGAATTTTCTAATAAAAATGTATTTCAGTTGTAATTTTAGATAATAATTGAATATTAAAAGCATTCGAGCATGAATTTTTAGAAATAATTGAATTTTGACAAAGTTTTCAAATTAAAATTTTTGAAAATCTAAAATTTTCATATTTTTAACTAATAATTCTATGGAATTAATTTTTTCCTGCAAAGTTTAATTGATGTTTTTTTAAAATTATTTTAATTTTTTATTTTCTAGTATATATTTAATTGAAGAATGAACGAATAATTGAAATTTTGTAAAATTGAATTGTAAACAACAAATAAATTTGAATTCAATTCTGTTCAACATTTTTTTTAAATTCTCGTCCAAATTTCAATTATTTTTAGAAATAATTAAATTCTCCGAAATTCAATTATTTTCAAAAATTTTCCTCAATTCAATGATTATCTACTATTTTTGTAAAATTTTCCAAACGAATTCAATTATTTAAAAAAAATTTAATAAAATTCTACACAAACTTTTAATTATTTTCAAAAAATAATAAAAAATTCCACAGGAATTTCATTATTTGCAAATTTTTTTTAGAAATTTCTTCGCAATCATTCAATTAATTTTATAAAAAATAAAATTTTTACGTGGATTCAATTATTTTTGTAAATAATAAAATTCTTTTTAGAAATTCAATTATTTTCATAAATAATAAAACTCATTGCAGAATTTCAATTATTTTTAATACAATTTTAATCGAATTCCTCGAAAAAATTATTAAAAATTTTATTAAAATTCGTCAAAAGAATTTTATTTAAAAATTTTTAGATAAAATTCTTTGTGAGAATTCAATTCTAAGAAACATGCAATTATTCAATAAATTGTTATTTTTGTATTTAAATAATTGAATTTGTGTAGAATTTTCTCATAAACATTGATTTAAAAATGGATTTCAGTTCAAATTTTTTATTATAATTGAATTTTAAAAGCATTAGAGCGTAGATTTTTAGAAATAATTGAATTTTAAAAAGGTTTCAAATTAAAATCTTTGAAATTTTGAATTTTTCATATTTTTAACTAACAATTCTGTGGGATTAATTTTTTTTTGAGAAACTTTAATTGCGGATTTTTTTTTTAATTATTTAAAATTTTTATTTTCTAATATATATTTAATTGAAGAATTTACGAATTATTGAAATTTAGTAAAATTGAATTGTAAACAAATGAGTTTGAAATTTCTCAAAGAACTTTATCAAAAATTATAAAAAATAATACATTTAAAGAAGAATTTTAGTTTAAAACACGAAAAAAATAATTAATTTTGGAAAAGTTACAAATTATTGCTGAAATTCAATTATTTTCAAGAATAATAAATTCTTTGCGAAAATGAAATATTTTTTAAAAAATAATAAAATTCTTCTTAAGGATTCAATTATTTTCACAAATAATAAAACTCATCGCAGAATTTCAATTATTTTCATAACAATTTTAATTAAATTTCTCGAAATTTTTTTCGAGTTTTTTTATTCTTAAAAACTTTATTAAAATTTGTCAAAAGAATTCATTAATTAAATTTTTTGTTATAAAATTCTTTATGAGAATTGAATTTTAAGAAACATTCAATTATTTAATAAATTATTTATTTTTGTATTTAAAAAATTGAATTCTAGTAGAATTTTCTGATAAAAATTAATTTAAAAATTAAATTCAGTTAAAATTTTAGATAATAATTAAACATTAAAAGCAATATAATAGCGTGAATTTTTAGAAATAATTGAATTTTGGAATTAATTTTTCTGAAGAAGTTTAATTGAATAATTTAATTTGTAGTTTCAAGTAAAATGTTCTCTTATTTGACTTGGATTGGTTATATTTTTGTCAGTAATTGGTCCGTAATTTTTCATTTTTGGTCCGTAAAGTTCGTATTTTTAAATACTTTTCCTGATTTGAGCCCTGACTTTAACTAAAAATACGAAAAATGCAAAAAAGGAATTAAGGGATTTTTTATTCAAGAAAAGGTTCACGAAAAATGGAACTTAATGGAAGAAAAAAATGTGTGCTTAGTAAAGTGTTTGGAAAATTAAATTTTAACTAAAAATACGAAAAATGCAAAAAAAAGGAATAAAGGAAATTTTTTATTCCCAATTCAGAAAAATTGACGGGTCTCGGTTAATTTTGAAAATTCGTCGAAAGTTTCGTCGAGAAATACAAAAAGTACAATTCGATCTTAATTTTATATTGTATATGGCGGGAAAAATTCGAATTCAACTTTAAGTTTTCAGGACTTCAAAATCACGAATTTGAGCTAATAAATGGAATTATAAATAATATCGTCATTCGAATTAATAATTGGATCGCTGTGCGTTATCATCACTGAATTAATATATCGTCCCTCTTTTTTTCCCTGCTCAATCTCATATGATTCTTTACTTTTCACGATTATTTTAATTCTCGCCTTAACGTGATTAGTCGAATTTTTAAAATCCGAATGAAATTGAAATCGTGGATGTATTTGCGGTTCGGTGTCAATTTGATAACGTGGCTGTATTTTATTTTCTATTCTAATTTGACTTTCAGTCTCGTGTGATGATAATAATAATTGATTTTCAGTCTGAAAACGTGGCTGTATTTGCGGTTTATTATTATCATGTCTCGGCTGTATTTGCGGTTGAAATCGTGGCAATATTTGCGGCTGAATAATATCATGTTGATTCCTTAATGGCTGTGCTATTGTTTCGAGTTTAAATCGGGGTAAAATTTGCGGTGATTCATTATCAATGCGAAAGCGGGGGGGAATTTCCGGTGATTCGAAATTATCGATTCGTAATCGTGGTAGTGGTTGAATTTCAACTTTTGATGTGTCTCGTTGTTGAGGTCTTTCGCGTCTTATTTGCGGTCGAATTTGAACGCGGGATTGTCGTTGAATTTGGGGTTTTGTTATTTTTGTTTCCTTTTGCTCCACGACTTCTGGTTTTGGATCCTCGCAAATTTCGGCGTAAATATCCTCGGGTTTGGGTTTCGTTTGTTTTGGAGGGAGGGGCAGGGGGGTGAGACTGTCCCTGACTCGGGAGTAATTTGGTTGGACCTCAATGTCGGCGGAGACTTCGAGAACACTGGTGGAGACGGATCTTTGAACCGGTTGTTTCGCCGAGCTGTTGGAATGACTTTGCGATGTTTCGGGCTCTAAACTTGAGTAGCGTTCTTGAGCTTTCATGGCGAGTTCTGGTCGTATGGCGAATGTGAAGGAGGCGGATTTCTTTGCTGGATTTCGGCTACGATTCGCTTGCGTCAGCTTGGAGATTCTGTCGAGGAATCCGTTACCCTGTTGTCTTGTTTCGCTGCGTTCGCGAACTGTTGTCTTCTTTAGTTGCTCGATTCCGTCGCGTAGACTTTGGAGAATTGGCTTTGTCTCTGCTTTCGGTTTGATTTTCTTCAGATGCATTTCTTTGAGGTTTTCACTCGAGTCGTGCATCTTGAGTGGCGCCACTCGCGGTTCCGTCGCTCGATCACCGACAGCTCGACTAAAAATAAAAATTAATCGTAATCATTAGATTTTTAATTTCTTTTTTGTTTGTTTTTGGTGGGTTGTCAGTATTACCTGCACGCGGTTAGGAGTCCCTGCATTTTCGGCGAGGCAAGTAGTCTAGCTTCTGAAGGGTAACCTAGACGTGCTCTTCTCACTCGTGGCGCTCCATTTCCAGTGACCATCAGTTCCAGCATTTCCGGATTATAGACTGGCCTTTCCGGAACAATACAGCCGAGAACAATAGGTCCGCGGGTCGATGATTCTAATTGCATTAAACCTCCATATTCCCGAGGTAATGGCACTGGTAGTGGACCAGCTATTAATCTTACCTAAAAAAAATATTCCCCAAACTTTAGTATCTTTTATCTAAATCATAATCAGAAATTAGAATTGTAGTATTTAGAAAAAAAACCTACTCTAAGGGGCAGTTGTCGAGAAACAAGATGATGGACTTTAAAGAGAACAGCATCAGTTCCAGAGTCGACATTTTCGTTTTGGCAAACGGCATAAAATTCCCCTCTCGCTGATAGGGGAGCAAAAACTTCACGGCCATGTGGATCTAGACACTGAGCGTATTGGTCCTTCTCGGAACAACTACTGGAAATGACGAAAGACATCGAACTGTACTTTTTCGTATCTTGAAAAACAGCAACCAGTCGAAGAACCTCTCCTGCTCTTATCGTTGTTTTCGTATAATGAGCTCGGAGGTTTCCATTTTCTGAAAATTGTAATTATTCCATTATTCAAGTTTCTTCTTCTTTTTCTTTTTGCAGATCATTATTGAAAACCAAAAGACAAAAAAGGATTAAATGCGAGACTCAATTTGGATTCCAAACCACATTAAGGAAGAACGTAAGTGACATTTAATCTTAATGGGCAGCATCGGATATACTTTTTATCAAATTGAATTATTTATTTATTTATTTATTAAAAAAATTTATTTTATGAAACAAATTAAAAATTACTAGCTAGAGAAAAAAAAATTTTAATTAATTTTCACGTGGAAAAAGATAATTCGATGCTTCCCTATTCTTTTATAAATGTATTCTTAATAAAGTGTTTGGAAAATTATTATGGCTATTTAAATATAGCAATACGAGAGGAAATTGATCAAGGATGCGGAACTAGAAAACGATAATAATTAAAATTGCGTTTTTACTCGAGTTTTATCGTAATTATCGCACTCGATTGTATCTAATCGATTTGACGGGTTTTCTATTCTAGTAAACGCTTACTGATTTCATGGTGTAACGACTTTCGAGTGCTGTCTCGTTTCATCGGTATGCATTCGGGTCAAGAACGTTGCACTGTCTGACATTTAAAATCCAACGCCTTTTAAAGTCTTTTGTATTTGTTTTCTCTCTTCCGAAATTTTATCGCGTTTAAAACAAACTTTTAATTTTTAATGAATAGGAATATTCAGGCTTCGCACTCATATACTAAAACCTACTATTTGCTACTTTTTTTACGTTAGGCATCTATTTGGGTACTATTTATAGATTTCAGCCACTAAAAGCTACTATTTCAATTTTTTAAGAATTCCCACTACATTAAATTCGCTAATACAAGAAATAAAAAAAACTATTCTCAAAAATTATAATCAAATTCTTTAAAACGATTCAATTATTTTCAAAAAATATTCGAAATTCTATTTTCAATATCTAGTATTTTCATAAAATTTCGCAAAATAATACAATTACTTAAAAAAAATTGATAAAATTCATGCATAATTCAATTATTTTCATAAATAATAAAATTTCCACAGGAATTCAATTAATTTAAAATAGCATTTTCGAAAAAATCAATTATTTAACAACATTTTTATACAATTCTTCACAATAGTTTAATTACTTTTACTAATAATAACATTGTTGAAGGGAAAAAAATTTTAGATAAAATTCTAGGCAAGAATTCTATTATTTACATAAATAATAAAGTTCTTAGCAACTATTCAATTATTTTCATAAATAATAAAATTTATCGCTGAATTTCAATTATTTTTAAAACAATTTTGCAGAAGTTGCTTAAAAAAATGTAATTATTCTTTAAAATTTAATTTTAATTACTCGAAAAAATCAATTATTTAGAAAAAATATTTGTTTATAATTCTGTGGTAGAATTCAATTATTTACAAAAATACTATAATTTTACACAGGAATTCAATTATTTTTAAATATTTTCAAAACCCAAATCAATTATTTTAAACATAATTTTAATTAAATTTTTTTCAAATAATTCAATTATTTTCTTAGATTTTAATTAAATTCTTCCCAAAAATTTAATTATTTTTAAAAGAAATACATTTTTTCTTGAAAATTCAATTATTTTTCAAAATTCTAAAAAAATCGTTCGCAAGAATTCAATTATTTTTAAAAGTAATAAGTTTTTTCTTCGAAATTCAATTATTTTTAAAAATTCTAATGAAATCGTTAGTAAGAATTTAATTATTTTCACAAATAAAAAAATGTCTCGAGAAAAATAAATCAATTGTTTTAAATACAATGTTAATTAAAATTTTTTTTAAATAATTCAATTATTCTTTTAGATTTTAATGAAATTCTTCCTAAGAATTCAATTATTTACATTAATAATTCTTTAAAAGAATTCAATTATGTCGATAAATAATAAAATTATTCCCGAAAATTCAATTATTTTGGGGATTTTAATATATTTTTTAGGAAAATTCAATTATTTTTTTATAAATAGCAATGTGCAACACAAGAATTCAATTATTTTTAAAAGTAATAAATTTTTTCTTAGAAATTCAGTTCTATTAAAAAGTTCTAATGAAATCGTTCGTAAGAATATTCAATTATTTTCACAAATAATAAATTGCTTGAGAAATTGTATTTATTCTTAAAAATTTAATTTTAATTCCTCGAAAAAATCAATTATTTACAAAAATATTAGAATTTTTCAAAGGAATTCATTTATTTATAAAAATATTAGATTTTTCACAGGGATTCAATTATTTTCAAATATTTTAATAAAATTGTTTGAAAGAAATCAATTATTTTAAATATACAATTCTAATTAATTATTTTTGAAATAATTCAATTATTCTTTTATAGATTTTAATAAAATTCTTTCTAAGAATTCAATTATTTACATAAATAATTCTTCGAACAAATTCTATTATGTCGATTAATATCAAAATTATTCACAAAAATTCAATTATTTTGGTGTATTTGAACTAACTTCTTTAAAAAATTCAATTATTTCCATAAATAACAGTATTTATCACAAGAATTTAATTATTTTTATAAGTAATAAATTTCTTCTTGGAAATTCAATTATTTAAAGAAATTCTAATAAAATCGTTCGCAATAATTCAATTATTTTCATAAATAATGAAATGCTTTTTAGGAATTCAAATATTTTCCAAAAAATTTAATAAAATGCCACACAGACATTCAATTGTACTCATAAATTTTAATAGAATTCTTTGCAAGAATTAAATTCTTTTATAAATATTTAAATTCTTCCATGAATAATAAAATTCGTTGCAAGAATTCAATTTATTAGCAGGATAAGAAAGAAGTAAATATTTCTGATAAAAATCAGGAAAAACTTAGGAAACTAAAATATAGAATGGAATTTTTGTCAGTTTTGTGAAGTGTCTAAAACGAGTTTTTTTGGTCGTCAAGTTTAATTTCTCGATAGCTACTTTTTTACTAATTTTTTTAGTTTGATAGCTACTTTTTGCTATTTTTTTTTAAATTAATTATCGAGTGCGAAGTCTGTTACTTTTAAAAATTATTTTGAAATAAACTCAAATTTTTGTAGAATTTTAAAATTTCTAAAAATTCTAAATAAAATTTTGGAAAATAATTGAAGTTTAGAAGAATTTAGAATTAAAGTTATTATCAGTAAAAAAAACGGGACGCATGATTATTCCCCAAATGTCATTTTTCCGAAATGTCATTTTACCGAACTGCACTTTTGCGAATAGTCATTTTTGCGAGAAGCCAATTTTGCGAAATGTCACTTTTGCGAATTGTCATTTTTGCGAAAAGCCATTTTTGCGAATTGTCATTTTTGCGAATGGCCATTTTAACGAATTGTCAATTTTCTGAAAAGTCATTTTTGCGAATCGTCATTTTTACGATTTGTCAATTTTTCGAAAACTCATTTTTGCGAATTGTCATTTTTACGAAAAGACATTTTTGTGAAATGTCATTTTTGCGAAAAGTCATTTTTACGAATTGCCATTTTTTGCGAATGTTCATTTTTGCGAAAAGCAATTTTTGCGAATTGTCATTTTTGCAAATCGACATTTTTACGAATTGTCAATTTTCCGAAAAGTCATTTTTGCGAATCGCCATTTTTACGAATTGTCAATTTTCCGAAAAGTCATTTTTGCGAATTGTCATTTTTGCGAAAAATACAATAGTGAATTTATAGACCTACAAGTTTTCTATTGTATTTTTCGCAAAAATGACAATTCGCAAAAATGACTTTTCGGAAATTTGACAATTCGTAAAAATGTCGATTCGCAAAAATGACTTTTCGGAAAATTGACAATTCGTAAAAATGGCGATTCGCAAAAATGACAATTCGCAAAAATAACAATTCGTAAAAATAACTTTTTGCAAAAATGACTATTCGCAAAAATGACAATTCGTAAAAATGGCAATTCGTGAAAATGGCGATTCGCAAAAGTTACAGTTCGCAAAAATGACATTTCTCAAAAATGACAATTCGCAAAAATGTCAATTCGCAAAAATAACTTTTCGGAAAATTGACAATTCGTAAAAATGGCGATTCGCAAAAATGACAATTCGCAACAATGACATTTCTCAAAAATGACAATTCGCAAAAGTGGCATTTCGCAAAATTGGCTTTTCGCAAAAATGAGTATTCGCAAAAGTGCAGTTCGGTAAAATGACATTTCGGAAAAATGAAATTTGGGGAATAATCATGCGCCCCAAAAAAAACATTTTTGATGGAAATCAGGAAAATGTCAGAAATACAGAATGAAATTTTTATGAATTTTGTAAATCGTCTAAAATAAGTTTTTTAGTCGACAAATTTAATTTTTCGGTATTAGCTACTTTTTTTACTACTTTTTGCAGTCTTAATGCTACTTTTTAATACTTTTTTTATTTTTTGCTACTTTTTTAAAAGAAATTTTTGAGTGAGAAGCCTTCTTTTGAGAATTGATAGAATTAATTTAAACATACCCATTTTTGAATGTGTTAGAGTGTAGGCCCTTAATGGCGCAGTTAGGAGAAAAGCTGGAACACCAGCTCGTACGAGAGACTCGACTCTTCGGTACACCCTTGCATTGCCACTAGAATTATTTCCAGTTATCACAGAAAACCATCCTGAAAAAAGAGATTAAAAAGAAAATTAAATTAAAATTGTCGTTAATTACATTTGAACACAGAATTTTTTTTTTAAATTTCTTCTTTTTAGAAATGGGATTTTTAAGAAAGTTAATTAAATGTAAAGAATTATGTATGTAGAGGGGAAGAGGGAGAGTATTTGAAAAGAGGTAATTAATTCACAATAGGACTTAATTGAAGATCCCGTAATCGGTCGTTGGACAAAAAGAGCAATCACTACTATACGGTTTTAACTTCAATTTAGAAACGCGTCGTTAAATTTTCTTCTACAGTTTCTTTATATTGCTTTTGTGTGAATATATATGTGTACATTAAGTTTATGAGATACTTTCCGCGCGCTTTATGTGTAACATAACTCGACTTGTAACGTTTGAACTCTAATCAAACTCCATAAGAAATATTCTTTTTCCACCTCTAAAAGGAGTGGCGCTTTTTTTTATTATTTAATCACAAACAAATATATTTATCTCGGAAGAAATTCCTCCTTCATGAGAATTATGAGAGAAATAATTTTTTTTTTTTATTTATATTTATAATTTTATTTATAATTTTATTTATACATTTTATTTATTTATATATATAATACACAATTATTTTTAGACTCCATTTTTCTTTGCGGAGGTAAAACTCTTTTAACATATTGACGATAACATCTTCGTGGAGGATTTATAAAGATTATGCTAATGAACCACGATGATCTTGTTCGTCGTTGGTTGCACATAAGTTACGCTCTAATCTCTTTATCAGGAAGGGAAGCGGGAATAGTGAGGGATAGTGGTGTGTAGGAGCTGTAGACTTGAAATGCTAATTAATAAATGACCTTTATCCACGCGACGTTTGTTTCCCTTTTTATTCGATTTTATATATAGTCTCTCATATGGAGTTGGAAATTTTCGCGATAAGAATAACAAAACCATCGCGAAGCGTAACGACTCAATTAGTGTTCACTTTGGCTTACAAATAGATCCCTCTATTTCCCGAGGGAGTTTTTATTTGCAAATTATAATTTTGCTTTTCTTTCACAACACACTAAAGTTTTTTTTTAGTCGTTACACGCTAAAATCACGTATTTTGAAAAAAAATTTTTTTTTCACAGAGTGAAATTTATTTAAACATTTAAAAATTTTTACATATTATTACAAAAACTTTAATTTTGTTTTTCCCTGACTTTTCCCTGATTTGTAGACAAAATTATTATTTATAATAATAATTGAATTTCTTCGAAGAACTTTGTAAAAAAATTTTTAAATAATTTAATTCTTCAAAATTATTTTCATCATTTCAATTTAATTTATTATTTTCTACAATTTTCAACTAAAAATCCTTTTCTAAATCAATTATTTTTAATAATTTTTAAAAAAGTTATCTTTTTGAGAATTTTTAAAAAATAATTAAAAAAAAATTTTTTTAAATAAAATAAAAAATTGTTTTAAAATAATTGAATTCTTACCAAGAATTTTGTTATTTTTAATAATAATTGAATTCTTATAATAATTGAAAAATTTTATAAAAAATTTTGAAAATAATTGAATTCCTGCTAAAAATTTTGCTATTTTTGAAAATAATTAAATTTCTGCGAAGAATTTTGTTATTTTTTTTAATTAAAATTGAATTTTTGTCAAGAACTTTATTAAAAGTATTAAAAATAATAGAATGTTTGCGAAGAATTTTATTAAAAAATTTTTAAAGAATTGAATTTCTGTGAAGAATTTTATTTGTGAAAATAATTGAATTCGGGAGAATATCATGTTAAAAATTTTGTTATTTTTGAAAATTATTGAATTTCTGCGAAGAATTTTGATATTTATAATAATAATTGAATTTCTTCGAAGAATTTTGTAAAACAATTTTTAAATAATTTAATTCTTACTAAGAATTTTGTTCTTCATGAAAATAATTGAATTCTTACGAAGAAGTTTGTTATGATTTTTAGACAAAATTTTTACTTTTTCCCTGATTCTGAAGAACATCAATAACTTCTTTTTTAATTAAATATTTAATTATTATTATTTTTCTATAGAAATGACTCTTCTAATATTCAATTATTATCTGAAATTTTACCTGAAATTCATTTTGTAATAAATTTTTGTTAGAAAATTTTTAGAAAATTCAATTATTTACATACAAAAATAATTAATTTATTCAATAACTGAATATTTCTTAAAATTTCATTTTTATGAAGAATTTTATCAAAAATTTTAAAAAATATTTCAATTCTCTCGGTAAATTTAAAAGAAAAAAATTAAGAATAAATGCAATTTTCTATCATTATATTTAAAATTGTATAAAAAATAATTGAAATTCTACGATAAGTTTTGTTATTTATGAAAATAATTGAATTCTTACAACGAATTTTATTAAAAAAATTTTTAAAGAATTGAATTTCTGTAAAGAATTTTATTTGTGAAAATAATTGAATTTCGGAGAAAAATATTAGGTATTATTTATGAAAAAAATTAATTTCTTGTGAAGAATTTTATTTAAATTTTTTTAAACAATTGAATTTTCTTAGAATTTTTTGCAACTTTTTGAAAATAGTTTAATTCTATCGAGAAATTTTATTAAAAAATTGAAAATAATTTAAATCTGACTAAGAATTAAAAAAATTCTTTTTTAAATAATTGAATTTCTGTGAAAATGTTTATTTTAGAAAAGAATTGAATTCTTGTAAATAATTTTATTAAAATCTTATTAAATAATTGAATTGCTTTGAAGAATTTAATTTTTTACGAAAATAATTGAATTCTTTCGATGATTCTTACAAACATTTTTGACAATAATTGTATTCCTAGAAAGACTATTATATTTTATGGAATTTTTTATTATTTTACGAAAATAATTGAATGTTTGTGCAGAATTTTATAAAAAATTTTTTAATAATTGAATTCTTTTGAAAAATTTTATTAAAATAGTACCTAGATATTGAAAATCATTGAATTGAAAAAAATTTTTAGAAATAATTGAAATTTTCTTACGAATATTATCAAAATTTTATAAAATAATTGAATTAATACGAAGAATTTTATAAAAATTTTTTAAAATAATTGAATTCTTGCAACGAATTTTATAAAATTTTTTTAAAATAATTGAATTTAATAATTGAATTCTAGCAAAGAATTTTATAATAATCATTTTAAATAATCGAAAATAATTGAATTCTTAAAAAGAATTTTATTATTTATAAAAATACTTTAATTCTTACAATAAATTTTACTACTTATAAAAATAATTGAATTGTTTCGAAGGATTTATTAAAATTTTAGAAAATAATTGGATTATTTTGAAAAATGTTTTTTTAAATTGAATTCGTTCATAAAATATGTTATTAAAATTGTATTACAAATAATTGAATTTTCGGGAAGAATTCTATTAAAATTTTTGAAAACAGTAGAATTTTGGAGAAGAATTTTATTATTTATAAAGATAATTGAAATTTTGATAAGAATTTTTAAAAAATTCTGAAAATAATTGAATTTTTGGAAAGAATTTTATTACTTTTGAAAATAATTAAATTTTTGCAATTATTTAAATAATTGAATTTTTGTAATTATTTGTAAAACTTCAAAAATTCTCGAAATTATATCGTTAAATTTATGAACTTTTTTTTGCTTTTTCAATCAAATTACGAACTTTCCGTAACTTTTTTTTTTTAAACTGACTTTTACGGTCATTAAACAAATTTACGAACTTTTACGGGATTAAAATGTTTAAATGAATTTCACTATAAAAAAAAATTCTTTAAAATACGTGCAAATTACCCAGACTGCCACCTTAATTAAAATCAAATTTTACAATTAGGAAAGTTTTTTGCGAAAACTTGCAAACTTATAACTATAGTTGCAGTTTTTCTTTCCAAGATGAAATATCGGTTCTTTCGAATATGAAAATAGAGAAATAAGTTATAAGGGGATTAAAAAAGTCCAAAGTCATTCGCGTATAAGAAAAAAAAGTTATATGCAGATGTTATCCATCGTTAAAACCGTCTTTGAATATAACGTTAAATCTCTGAAAAGAGCGTGTCTATGAATACGTTAACGCGTTCCGTCTAATAACGGATGTTTGACCGTTTATATAGAGAAGGATAGGGTGGTGGTGGTGGGGGGTTTTTCTTACGTGCCAACACGACATGGATTACCTATGCACGAATCCCAATGCTTAAATCTTATTAGAGATTAGTAAAAGGCGAGGAATATCGTTCAGAATTCCGCTTTGCAAAAAAAAAAAATGTTTTTCTTCATTTGCGATTGGTTGCACGAAAGTCGTTTCGGAAGTTGAAGTTAACGATGCGTTAAGAAAAATAAGGAACAGTATCATCTTAAATAATTACTTTTACAAGTATCACGTGCTTGAACCTTATGTAATCCTACAATCTTCACCCTCTCTCTCTCTCTCTTTCTCTCCCCTTCATCTTTCTTTCTTTGCCTTATAAATCAGGAGTTAGTTTATAGGAAAATAATTCTTAGGGTTTTTACTAAAATTACTTGATTTCAGATTGGGGCCATTTGATTATTTTAAGATTTTTACCCCCCCCCATCCCCTCCCTCTATTCGCGTAATTTTTTTTATTGAATGTAAGGAGTAGCCAACCCCCTTCCCCCTTAAAATCTTACGTAATAATTGAAGGCCCCATTTTTTCCTTCCCTATTTTTTCTATTTGGGAATTTTTTGTAATGGTTCTGAACAATAATTCGTAGGGATTAAATTTATATTTTTTAATATATTAAGAAATAAGTTGTTTCTAAATAATTACTATGAAAATTTTAATTATTAAGCGAAAATAAAATATTTAGAAATATGGGGTTTAGTTCAGGGACGCCACCGATAGATGGCCTTCGCGTAGAGTAAAAAGCGCGCGTTTTTTTAAAAATAAAAACAGGCTTCGCACTCATCTACCAAAACCTATTATTTACTACTTTTTTTTACGTTACGCTACTATTTGGATACTTTTTTTAAATTTTAGCCACTAAAAACTACTATTCT